TAAAATATTTTAAATTAAAACATTTTAAATATATACTCAAAAAAGAATAAAACTATATAAAATCAGAATTATTCAAAATTTTCAAATCAGCATAATTTTCTGCCACAATAGATGTGTCGTTAGCTGAAAAGTTTTTAAGAACGAGAATTTTACACTCTTCAAGGATTATTGTCTAAAAATAGACACCAAATGATTGAATAAACTTGATTTAGAACTTCTAATAAAAGCATCTATTTAGAATATTAAATAAAAATTAAGTAAATCTGTTAACCCTCTTACACATAATGATTCTAAGAAAGAAAAAGATAAAATCCAAGAAATAGCTAATCTAATAGACAGAAGCCAGGTAATCATGATGAAATAAGGAGAGAATAAGAAAAGGAAAGCAGAAATATAGTAGTATAAGAATGAAATATTTTTATTCTATTAATGGAAGCTTTTTTCTTATAAATCTATTGATTTAGATTAATAGAATTGAATGACAAGAATTAATTAATAAAGCAGAAGGTTTAAGTTAACAAATAAATTAAAAATCATATAGCTGATTAATAATATGTAGGAATAAATAAATAGAAAATAAGTAGAGATGTGAATGGAAATTTATGAAAAAAGAAATGATTAGATATATTTAGATTAATAGATTCCATATAAATTTAATTAATGATCATTGCAATATTCTTATTGACCACAGTTTTTGCATTTCCTAAATACAAGTAAAATCTGTTTGTGAGTAAACCAGATTCGCTCAAAAAATTAGCTTACTAATTGTCAATAGCTTCTAATTTATAAGCTGACGTGGATTAAGATCAAGTAAGGAATTTAATCTAATAAGGTTTGTACTTGGTTGAAAGAATACACATTAACAACTGCTGAGGATGCTTATTATGCTAAGCTGGCATCATAATTTTTGGAAGAGTGCCATGTAGATTATAATATAGAGTTACCAATGATTGATTAAGATGATTTCGAATCAATTTACTATAATTCACTTCTAAATGGATAATGTCCTAAATTGGATTATTACATTACAGTAGGAGGTGCAGCAAAACCTAATCTTAAAAAATAAGATGATTCTTACAAAACAGCAGCTCAAGTATATCATCTTGCCACTATTTGCAATGACAATAAGGTTCATGATGCAATATAAGAAGCAATCTTTAATTTCTAAGAAATATATGATGGAGTCACAGCTGTTTTAGATAGAGATAGTTCAGCTGCAGTTACTGCATAATTACTATATTCATTTTTAACTCTCAACATTACCAATCTCCATCCAAAACTTTAAGATTTCCTTAAGAATCAAATATATCAATAAACAATCATTAACTTCTTACTTTAAAGAACTACAGTCTTGGGCTCTATTGAAGAATAGTATTGGATTACTAAATTATTCTAATTAAATCAACTCAATACAATCATTTACCCCATTTTCTAAGACTATTATGTACAAAAGGAAAAAACATAAATAAATGTGAAATTTGTCAACATTAAGGGTGAAAAGGTTTAACCTACAGAGGTTTAAGCTTTCATTGCTGATGATTAAAATAATTACTCATATACACCTGTTAAATCTAAAGAATTTAGTGGCTATTTTGAAGTTTCTACTTCTGGCTCATTTCCAATTGAATTACATTTACCTAATTATGTTGTAAGATTTCTTATTTTAAATTTAAGCTCAAATACACTGTTAAAGTATTGTAAACTATTGAAATTGAAGAAGTTATGTTCGACATTGTTGATTCCAAAACTTCTAAACCAAATTTTCATCATAGTGTTGAAAATGGTGAAGTTTATCCTGCAATTCTTAACGCAAATGAAAGAAGCTTCCTTCATGTCATTATTAAGGTAATCTTTTATTTTAAGTAGACCAAATAATAAGTCAAATAATAAGTAGCTCTTAGATTAATTCATCCTTAATATCTTTCTGCTACCACCCAAGTTTTTGCTGAATATGATAAAAAACGAAAAATCTATTATGGCATTATTGATTTTGGAGATCCTGATCATATTACACCTCTCAATGCTATTTATTAGGTTGAATTACTCTTAGCTGATCCAAATATAGTTCCTATTAGATGGAATTTCCTTAAAATTGATACTAAATTTTAAGCTTAAACAACATTACAAAATGATAGCTTCTATAAATTGCCTTAAGAAATTATACATCAATTTGCCTAAGAATAACCTTAAGTACCATTCCTTGTAAAATTTATATCTATTCTAGTTTGTTTCATTCTTTGTTTTTGTTATTGTTTTGGCATTTTTATTTTTCCTCAGAATTCTCTCTAACTTGAAATTAGCCTATGATAAATTACCAAAAGATAATTAAGGGATAGTTTATGTATTTCTAGCTTTAATTATTGGATTATTTGTTGTTTTAACACTATTTTGGATCAAATTAAATTTGATAGAAACTGTAACAATTTTAGGAATCTTAAGTGTACCATTGGTTATTGTTGGCAACTATGCTCTTTTAACATTAAGAAAATCAGAAAAAATAGATTGATCAATAATATATATAATTGAATGTGTATTTTAATTATTTTTTTATATTAAACAATCAAGTTTTTTTTTTAATTTATACAATGAGGTTTATTGATTTACAATAAATTTTTGGGGTTCTAAACCATGATAATTATAATTGTCACTTATTTCTTGACTTTTCTTGATCCTAATATTACTTTTTATTTCATCTTTAAAAATAACTAAAGTATTTTATTAAATTAATTAAATACTCATTGATTGGTTGTTAGATTTTTAAGTACTAAAAATTTTTTAAAGTAATAAAGCTTAAAAAATATTATTTTACTTCATTATTTATTTGTTAATATTTACTTTTAGGTAAATAGATACCTAAGTCTTCATCAATAACCTGTTGATTAATTAAAATTATCTTTTGTCAGATTAAAGTAAATACTGCTTCAAATTTCTCAAATAATTTTTCCACTTTCCTTAAATCTATGCCTCTTCTTTAAATAACTTTGAAATTTGAAGCTAGTTATTTATAGTCTTGTATAATGGAAATCCACTAAAATACTCATTTAATTTTTAATTAATTCGATTAAATGAATTAAATATACTAAGATAAAGCAATATTATTAACAGAATTGCAATAATTGAAACAAAGAAATCTCAAATTGGAGTTTGAGCTTAAAGAACTATTCTAATCTTGCAACACTATGAGATCTAAATCATCAAAAGATAAAATTTATTTATTAGAAGAAGAATTAGATGATTTAAAGTAAATTATTTTTTTAAAAAGTCTAGAATTTAACATAAAAATATGAAAGACAGTTTTGATTATAAGCTTGAGCTATTGCGTATTCGTTTAGAAAAAGTTAATCAAGAGAATAATTAATTGAAATTAGAAAATTTGGAATTAATTTAACAGTAAAATGATTAAATTTAATAAACTCATTCCATTATTTAGATGGCAAAATAAACCAAAGTCTTATAAAATTCATAAATTAACAATTTTAAGGATTAAGTAAATAAAATAAAAACTGTTGTTGAATAAAAAATTGTTAAGAAATCTAATAAATCATTAATAAATACAAAAAAATGAAATTAAATGAAATATTTTGTAATAATTATCTTATTTATTTATTATTTGGATATATCCTAATTATTTTTATATAAATTTTACTTAATTTGTTGAAGAATTCAATATACTTGAATATGAAATATAAAGGAACCCTATTTTATTTATCAATGTAAATGAATTATTTATATTTTCAAACAATGGAATCAATTTCTATCAAAAATTTTTGGAAATAAAAATATAATATATAATATAATTTACAATATATGATTGCAAAAAGAGCGAAAAATGCAAGCCTTTATGAAGGCAGTAACACAATATCAGTTGATGATATGGAAACTCCATAATTTAACAATACTAGAAGAAGGGTTTTAACCTAAATTGAAGATGATCAACCTAAATTAGTTTTACCAAAGATTAAGTTAGCCAACAATCAAAATAATCCTTAGTTTTCAAATAATAATGAGAAAAAGTTTAAATTAACTGGAGCTAAAGATGCCTTTTTCAAACCTAGATAAATAAATAAGTTACCTTAAATATTCTAAAAGCAAGGATTGAAAAAAAATGAAAATAATCTATCTCATCCTGAGATTAGAGAATTATATTCTTACAATAATAATAAAGCTTCTGCATATACTCTTAGTATTCATGATTGATGTATTGTTATACATAGTTCAAAACTAATTATTATAATAATTATTATTGGTTATTTAATGTATTATCAAGAGAATTATAGGAAAGCTCGTCAATATCTCAATTTAAAACAAAAACAAATTGATTTTTAACCTTCTAAATAAAATCAACCTTAGATCACTACTATTCGTCAAATTTTAGAAGTAATAAGGTCAAAGGAACGAAGTGATAGTCAATTTAAATATATAAAAACAACAGGATGCGAAAAAAAAGAAGATAATCATTCACCTTAAATAATAATTTCTTCAAATTAAGAATCTAAAGATCAAAATCGATCTCTTGCAGCAAAACTTTTAAGATTGAATAAAATTACTCGAAATAAAACTTAAGTTACGCCCATTTAATATAATTTTATAGATAGAATTATTGAACCTCTCAAAAAAAAAGTAGAAATTTAATCTGAACAAAATTCCCCATTAAGAATTCGAAAAAATGTACCATGTGTTGAGTATTAATTACCAAGTTAATTGTTCTTTTAAGATAATCAGAAATAAGTCACTACAATGAGTGAGAGAAAAGTTTGTATTTAGAAACCTAAACTAAAAGAAATCTCGAATTAATAACAAAATTAAAATAAGAGTATATAGAATTGTTTATCTCATCATTAAATTATTCATACAGAATAAGCAAGTCCCACTTTAAGAAGGTTAAATAAAACAAGTTATTAATGTGAATAAGTAAAAATTACTAATTAAATTAAAAATGAAAAAATAGATAAATAGATATAATTAATTAGAAAAGTAAGTGGTTGGACAATATAAAGCCAAGAAAGTATTCAGACCCCATTCTGAGTTATTTTGTATGATTTCTATGTTTTACTAGATTTATTAAAATATTACAATTAAAATGTTTAAATATCATTATGAATCAGGTGTAGATGATTTGATTCTGAAATTGCAAAAATAAATTAGAACCACTAATTTTGAATTAAAAAGAATGAATAGATTTTTTCTTCCTTAAATAATAAACAAGAGTTGTGAAAGTGATAAAAATAAAAGGGTTCTTAAAACTTTGGAAGATCCAATATTGAAATCATTTTCAAATTAAAAACATATTGATCGTAGCGAAAATTCTATTCATAATAAATCATATGAAGTAAAAAAAAGTAATTTTATGAAACCATCAGCTGAATTAGATAAAATAGATGAATGTTAGGTATTTGTTTGGAGAATTCCAAATAAAAAACCTAACCCTCTTTTAAGAAATTAGCGATTGACAACATTGTAAAGATGATTTGAATTACTAAATTGAATAAATAGTTATTTAGATGATACATGATTATAGAAAATTTTTTTTTTATCATTTAAGTATCAAAAAATATATTAAAATATTGATATTAGTTTAAATTTAATATCTATAAAGTTTAGTAATATATAGAAGGATATTTAAATTATATTATTTCAATAAAAAACAAATAAACAATTTCCATAAAATACTTAATATTCTTCAATTAAATAAAATTTTTATTTTATTAATATAAGCAATGAATGCATATGGGTTGAAATTATAAAAAAAAGTATAAATCATTGGGAGTCTTATATCATTAGTAGCAGCCTATGATTATCTAATTGATATTAGATATATAAATAAAATTTATGATATCAAATAAGAAATCAATAAACCTGTTTTAGCAATTTCAAAAAAAGTACATAAAATAGAACCAAAAAAGTTAAAAGATTAGTTGATAGTAATGATGTATATATGTATTTTGATTGAAGACATCCATTATCTTAAGAGCATATTATTACAAGAGTTGAATTAGTTGAACAAGAGAAATTAATTCATGAAGATAGAAATTCTTTATTTGAAATGTAGCTTCCACAAGGAACATTTTATGGAAGAATAAATGAAAAATAATTGATGCAAAATAACTTTGCAAATATTCAATCATAATCTTAAATAATTGGAATTCCATTTTTGTTAATCTGAAAATGATTTAAAAGAATGAATTTGAGTTTTAAATATAATATCACATACTAAATATTAATGGAAAGTGTGGATCCTCTTTTTGTCTATCTTTAATGGCAGTGAGTGCTTTAATAAGATCATAATTGATTTCATGTGTAACAATTGAATCTTAATTATAATTAGGATGTGAGATTACAAAATCTCTCATCCAAGAAGCAAGTGTTTTAGTATTACCATAAACTTTATTTTTAACAAACTCTATTACTTCATCTTAAAGTTTTTTATTTTTTTAATAAATATGTTCATCCTTTTAAGAACATTATTAAGTACTAATAATATTTCTATTTTAGTAAATTAAACCTATGATTCCAATAAAAGATCCATCTTATTTACCAAAGAATATTTCTTTTAAATATAATTCTTCTATAATAGCAGGACCAAATTCTTAAAAGTTGGTTCTAAAATAGAATTTTTAATTTAAAATAGCTCCCTTTTCTTTAGATCTTTTCATGTTTTCATCAACAAGTGATAATGGCATGTAAAAGTTGACTGGAATATGTTTCTAAAATAAAAATAAAAATATACTGTAAAGAATAATCTAACAATCATAAGTATCATAATAGACCATGCAGCATTTTCTTCAGCAGTTAATTAAATTTCCATAGTTCTAAATTCTACTCTCCATCCAATTTTAGAATTATAAGAAGGAGGTGGTTTAAATCTAACTGAATTCCAATTACTAGATTAAATAGCTTCAAAATGAGCTGTATTATCATCAATATGTATTTTATCTTTAAACATAACCATATTATCTCTCAAGAAAAGGATACCAAGATGTCTAAGTAATCTTTAATCTAAAGGTATATCCATTTATTATGCTTTTTATTTAGCAAATTACATAATTTCTTCATTTGCTGGAAAATTTAAATCATTATATTCTTCTAGATTCATTTTATCATTAGAAATGAAATATGAAATAGTAGAATATCTTGATTTAGGAATATGATTAGGATTTTTAGGATTTCTTTCATTTTCACTTCTACAATCAACAGACATTTCTAAACAATCCCATTTAGTATCCCAATTAGATATTTTACCTTTATAAATTGGACTACCTGCTGTTAAAGCTGCAAATAAAGGTGCTAAAACAGCCAATTAATCATATAATAATCTTGCATGATCAATATCAATACTCAAATATGTAGTTTAAAGTGCACAATTTCCCATTCCAAAACCCATATGATCCATAGTAATAAATCTAATAATAATAATATATCAATACCCTGGATTAGGTTCATATTCAGATTATTCTATTTTTGTATTTTAATCAATAAATAATGGAATTTTAATTTCAACCTTAGATCCTCTTCTTAATCTAATATTTTAAGCAAGTGTTGCATATCTTGGATGAGGATTAATAATCCTATCATCAAAATATATGCTTTAAGAAAAATAATTACAAATAGGTTCAACTGGTAATTCTTTATATGGTGTAGCTGGTTATATCAATTTTTCATTTTAGAATTATATTTCATCTTATTATAAAGTAGGTGTTCCTTCTATGTAACTTGTTTAACTTCTTATTTTCTCTATCATTGAAGCAGTTAAATCACTCTCTAATGTTGTAGTGAATCTACCTACTCCCAACATTGGATAAACAGGGATCAATACATATTAATTTCCTTATGGTAAATAACTCTAAAGTGTTTAAATTCTCTTCCTCATATTAATTAACACTTAATCAAAATTAAAGCACATGCATTAATAAGGTTTATTTGGTGTTAATTCTATCATCCAAGCACCAAATTCTGGTAAGATAACAAATGGCAATTTTTTCTATTATTCTTCACTTAAACTTTAAAATAAACCACCTATTTATATTTTTTATAAATTACTTGTATTAGGATTCAAAAGTGCCAATTTCTTATCATCATACAGTTTTATTACATGTCCTTCAAATTCATCTCCCCAAAATAATTACATCTTAGTTTCTACCTATTTCACATTTGGATCTGATAAATGTTCAAATTAATGTTCATGTAATTAGAATTTACCAAAGATTTTTAACAAACTCAAAAATTATACTATTCCTTTTTCTTTTAGCATCTTTTAGAAAGCCAATGATTCAAAATAATCATATGTGACTCCTTTATCGTTCAAATAACCCATTTATTAAGATTTTTTATTAATGAATTTCTAAATTCTTAATATTTGTATATATATTAACAATTCACTATTAAAATAACAATTTTTGGGGAATTTATTACAGATTATCCCAATTATAATGAACTAATGTTTTTTCAAATGTTGGAATACTCAACAAAGCTTTACCTGTATATTATTTCATTTCACTCTCATATTCCAATCTTTCTTCCATATTCCTAACTATTTATAAATAAAATATATTTAATTACATTCTTTTTTTTATGTCTTTTATTCTAACTAAGGTAATTCTCCATCTATTTATTCCCTCATATTATACAATATTCTAGGCAAATGTAACTCTTTTTAATCTTAATCTAATTCATTATACTATTGTAAATGTTCTTTTATTTTATTTATTGATTCATCCAGACTAATTTTCTCAATTCTTTCATTTTTCTAATATAAAACAAATATATTTAATCTTTGACTAAATGTTTAAATATATCAAATTAATCAAAAAAGTCTTCTGATCTCTCAAATACATATTTTTTTTGTTCTTCTTCAGTTAAATATTCTTATAATATATTTTTTAATTCTTCATCGTTAATATCAATAGATCTCATTAACATCGCATCTCCATTCTTAAAAGATTAAGACAAACTTATTCCAATTTATTTATTTTTATCCATTTATTCTACTCCTAATCCTAATACTACAGCTTAAGTGTTATTTGGTTGATGGAATTATTCTTAGAAATAATATAATTTGAATTATTTTTAATTTTTTTATTTCATTAATAATTTAAATCATTATTAAATGTTGATATTAACTTCTAAGTTTATATAATGAATTATGTTCAATAAATATATTGTTCAATATCTATTTAATCATGTTTTATTAGATTTTATATAATCTACAATGATAGATCCCAATTTCCTTATTCACAATAAACAATCCTAGAAACTTCCTTAAAAATAAATCTCAATATCATACAGCTTACAAAAGTGCCTTACAACACCAGACACATGGGAATAAAGTAGTATACAAAGTAGTATTTCTAGTTTATGTTATACCTAATTCTAAAATGCACCCTTCCTCTGCATGGATACACATACATTTATATAAAATTAAGTCTAAGGTTTTAGATTCCTTACAAACATCACAACCTCCTTCATTACAATTTTTCATCACTTTTGGAGTTCCATTATAAGAAGTACTTAAAATTCTTTTATTGTTATTCACCAATACTGCTCCAACACTCTTTTTCATACAATTACTTCTCTACTTAATTGTATAAGCAATCTATAGATATTATTATATAACACTTTTACTTTCATAAAATAGACATCCCAATCAGGTCGAAATGGCCTAATTATTTTTACCATTTGTTGTTTTAAATAATTAGTAAATTCATCTACTGTATTTGTATTGTTTTTAAGGTATACTTTACAATTCTTAGCTAACTCTAAAAAATTTAAATCATATTTATGCTGACATAATTGAAAACTTTTATACTTTATCATCAAGTTTTACAAAATCATTAAAATTAATTTCTCCATACTTTTTACAATATCTTCTATATCTTGTATAAGAAGATGCATCCAAAAATATCAGATGAAAATAGTTTCTTTTCTTTAATATTTGTATCTATTTTTATGTTGTTATTGCTGTTATAATCGTTGGAGTATTCCAATTATTATATATTTGTATAGCTGTTTTATTTAAATCTATATCTTGGTCAAATTAAACTATTTTATAGTCATACATATCTTTCATAATTTAGCAAAATAACATTTTCCCTGAACAAATACCACCCATTACTCCAATAATTGACATCCAATAAATAATTAATTATTAAACAGTAATATAATTAATCAATTTATTAATATTATTTGCATGAATAATTTCAAAAATTGGTTGAAAGTTTATTTTTTTCATATTATTGATTTTATGTAATTAGATATTACAAATTTTGAATAACATATTCTATTCTAGATTTAGAAAATCCAAATAATACTAAATTGTTAAAATAAATGGTATATTATATCAATTTTTAATAATAAAAGTTTATTACTATATTTTTATCTGTTAAATGAATTTAGATCTGTCATAATAATTACAAAATTACAGATAGGAGATTAACAATAAGTTCAAATCAAAATAAATAATGGCTTAAACTATCTTTAAATTAGTATTGATCTGTTTATATTATTATATAGGCTTCTTAATCAAATAAAAAAGACAATGTCAATTTAGCTACTTTGAAATAAGATTTAGGTAGATAAAAAACAAAATAGAGAACTTCAGTTTCAAGTATTTTAGAATCTATTTAGTATAGATTTTCAAGGAAGTCCTATGAAAAATGCTGTGAGACGAAATTAATCTCCAAATGTTTAAATCAATGAATTTAATTCATCTAAGTTTTTAAGTCCAATGAGATCTATCTCTCAATTTAAGCAATCACCTTAGTAATCCAAGTTTTAAATTCCAACACCAAGAGATATTTAATAAAATTAAAGTGCAGTTAAATTATATTCTTCAAAATATTTAAAAGTATTACCTAGTGAGTAAGGAAATTACTATAGTCAACTTTAAGCTAAGTTAGATGGTTTAGCATAATTGATAGGATCTGAAGAAGATTATCATTAAAATGTAAAAGATCTTGAAAATGTTATTGATGAAACAATAAGCAATTTTAAAAGTTCGAATAAATAAAATAAGTTTGATAAACTAAAAAGTTAATAGTAATTACTTGAATAAGATTTGAAACAATTAAATTTCAAAATATCCAGATTTAATGTATATAAAGATTGATCAAATAATGAACCGTTACTTTTATATATTTAATAGTAATTTATAAACTTAGAATAAGTTAAGTATTGTTATATAAATAAATAGATTATATAAGTTAAACATAATATAAATATCATTACCATTCTTAAATATATATAATTTAAATAGAATATCTAGATGATGAAATAAATTTATAATAATAGCTAGACTAAATTAATTGATATTTAATGTAAATCCTCTTTACTGATTCAATTATAGATAACATTGTTTTTGAATTAAAATTAAAGATAAAAGAAATAAATTTTATTTTTATTTAATATATCAAAAATGTCTGAATCTAATGTAAAAGGGAGAGTCTAAGCAATATTTGAAAAATTAGACAATATCTCAACAAGTGTTCAAGATGAGTAAAATTTTATAACATTCTTTTTTTTTCTAGGAAGAACAGTAGATTTCATAACATCTCTTAACTTATTATGGCATTTGAAGCATAATTATAACATAATTCTGAATAAAAAGAAGAAAAATTCAATTACTTAGCATAAAGATTGAGATAATTAGGTGAATATTTAGAATAGGAATAGGAAGAGTATAATATAATAATAATAAAAAATAGTCGTCTAAGATAAGAAGCTGAAACCTAAAAGCTACTAACTGATTTGGAAAGACATGCTAGAAAATTAATAGAATAGAACTCAAAAGACAGAGTAGAATAAGAAAGAAAAATTGTTTATTAGATTGGATAGTAGATGGATAATTTATAAGGTGAAGTAGTTAAAGAGGGACTTGTATCTATTTAAAACTAAATTTTAGGCATAATCTGAATCATATTAATTTGTTGATTCATATATAAATGAAGATCTTCCAAAACTAGCAGATGATTTATAAAATGAAATTGGAGAGAGGAAAGAAGTTGAGGAAAAAATCTAAATTTAGTTTTTATAATAATTAACTGAATTAAAGGAAGCTTTTGATAAGTAAATTAAAAGATTATATGAATTTAGAGAGAAAAAAGAAAGAGAAGCTAAGGAAGAAGAAATTGTCGAAAGCTTAAGAGAGATATCAGGAAGAATAACTGAAGCCTTGAAAAAGACTAGAACAGAAAGAGAGAAGACTGAAGAGACATTAGTATAATTGGTTGAGAAAGTCGTTGAAAAGATTAAACGTGAAATGTTAGAAATGAATTTATGAAAAATCATTTCTCATTATAATTTATTAAATAAATTTTATTTAATATTTGATTTAAATGTGTACATAAAATTCTTTATTTTCTCCTAATAATGGTTACAAAACTGATAATGTTTTCACTCCTTCCAGAATTAAGTATTCTTCTTAACATTCAACTAATGAAACACTATATAAATCTTATATAAGATTTATCATAAATTTAATTCTGGCATTTCTCATTTTTTTCCTACACTATTTAATGTTTTAAATTTAAATTATTTTTACCTTACATATATATTAAATCACAACAAATTTCTTTAATCATAAGATCATAAATAATAATTATAAAACAAGTGAAAGTCCGTTAAAAATACTTCTCAAAATATGATTATTAATAAGGAATAAAATAGTTAAATAGAGAAAATTAAGATTTGCATTAATTAGTGAAAAATAAAAGAGATTAGCCAGAATTTTTAAATGGATTTTTAATTACTTGAAGAAAATTAAATTTTGATAAGAAATTATTTTAAAATTATAAAAAGAAAATGACTAATACAAAAGATAATGAATTAGTGATAATATTTATAAATATTTTTATAATGAAATCTTAAAACAAATTAGTATTATCTTTCAATTTAATTAAAATTGATTTGGTAATTTAAAAAGAAACTCATATATTTTTAATTAATTTATTTTAGTAATTGTATACAAGATAAAAATTAATAAAATTATTTTTGAGATATGTTTAGTAATAAAAAAATAATTTTTAATTGATTTAGAACTTAAATAGAATTAGAAACAATAATAAAATTTAAAAAAAAAAGTGAAGTTTAAAAAGTTTATAATTCTATTTTGATTATTTAAAGAATATATAAATGATAATTTAGAAAAATGAATAAAATTTTGTAATGTGTTCCATAAAGAAATGTAGAATAATTAAATTTCAAGTTTTGTTTTCTCATGGTTTTTATGTAAAAATATATATTGTTAATATATTAATAATTAAAAGTTAATGGGATAACCAAATTAGAAGGCTGCACCAGTATAAGCAAGAGATCCAATTGATATTTAATTAGATTTAAGAATGACATGGAAAAGACTAGAATCTGAATCAAAGAGAAGTTTAAAAGAACAGGATAAAAATTTGGCAAAAGCAAAAGAGGCTTTAAAAAAAAATAATGAAGAAGGAGCTAAATTATTTTTGTAGACAGCAATGGCAAAGAAATAGGAGAGTGAAAATTTATAAAAGATGGCAACAAAGATCTAATTTGTGGAATCATAAGTTAAAAGTGCTTAAGCAAATGCAGAGGTATTGAGATATGATTTATAAATATTATAGATGATGAGATAATTGAATGTTGTAACCCCAATTATGTAGTAATATGTAAATACTATGTCAATTGAATAATTATATCAAAATATAAATCAATTTGATAATGCTATAGATGATATGATGGTATAAGGAAAGGTTATGGATTCTATGATGAATAAAAACTAAAATGATTTTTAAACAAATATGGCAGTAGATTAGATGATGTAATAATTAAAGAAAGAAGAAGCATTAAAATTATAAGACTTATAACCCAATAGTATATAATTGTATAATAATTTTTAATAGATATGGGATTTCAATAGATACAATAACAATAATAGTAACCTTAGTATCAAAACTAACAATAGTATCAATAATAGAAATATTGATTTAGATAAAAAAATATCATTAAATTATGAAATTTCTCAAATTTAACCTTAAAGATCAACAACAATAACAGTGATATCATCATGCAATTTTCTTCTTTTGCCTAATGGTATTTTTCTAATATCCTCATCAGACATATTATTTGATTTGGCTGCATGAGATAAGGATTCTTCAAATATTTATTTTATGATTTCATCTTTATTATTTTAATTCTTTTAGACAATCTTAAAATATATATCTTAAAAATACTTTAGAGATTTCTGACTTAGATAATTCATCCCATAATCCATCAGATCCTAAAATTAAGTATCTATCTCCTTTTTGAATTTCAAATACTTTCTAATCAGGTGTAGACTATATTTATATATATAAGATATGATACACTAATATATGGTCCTTTAAAATTCGAGATAGATTTTAAATATCCTTTATCTTCAGATACATTTTTAGGATTATTAAACTCTTAGAATTTCAATCTAAAATCGCCTAAAGACCTAGTTGGTTAGAGTCTTCCTTTAACATAACAACTTTTTTCTCCATTTTTACAAACAACTATGTCATCATCAGAAAAAACAGATTTTAATCTTCTTTATTCTTTTTTTGAGTTTGCATTTAAAGTATGATTAATTTTTTTATAAGCTTTTTCATTCACTATTTAAAAATTAACAAAACTTATACTTTTATTGCTGACATTCACAATAATTCCTTTACTATCTCCCAAATTTGCACTATATACTTTATTTCCAACAACAATAGCTGTAAGTGCACAACTTCCTACTCTAGCTACTGATGGAAATCCCATATTATATGCTTATAATGCAACTTTATAAAATTCTTATTCAACATCAGAATAAGCTTAACATATACTTTATTGAATTAAATCATCTTGATTCAATATTTAATCTTAGTTCTTCAGTATATAATAATCTATTTTCTCATGTAAGATATTCATTGCTAATTCTGCTAATTACCAACCTCCATGACCATCGAAAACACTTACAGCATAACCATTAATATTTTTCAATTGATTTACTTTGTATCTATCTTCAATAGGATTGTTTGCTGCATATTAAAGTAATACAACTCTTTAATCTAATTAATTTTTTTTTAAAGATGAAGAACCAAAAAAACATTTGGTTTCATCATTCATATAAAGATGGCATCCGTATATCATTATTAATGGTAAAACTATGCTTTTATAATTATTTTTAAATCTTTCATTATCCTCACCTGAATATGATTTAGATAAATCGCAATAACTTGCCTTCGTTTCATATACTATAAATTATGCATTAAATCCATATTTTGCATCAAGAAATTGTTAATCAGGTTTTGTATACCTGAATAATAGTTCATCAAGAGCTGAAAGACCAGATTGCTTCTTACTTTTTCTTTTTGGTTTTTAATCTATTTTAATACTAAATCTATCATATACCTGAAACTACTAATGATTTGATTGTTCTATTAAAAAGAAATGTCAGTGGTTTCTAGATCAATGATGTTAAATTCTTATACATTTTTTATGGTTAGTTAATTTATTTAATAAAATAATTTAGACATTCACAAAAATATATTTAAATGTATCAAATACCCATACTTTTGTATTTATTGCATAATTTAGAATTGGGTTAAATAAAGCAATAATATATAATGTAAACTATAAATGATCCAATTAGAGGTCCAGCAATAAACAACCATAAATCATTTCTCAAAATATCAGTTCTATTCTCTACATATGCAACAGCTAGATTCATTCCGATTGCAATAGTGGGATTCATACATCCACCAGAATGAGGGGATAATTTTCTTGAATAATAAATTGCCAAAGTCAACAAAATAGTATTATATAATGGAGTTTTAAAAACAGCTGTTTTTCTTTCAAATAATAATACATTCATAAACTAAAAAGATGTTGTTGCTAATATCTCTCCAAATAGATCCGATAAAATCCAATTATATTCATGACTCTATAATCTTGGACTTGAAATGTGGCCTGTTAAAAGATAGCAGATTATTTAATATTTTATACCCAAAATATGCTCCTGTCATAAACCCAAGAATGCCAACTAATATTTACAACACTCCTCTAAATCTATTTATAGGATAATGAGGTCTAAACATTAATATTAATGTCACTGCTATATGATAATGTGCTCCACTATGTCTTGCAGAAAATAACATTGCTATTTTTTAATCATTGTTAAATCCATACAAAAAAATATCACCAATTAAATTTAGAAATCATCCTTTGCTGATTATAATCCAATACCAAATAACGTTGTTCCCAAATATTCCAAGATCAACATACGTTATAATTTTCTATCTGTTAATGGTTTATAAAAGTTTATCACAGTTGAAGTTCTAGAGCTATCAAAGTTATTATAAAATATACATTTCAGATATTCTTCTATTTTCTGATATTCTTTTTAATATACTCATTTTTATTAAATAAAATTAAATAATCAAACATTATTTAATAAAGGATTATTATAAAAATTAATTAAATAAATATTGATTTCATATTTCATCAATTTTAAAATTTTGTTTTGAGAATGCACTAATCTTTTTCTAATTCATTGAATTAAATTAAATTTATCAACTTAAAATATTAAAATTTGCAAAAAATTTATAAAGATTCTTTATTCAATATATAATATATTATTAGCATAGATATATTATTCTTTTATAACTTATTATCACTTATTCTTTAAATATATTTAATTTTGATATCAATAATTATTGAAAATTTTAATATTAAATTCAAATATGTACCGTATTGGTGATCATATGAGTAAAACTAGTTAAAGTCAAAGTAGAGAAAATAGTAATTCTAACTTAGAAGACTGTATGCATAATATTTAAAGCAATCTAAAAATGATATATGGAAAAGATGAAGAAGAAGTACATCTTGGATCATATAATGTTAATGCAGTTTCAGGATTTCATAGTTAATTTCTTAGTAATAAGGATGATTAATATGATTCATAAAGAATGCATTATACCTCTTAGTAATCTAACGATTTTATGCTTGAAGATAAAAACAAATAAATTCGTTAACTTAATAAGGAATTAGCTGATTTAAGAAAAGGATAATAAATGACTTAATTTGAATAGTATGAACATTATTAAAAAATTATTGAGAGTTTAAAAAAAGAAAATGTTCAATTGTAATAAAGAGTCCTCAACAATGAAGCAGTTTAATAACTTAATAGTGATAAAGCAATTGAATACTAAGAATTAATAAAAGAATATGAAATGAAATTAGATTAATAAAATTAACTTATTTCTAGTTTGAATTTATAGTTAAAAGATGCTAAAGATTAATTAAAATTGTAAGCTACTAAATCTCAAATTTCTAAATAAGAATAATAATCTCAATCTAAAAATTACACTTAATTATAACAAGAATTTGATGAACTCCATAGAAGATATATCAAATTATAATAAGAAAATGAAAATATGAAGATTTTAATCGAACAATTATAAAATGATCTGGATAAAAGATTAGAAACTTAAAATGATTCTTAAATAGTTGAAATAATTGAACAAGTTCTTTAGACAATATCTTAATTTGTCAGAGAATATGATTACGAATTATAAAAATCAGAATATTAGTATAAGTTTTCAAATGAATTAAAAGATATAATAAAAGGATTTATAACTTAAAGAGAGTACCTATTAATTATTTATATAGTTTATCAATTTGGTAAAATATTGATAGATTAAGTAGTTTAATAATATCACTATTTGAATAATTGACTTTTGATGTTAAATAGATTCATTCTGATAATATTAAGATTAAGAATATGACCTTACAAATAGAATCCTTAGAATAAATGACTGTTTAATTAGAATAAACTATTAGTTAATATGAAATTATTAGTAATTAATAATAAAACTATTTGAGATTGTAAATATTTTATTAAAATATTTTCTTAGAAATGATGATTAAAATAAATAAGAAAAAGATGAATTAGTTAATGTACTAATTAATAAAACTTTAAATGATTAGCAAATAAATTGTTATGACAAAATGATAAAAAATTTGGAAGAAGTTAATTAAGTTCAATAAAATGAGATTAAAGAATTAAAAGATAAATTATCCTTTTAAAATGAATAAAATTAGTTATATTAAAAATCTTATTAACAAGAATAACATTAATAGAAAATATATGAAAGCAAATTTAAAAAGCAACATTATGATAGTCTATTTTTAAAAGAAATCATGAATAAGTAAAATATTAGTAATAGTATTAGATTAGTTATACTAATTGGTAATGAAATGACTACAAAAACTATTGAATAAATTCAAGAACTTTAATAGAAAATAAATGATCAATATTGTGATGAAATAGATATTAAAAGTAAGTTAGAAATAAAAGAATAAGATCTTAAACTTTAAATAAATGAGAATAAATTATATATGAATGAAATGATAGAAAAAAGAAGGGAAATTGAAATTTTAAGAAATATATTGAGAAATTGTTAAAAATAAATAGAAATGAATAAAGAAAAAATAGATATGTTGGTAAGAGATTTAGATCATAACGTGATGTAAGAGAAAAGTTAATAGTTTTCTGTATCGTATTTACCAAAAACTTTTAAAAAAGAAAATGAAAATTTGGCATAGAAATTACAAAAGACTATGAGAATGTGATCTTTTAGTTTACTTAAAATTATATTATTTTATTTAATATTTAATTCAATTCGCTTATGAGATTTGATTAAAATACATTATTGCCTAATTATAGAGATTTGTATATTTAATTATTTCCTCATGTGTGCGTTCTGGAGCATGAATAATACTTTTGATGCATTCAGAAGCATTAATAAGATTTCCTATTTTTGTTTGATCAAATGCTATCTTTAATTTTTATATTATTTCCTATACTTTATATATATAACTCACATCTTATAGAAATATCTATTACATCTCAATTAAAATTAGCTAAAAAACTATTTATATTGGATCTTCTTGTATGGTTTAGGGAAGGGGGGACGAAATCACTTAATTTTATTAATGATTGATTAAATTTGGTTATTAAGATGTTTCAGAGTCTGATTTAATTAAAATTGAATACCATGCATATATTAACAATTTGATCCATTTTTACAGAAATTTTAGGCATGATATTTGCATGGAACTGAATTTAAATTCTTCAATTTATACTTTAAAATACAGATAATTAAGGTTTATTGACAGGTTGTTCTATACCAGTTGTCATAGCTGATAAAGCAGATGCAGGTAAAGGATCTGATTTTATTTATTATAAATTATACCATTCATTTATCTTTGCTCTGAAGTACCATGAGCAAATTAACATTTAGATCCAATTGCACATTATTTAGTAGCTTTTCTTATACATCTTAATACCTAAATAATGTCGGCATAACATCGTTTTATATTTGGCATTTGGTACACTTTAAGTCTAAAGTTGGCTTCCTCCAAATTAATAAGACATATTTTTTAAAATAATTGTATTTTTAATCCTAATAAATTTTTATATTTTATTTTTTTTTGACATTATTTATTATCAAAATAAATCAAATTTTGGATTAAAAAACAATATACCATATATACTAAAATTAAACGATTCAAAGTTAATTATTATGAAATATGAAAAACTTTTAAGTATAATTGTAATTTTTCATTAAAAAAAGAATTTAAATTCATTACACTATTGTTTAACTTCTGAATTTTTATTTATTGAATATCACCTTTAAAATTCATGAGTATTTCTAAAAGTTATTTATATATCTAATAGCCATTTATCCATTTTAAAAAATTTGAAGAGATTTCATTTACAAAAAATTTTTTGATAATTTCAGATTGATTTAGAGATAATTTTTTTTTGAAAACTATTAGAAATGATATTTGGGAAAAAAGAATAGTTTAGTAAATTAAAATAATAATTTTATATTTTTTTCTTTGATTAAATTTGATTTAAATTTAAATTCATATGATCACTAATTACAGATAATAATATATGTATAAATTAGTATAAAGAAATGAATTTAAACTTGAGATCTAAACTTTTTAAATTTTCATTTATCATTGATATTTAATTTAAATAAAGTTAAAAACTATAAGGATATGTAAAATCTTTTCGTATATTAGAAAATTTTATATTATAAAATTGTTGATTTAATATTTTAGATTTATAAAATTCAATTTTGAAATTTTAGTTTATCTGAAATTTTCAATTAATCATCTAGATTTTAATTAAATATGATTGTAAAACTAAATCTTTCATTTTATAGATAATTTATTAAGCTATTATTAATTTTATTGAAACTAATATCTAAATATTTCAAGTAAGCATCTAAATTTGTAACTAAACTCAAAATATCGTCTGCTTCTAGCTTTGTACAAAATCTTATACTTAAAATTTTTAAATTTGAATCAATTATGTATTAAAAACAATTTTTAGTAATCTTAGATTAATCAAATCCTAAATTAATGAGTTATTTGAAAGTAGATAAAATTGTAATTATAGAATCATCACTTAAATTATTCTAATTTAAATTCAATTCTTATAATTAAGTTAAACTTAAATTGGAACCTAGAATAGTAACATCTTTGTCTTCAATTTAGCAATTTTCTAAATATAAAATGGTTAATTTATTAAATTCTTAAGAAAGAAATGCTCTTTTCTAAGCTATTGCTAAATTGAAGAATTTGATTTCAGAAACATCTTAATCTACTTATATATTTTTTACCTATAAATTTGTAATCTAGATTAATCTTTAGGTAACTTTTATATTATATATTGATGTAGTTTATCGAGTATATATTTTTAATTTTGAATTTATCAAACACTCTAAATTTAAGAGAAACATTATATCTTAAGATCTAATTTCACATAATTCTAAATTTAAATAATTGTATTTATTATCTCTCTTCAAACTATGAAATTAATTTAATTAAGGATTATTTGATATATCCAAACAATTTAAATTTGTTATCTACTGTAAAGCTGTTAAAATAGAATTATTTAAATCACAATTAGACATATATAATTCTTAAATTATTTCTTATTTAGCATTAATTTAGGCAATGGTTTAAGTTACTAGTGTTAAATTATGGAAGGCACAGTCATTAATATTAAAACTTGTTAAAGCAACCATAGATTTGTTTTTCCAAACAGCTTCAAAAACTGTTTCATCAGATTTAGTTTTACTTATATCTAAAGTCACAAGATTACAGAATTAAGATTATTTAAAAAATTGGCATAAAGCTTCTGCAGACAAACATTAACACTTTGATATGTTTAGATTTGATATTGATGAAAGTTTTAAGATTATTGGTAAATTTAAATCATTTATAAATGTATTACTCAAAATTAGAACTCTAATTTGATCCAAATTTAATTTATTTAAAATATTTTATGCAAATTATATATTTTAATTAGGGGGAGTTTATTCTTGTTTAACTTCAAGTCTACTAATATTAAAATTATGAAATAGATTAAGTAATTCATTTAACAAATTTTAATTCTTTTGATTATCATAAAAAATAAAGTTATTGATTTCAAATTAAAAATGTCTTTTAAATTTAATAATTTTTTGAAATGGAATATTTTCCTATTAAAGAAATAATAAAAAAGATTCTGTGTCAATAAAATAAATTTAAAGATCTTAAAAAGTCATAATTATCTATATTAACTTTTCATTTGAAATATTTGAATCTAAAATAAATTTATTTGTGTTGTGGTATATCTGAAAAGTAGGAATCACTCTTTATATTTAGGAATTGACTATTAATTATCCAAGAGTAATTTATATTTAATTATTAAGAGGATACTCATTTTAATTTAGGTCTTGAATAAATTCCAAATTTATGATATGATTATTTATTGATTTAATTTTAAAAAATTTTCCCTTTAAATACTATTTTTTCATTGTTTCACAACAATTGGCAAAATTTGTAAATTTATCAGAGCCTTCTAGATTTGTATCACATAATTAAAATAATTTGGTACAATTAGCTAATTTTATGAATTAAAATATTGAACATCTATTTGTTTCTTGAAGAAGAAACTATAAATCATTTTAATTTTTATAATAATTTCCATTCATCAACATATAATCAACTTCAAATAAACTTAAAAAATATTTCTCCAATAAGTATTTCAAATCAGTTGAACTTTCTTAATTGATTTTCATAAAAGTATTTAGGATTAAAACTCCTAAATTCCATGTATCAATTAAAAAAGGATTGAGAATTTTTATTTATTATTTAACTTAATTATCTACTTAGATTAGTTCTGGTATAGGAAAATTTGGATCGATATATATTTTTTGTGAATAATTAAATATGAATTATTCAGATTAAACTCTTTATAAATCAAAACAAAATTTAATCAAAAACTTATTTGATTCTAAATTTAAATAAACATCATCAAAAGAAAAATTAAATAAGCATATATTTTATTAATGCAATTTAGCTAATTATTCTACCAAATCATAAGCTAATTATTTAATTTTTTGATAAGTCATTTGATTGTTACTAATCATTTAATTAAATGAAATAAAAGTACCTTCTTCAATTATTATTCCTATTTAAAGTTTTAAAATTGATATAATTGAATAGCTAGAATTCAAATTTAATGTATTTAAGAATTGTAAAAGTTCAAAAATTTCTTCACTGTTATTATCCTTGATTATTAAAAACGAAATTAAAAATATTTTATTATCAAAAAGCACTTTTAAACTAGCAAATTCTTCTTAATTTTAAATTTTCTTGATTTATTCTTATATAACAAGATTATCTATGCTTTCTAAAAATAGTAAAATTTATTGGATGTAATTAATTTACTAGCCTTGAATAGATTCTTTAATATAATGGTTTAATAATTCAAGACTTGATTAAAACATTATTAATTAATCAAAAAAAATAATAAAAAAAAAATTAAGAATATTTACAAATCTGTTAACTACCTGTCAGAATCAAAAAGTAGAAGGATATATAGAAAATGATTCTTAGATAATCGATAACTATAAAAATATAAATAATGAGTCTGTGATTGTAGAAGAAATAAATTTCATATATTAAAAAATTAGATAATAATAAAAATCTAGCTTTTGTATAATAAAATCATTAGAAATATTTTTGAGATTATATGGGAATACTATAAAGATATTTAATTTAGATGATTATAGTTTATTTCTATATTGGAATATATATAACTTCTTTTGAGAATAAATCTAAAATTGCATATTTTATTCTCATTGGTTAAATAAATTAAGTAATGTCATTCTAAAATCGAATTTTATCTTATTAATCGGGAAGATAAAAAGGGAGAAAATTATGATGTAAGGTTTTTGGAATGAATAAGTTATTAAGATTATATTTATAATTATTTATGTTTCGAAAATAATTAAAATCGGTTGATGATAAAAAGACGTAATGTCAATCTCCTTATCGTTTTAATTTCTTTAATAAATAATTAAAGAGTAGAAAAGATTAAGATTAAGGATAAGCTTAAGATTTTCTAATTAGAAGAAGATAGAAATTAAAAGAATCACTATCAATATCAAATACATTTAATTTTGATGAATAGTAACTTGCATCATTTAATGGGGTTTTTGTTCATTCATAGAAACAACAATAAGTAAAAGAGAAATTAGTTACTGAAACAGGAAATTACGGATCTTATAGAAAGCGTATAGAGACATTACATACATAGCAATTTTCAGATGATGACGCAATATTACATCCTGATCGATAAAATGAAAGATTAAAATTGAAAATTTATTTTAGTTTTCAGAAGATGTAAACAAGATTAGTTAATTTAATCAATCTTATTTAATAGATAGATGCATGCTCTTTAAATAATTATATTTCTGAAATTTCTTCTGCCATTATCGAAATAATTGGAGTATAAAAATATTCAAATAATTAGGGTCATTGTAGACAATATAAAAGATTTATGATAAATGAGTGTATTAGTTTAATTTTCTATCTAATGATTAAGAGAGGAATTCTAACAGGTGTTGATTTAACAAAGTGGGAAAAATTAATTATTTATAGTCATTAAGCTAACACTATTTAAACAATTAATTCACTTAAATTATAGATTAGAGGTGTTCAATAATATTAACATCAATTTCAGTCATTTTAAAGTATGAATCCTTTAATTCCTTATCAAATTGAAAAGATGAATTTATTAATTGAATAAAATATTGACAAATTGTTAAAGTACATCTTCAAAATATGAAGGAATACATAAGATAAATAAGTTCATTAGCATATTCAAGCTTATCGGGATTCATAAATAGATGCTGCTTTTTAATTTTACTAATAAAAACTTAAAGTGATCTTAGTAAATCTAGAAAAATTTTTATTTTTGCTTCCTAAAAATTCTACAGTTTATACCTTAGTATTAGATTTAGATGAAACATTAGTGCATTTTATAGAAGAAACCCAAGAAGTATTAATAAGACCCTATACAGGGATATTTTTAGAATAAATGGGAAAACATTTTGAAATTGTAATATTTACAGCAGGAAAATAGTCATATGCAGATAAGTATTTGATTCTTAAATTTAAAGGATTATTGATAAAATAGACAGTATGAATTCAGTAAAATATAGATTATATCGACATCATACATTTTCATAAGGAAATGTATTGTTAAAAGATTTAAGCACTTTGGGAAGACCTCTTTCCAAAACTATTATTGTAGATAATAACCCTTACAATTTTGTTTTATAGCCACATAATGGCATAAAAATAAAACCTTGGGTTGGAGATGAAAAAGATAGAGCTTTAGTTGAATTAATGCAATTCTTGGTGAAAATAATTAAATATGAAGATATCAGAATTGGTCTAAAAGAATTGAAAGCTAACCCTAACTATTTTACAACTTCTTTCTGAATTGACTATTAAAAGATTGATAAATTATATATTTCAAATAAAATTCAATAATTAAATAATAAAAATAATTAATGCTTTAATAGAATATAATTAAATAGTAACTAGGGTTATTTAATGGAAATTTAAATTCAATATAATAAAGTTATTTTTATGTTGATTTTTAATATTTTAGTAATTAATTTATAAAGGAATCAATAAAAATTTATAGTTATTTTTAAGATTATAAATTCTCTACAATAATTGATTAAAAATATTTGTATTTAAAAAATAATCTTAAAATAAATATTTATGTCATTTATGCTTAGTAAGCATGATGGGGGTGTTATCATTGAAATAATTAGCTGAATTAATAGTTTTTGATATTCCTTATTATTAATGAGATCTTTATTCTTCATTAGATAGAATTTTTTATTTAACTCCACTCACAGATGGTTTTTATAAAGTTTATTTTTTTCCTTCCAAACTTTGATTTCTTCTCAAAATTTTTTATTTACCTAAATTAATAAGATATTAACGTTCATTTGCCAATACAGTTTTACTATCAATGGTTTCTATTAAATAAAATTCTAAATTTACAAATAGTTTTGCATAATAACACAATTCTATCTCTATATTTGTAGACTTAAGTGATAGGATTTCCTCTCAAATCTATTTCTTTGATATTTGGTAGATTAGATATTGAATCTTCGATGTCCTTATTATATAAATTTAAATGAATACATCAAATTCTTTAATTTTATTATTTTTTAAATTTAAGTATTCTAAATTTTGTAAAGATCCTAAAGTTAAAATAAATTCAACATTAGAATTTTCACAAGTTAAATTAATTAATGAGAAGGCTGCTAATTCAAATGATTCATCAGGGAATTAAAATTCTTTAGTATTTTAATTAGAAATAGATAGAGTATTCAATCTACTAGGTAAGATTGGCAAAATAGTAAGATAATTTTTGTCGAAGTATGCTTTTTCTAAAGAAGGTAATTATTCAAATTCAACAGATTTTAATTAGTTATTTTGAGCATTTAATATTCTTAAGAATTATAAATCCTACAATACTAATTTTTACAAATTGTTATCATAAATATGAAGTACTTATAATCCTTTAGCCATAGAAATACAATCACTTAAAGATGTTAATCCTAAACCATTTAATGAAAGCACACAACAATCAGACAATTGGTCTTGTTTTTTAAGAGGTGGCTTTTTTGAATAATCTTTTTTTTTATTTAAACCCTTAATCATTAATTCTAAAGTTAAAGGCTTAGAATTAGATTTAGCAGATAATGGCTATTTATCAATGTCATTTATGATTTAGATTATTTAAATAGCTTTATCTTGTGGAACTCCTAATTCCAATAAAAGATCTATTGTTAATTCTTTAGTCTATTCCCATTAATCAAATCCATTATCTACTAAGGCTTAAATTACTTATTTTGATTATAGTAATTCGTAAACTCGTTACACAAAAATCAAAAATTAGTCATCCTCATATTAATTCATAATATAAAACTCAAATTATTATATTTTAACTTTGTGCTTAAAAGTTGTGTAATCCATTTCAGATAGTTAAATTTTGAAAAATGCTAATAATATTTCATAATTCAATAATTTTTAATGGAATATTTACATATAGTTGAAAATATCATGCCTTATGTGATTAACAAAATTATGACTGGAGTAGAGGATAAGATATTTGAAAGTTTAGAATCATAATCTAGTGCAACTTTCACAGTTGATCTAGCATTTAATATGATGCATTAGAAATGTTTTGATCCTTATTTTCAAAATTATATTGAGAAAGAAGATTATGAAGCTTAGAGTACTTAGAAGGAGAGATTTAGAGCTTATGATATAAAAGACATACCTCCATTATCTATTAAGATAACACCAAAAGTAGAATTACCACCTAAACATTAATACACGTAGCCAACTTAATTATGGGAAGATTATGAACCTTAATTAGTTAGATAGAAAGCTATTGAATATATTGAAGAATATCCAAATGAAAGAAGAATTATGGAATAAAAATGCATTGAAAAATTTAATAAAGAATAGATGATAAGAGAACGATCAAAAGAAAAAAGATTGATGAAAGAGTAATATAATAGATTGATAATGCAAATAGGAACAAAAGAATATACTTATGATTACAATTGTGATCCTATTGCAAGATCTAATAATTAAGTTAAAAAAAATGTTATTACTACTTTCCCATTTGAAGTACCTTTGACTGATAATAATTCTGTGATATCAAAACCTAAACTTATTGAATAAATCAAATCTAAACGTCGATAAGCAGAGAATGAAGAAACAATAGTTGAATTTATAGAAACATAAACATAAGATTTTAAGTTATAGCCAGGTGTTAGGTTAAGTTTCTAGACTGTGAATCAAAAGGAAACTATTTAGAAATAACTATCATAACAATCAAAATAAACAGATTAATTATTAAATTAAAATAAATAATTCAAGGGTTTCAGAAATTAGATAAAATTAAATGACGTTTAGTTATTTAGTTTTTTACAATAATATGATTTTGATAGCAACTATGATACAATCATATAAAACTCTAATAAGACCCAATTAGTTAGTCCTACAAATTAAAGTCTAATCGATTAATAGACTATTAAATAAGATGTTTTAAGATTACCAAAATTAAGATCACATTCAATAAATGCTCGAACGAAAACATAAAAAAGATAATAGTAAACCTACTCAATTGTTACTTATAGAGATTGATTAATATTTAAATTAATTACATTAAAAATATATTTCAAGTGATTTTATAAACTCTCACATATCCATGTTCTGATTACACTCTATTTATGATATCATTTTCATCTGAAATATTAATCACCTTAATTTCATATTTCAATTAGTATCTTTTCATATTTTTTCATGAACTCATTGAATTTTGCTTTAATATTCTAAAGGTCAATGAGTAGATAAGCTCTTTTCATGGTAAAGGTAATCTAATCTTATTTAAATTTCTGAATGATTCTGCATCAAGAATTTTCATACTGTGATATTCTCCATTAACAACATTATTAAGTTAGAGATGATAAATTAATTGTAAGATTTTAGACATATTATTTAATTATATTTTGATATCATAAATTCTTATATTAATTCTTCCATATTTAATCTCATAACTTAATTTTCCAAGGCTACAGGTATACAATATTCAGGAATAACTAAATTATTATTATCATCTATAGATTCCCATCTATTTAATATAATATCATACTTTAAATTAGATTTTTCATTCAGATCAGAAGATGAAAGTAAATGATTAAAACCCACATCTATATTTTGATGTCCCATTTATTTTTCATTAAATAAATTAAGTAAATTTGATGAAATATTTCATACTTAAAATCAATATACCTACTATTATCTTAGTGTGTGATTTGTTATTTAGAATTGAATATGATCATTTAATCATAAATTGTTAACATTATACAACTTAGAGACCAGGTTCTTAACCAAACTTAAAAGAATATACTTTAAATATAAATATTTATTTAATAACAGCTTATTTTCATGGAGTAAATATGATCATAAATATTTTATAGTTAAGCAGGATATAATCATTCTCAAATACAATCATTACTTTATTAATCATCAAATTTAATTAGACCACCTAGATTAGGTTAATATAACCTTTAAGGATCCATTGGTCAATCTGAATAATTTTAATACAAGTATAATTAATACTCTATAATACTATAGTCCTTTATAATAATAAAGTCTAATCTAATAATATTCATCTCCCACAATTGGAATACCGTATAAAATTTATATTTATTGGAAGTCCTGTTTCTGCTAGACAAATCTCTACCACACCTGTTGTTTCCCAAAATATTACACAATAATAATAGCTTTTAATCACTCCATCTGTTAGAATTTCTGCTCCTTCACAACCAAATAATGCTGAAGTACATCATTAAGAACGACCTTTATAAGTTGTTACTTTGGATGATATGGATTCTAGATGGAAAACTAAATGCAGTATTCTTTTGTTATTATTATAAGTGTAATTGGAGGTTTATCTCTTTGATCTTCAATAAGAAAATCTAAGATTAAAAGGAAATGCTCCTTAAATTTCTTATGTTTAAGATGATTTAAAAGTAATTTTTAATTTACATTCTAGATTAATGAACTTATAAATGCTAACAAAGAATTAAAAGATTAAGAGTTTTCTCTAAGATCAAATAATAAATAACTATAAGATGAATTAGATTAATGGAAATTAAGATACAAGTAACTACAAGAATCTAATTCTAAAAATTAAGGAACAGATGATGAAATAAGATTACTTAAAAAGAAAATTAGTAATTATATCATTTATCAATTTCAAAGGCAGTTTAACAGATGATCTTAAAAGTTCATAAGAATAAAATGAATTTAAAGATTAAGAAATACGTAAACTCAAACTTCTCATGAATGATAAGGATAATGAACTTGAATCACTTGATTAAAGAATAAGAGAATTAGAATTTTAATTAGAAAGTTTTTCTTAATCCGAATAATAAATTATTTCACTTTAAGGAGAAGTAGAATTATGGAAGAAGAAATTTAAATAATAAAATGAAATTAACTCTGATATTTCAGAAAAACTTACTATGGCAGAAACATAATTAGAAGCTTTAAAAAAGAGTAAAGTTACAGTAACTAAGGAGAGTGAAATTAAAAGAACTGGACCATCTGGTTCTGGAGTTACTACTTAATTCGAAACTAGTACAATTAAAGGAGCTACAATAGCTCCTGGAGGATACAGTACTTATGGAAACAACAATAGTGGTAGAAATTCAGTTGTTAGAAATTCAGGATATAATGATAGAAAATAATTATGATAATGTATGTTTGACATTTATGAAATGCAATTTTATATTGTATTAATCATATTATGAAAATTTAAATAATTTAATTAAAATCTTTTAATAATGGGAGTTGGTAAACCCAGAGGTATGAGAGCAGGAAGAAAGCTCAAAGATCATAGAAGAGTTAACAGATGGGCTGACAAAGAATATAATAAGGCTATGATTGGATCAAGATATAAAAATCCATTTATGGGTGCATCACATGCTAAAGGTTTAGTTGTTGAAAAAATTGGAGTGTAAATATAATTTTATAAACTCTATCTAGTGAATCTAAATAACCAAACTCTGCTGTCAGAAAGTGTGTTAGAGTTTTATTGAAAAAGAATGGTAAAAAAATATCAGCCTTCGTTCCTAAGGATGGTTGCTTAAATTTCTTAAATGAAAATGATGAAGTTACAGTAGCTGGATTCGGAAGAAAGGGACATGCAGTTGGTGATATTCCAGGGGTCAGATTTAAGATTATTGCAGTTAAAGGAAAGTCACTTTTGGCTTTATGGCTAGGAAAAGTAGAAAAATGAGCAAACCATTAGCTATTTATCAGTATATTAACAATTACATAATCATATGCATTTTTTAAAAAGAAATTATTTAATCTAAACTTAATTCAATGTTTTTCTTAGGTAAAAATTAATATATAACTATTAATTACATATTCTAAAGAAATAAATTAATTATGTAGGAGGAAATCATGCTCTCTTGTCAAAGTTAAAACTTTAATTCATGTTAGCTTTGGCAGTACAATTTGATTTTTTTGTTTTTTATCCTCCACCACTAAGATCTCTTGAACCTTTTCTACTATTCATCTTTAACCATAATTAATATGGCATTGATTAAGGTTTAGTACTTGCAGGCATAGAGAGATCCTATAATTTATAAATTATTTATTAATTACTCCTTCTATATGCAAAGATCTTTTTTTACTATCTAAGTTTGTTGTATCTGCTAAATTTATAGATTTATTTTCTTTTTTTTTGTCTAAAAGAGAATTATTATTATTTGTATTATTATTAATATCGAAATTAGAATAAGAAACCTTTTGATTTTTAGTAGTTTTACTATTATATGGCATTTTAGATTAAGAATTGCCTCTTACAGCTGTTGGTGTAGTATTTTTGGTTGATGATTCTAAAATATAATTATTTAATACTCAAATATTAAAGCAATTTATTTTAATGTCCAGGAGATATAGTTGAAGCATTAGAAGATCTTTTACTTGTATTAATATAAGTAGTTTTATTTAATGCATCATTAATTTAAATATCAGTTGTCATTTTCTTATTATTATTCTATTGAAATGATTAAGATTTATTTCTTTCAAATTAAAATGATTAATCCTATTTCAAGATTTAATAAATATATATATACTTCAATAGATAAAGAAGAGTTTTAATAATTTTTAGAGCCATTATAAATGGATCTAATATCTTCAACTTAAGGAACTGACATTCCTCTTCCTTATGTATGTGATTTTGAATTATTTTAACATGAGCCTGATCTATTATGTTTAAGTGTTTTCATTAATTGACTATCTAATAAATTGCTTATTGGAGCTAATAAAAATAGGTAAACTAGATACGTTTTGAAGGTCTAGTAGCAGGTTCTAATAATTTTTCATTAAAATTTTATGAATTGATATCTGCATTAGATTAACCTCCTTTAATTAAATGTTTTTTGAGAAGTAGAAAGTATGCTGTAGTTAAATTATTGTGTTTATTAGCATCAAGACATTTTTTGATATAATCAGCACTATATCCTTTTTGAGCAAGTTAATCAACAATTTCTTCATCAATTGGGATTCGACTATATCCTATAATAATACCCTAAGGGATTGAATGGACTCTTTTATATAATTTAAACCATGGATGTGATTTAATTTTGTCAATATCAAATCTTTTTTTTGGATCTGTATTCAATATACCTCTAATAAAAGATTAGCCATCTTATGAAACATGTGAAGGTATTGTATATTATCCTCCAAGTATTTTCTTATATAATTCACTTGTATGTTTATCTTCAAATGGTAATTAACCACAAATAGCAGCAAATAAGATAACACCACATGACCAAATATCAACCAAGATACTTTAATATCTATGGCCAGCAATCATTTCAGGAGCAGCATAACAAGGACTTCCACATGCTGTTTTAAGTAATTCCCCTTCTTTATAAGTATTAGAAAGTCCAAAGTCTACAATTTTAATTTAGTTTTAGTGATCCAATAATAGATTTTCAGGTTTTAAATCTCTATGAACAATGTTAAGTCTATGAATATATTCTATACCAGAGATCAGTTCTTAAAATATCCTACAAGCTTCAATTTCTTCTAATCTAATTATATATAAATAATCATTAATTAATACTTTTCATTTTTTACAATATAATCAAAAAGTTCACCATTATCACAAAATTCCATAACCAAAAATATATGCTTTTTAGTCTCAATAATCTAAAATTAAAATAAACTTAAAATTACTTCGTATAACTATATAACATGTCTATGGCGAATCAATTTTAAAATATGTATCTCTCTAGACACTCTTTCAACATCTGCAACTTCTATTATACGCTCTTTCTCTAATATTTTAATAGCCACTTTCTCTCCTGTTATTTAATGTACTCCAAGTTTTACTAAACCAAAAGTACCTACTCCAAGAGTTTTAACTCAAATAGTAAAAACATCAAACCTAATAAGTAATCTCCAATCACCCTTTGTTTTTATTAATCTTTATTGTTTAGTGTTGTATTTTCCTTATCAGAGTCCTTCTTTTACAGCATAATTTCAATATCGTTAAATTATTAATATTCAGAAGCAATAAATGTTCTAATTTATCAAAGACTCATTTGAATAGGTTGCCTCAAAAGTTAAATAAGGTGGAGTTTCATCCAATTCAATCAAAGTCAATTTAACCTAATTTGAAGATCATTAATCCTCCTTTTAAACAGCTATTTATTAGAAGTATTTGAGACAAAAGTTAATCAATAAATTGAATTAAGTAAGATGTTAAACATTAATAAAACTAGTTTGTTGGTAAAAAAGTACTTGTCATTGATTCATTTATTGCAGATATGCTTAATCTTGTTGTAGAATCTATGTAGATTTTGAAAGAAAATGGAGTTGATTAAATCTATTATATTGATTCTGATTAATTAGATGTAGAATCTAATCAAATTATATTCTTTGTGAATCCAGATAGATAATATATGAAAAGAATTGTTAGAATCATTAGAAATAATTAACTCGCTAATTTTAATAAAAAATACTTATTAATCTTCTGTCCTCGATTAAATATTGTATGCAAAGATTATTTAGAAAAAGAAGCTGTTTTAGGTGATTTAATCATAACCAATTTTAATTTTGATTTAATACCTTTAGCTAATGATTTACTTTCTTTAGAAATGAACAATTGTTTAAGACCTTTATATATTGGATAAGATATGTAAATTTTGTAAACTATTGCTGAATCTATATAAAGAATTGAATTAGTGCATGGAAAATTTAAAAATATATATGCAAAAGGAAATTATGCTAAATATGTCATTGATATCCTAAAATAAAAAAAATAATAAGGAGAAATAATAGAAGATGAAATTAGCTTTAAAGAATCTAAAATGCATACACTTTTGATTATAGATAGAAAAGTAGATTTTATTACTCCTATGTTAACTCCATTCACTTATGAAGCTTTGATTGATGAAGTCTTTAACATCAAACATAATTCCATTAATCTAGATATTATAAAAAATGAACCAGCTTTAAAAGATAGACCTAAAACTATGAAACTTAATGATTCTTATTATAATAGAATCAAAATTATGAATATTAAATAATGTTAGCGAATTCTTGAAGAAAAGAGACAAAATAATAAAACTATGATTTAATCCATGAAATAATAAGAAAGTAAAATGAATATGAGTGATATGAATTAATATCTAACCAAATTACGTTCGATCCCAAAAGAACAAAACATTATTCTTGACCGTAATAATTTACACTATTACAGATCTTATTGTTAGTTAACATTTAAGTAAATAGTTAGAAACTATTTTATTTAATATGTGCGTTAATTAAGAAGTTCATGCAATTCTTTAAACTAAGTCATAATAAGTTGAATAAATGATAGAAAATCTAATATCTATTGGTGCACCCATTACTAAAGTTATACGATTATTTAGTCTTTACAATTAAATCTAAAATGGAATGAAAACTAAACTTTATGATTTTTATCGTAGAGAAATTTTGCATATGTATGGCACTGAGCATATAATAACTCTTGAAAATTGTGAAAAAATTGGTTTGATTGGAAAAAAAATTAATGAAACGCATATCTGGGAGAAAATTGAAAAACCTTTGCGTCTTATTAATGAAGATATTGATCATGATGCTCCTGAAGATATCTCTTATGTTTTTCTTGCATATGCACCAATCATGTATTTATACTTATTAATGAGAGTTCGAATTTTAGAAGAATTAATCATTAAAAATACCTGGGGACCATAGGTTTTACAAGCTTTAAAAGAATTACCTGGAGAACTTCTTATGCAATAAAATTTACATTAACTTAAAGGTGAAGAAGTTAAAGAAGAAACAAACTAAATTTATGTTATTTATTTTATTGGAGGTATCACATATGGAGAAATTGCAGCTATTCGTTGGCTAGGATTGCGTTACAGTATTTTTTGTCCATTATTTTTTATAGAAAAGGATATACAAATTTGTACAACACATGTTATTAATGGAGATAAATTGGTTTAAGAGATGATTTAAAATTATTGAGTTAATTAATTACCAAAGTTTTATTATTTTTAAATTCTTTAATGATTTACAATATATATATTATTATACTTACATCTCTTTTCATTTAAAAAATAATTTTGATCAATTAAACTTCTTAATATTTTTTATAAATTATTAAAATGAGTAGCAACATTTCTAATCAAAGTTTTATTAAAAATTCAAGAATTTTTAAGAAATCTATCTATACTGGTTTTAATCATTAATTTTTAATGTTAACAGCATATTATTTACTTAGTTTTTTTGCGATTAAATTAATTATAATTTTTTTTATTATTGCTTTGAATGAAAATTTTCTTAAAACGGACAACTTTCCTCCTAGCTTATATTCTAATAATGTCAGTTTATGGTTCAAAAGAACTGGTTTAAGAAAACCACATTATCAAATCAAAACTCTATTGTGAATTTATGAATGGCATAGATGAATATATCTAAATAACAAAAATGGAAAATGACTTATTTGGAATTAAAGCATCAGACTTCACTTTCTAAATTTAATTCAATTCAACTAATTAAATAGAGAATTACAAAGATGTTTTAATAATTTAGAATCAAGACGAATTCAATGTAAAATGAAAATTATTCTTTAGATAAATGTGTATTTTAATATTGCTGATTATTAGATAAAGAGCAATTATATTGATGGTTTTTTATATAACCAAGTGAAGTTTATTATAAATACTGAAACTCAATTATTTTTTAATATAATTACTTTTTCCTAATCAAAATTCAAAGAATTCACTAAAATTCATTTTGATAAAATTAATATTAAATAAAAATTTGAAGATCCTCTGCCATTTTTTCTCTAATTGATTTTTATAACCCCATAAAACGTTGAAACTTAAATTTAAAGTATAATCACAAATTTCAATCTATTAAATCAAGTTTGTGAAATAAATGAATGCAGAACTAATCAAAAGTTACAATAGGTTATCTAGAAAATGGATATCTCTTAAATATATCCATCTAATATATTATAAGGTAACATCACTAATAATTTCAGCCTAGTTTTCCAAGAATTAGTTCCTACAAGATTTTAACCTACTTAATAATATATTTTATGTAGAAGTTCTAAGCGAGTTTGAGATTCTCTAAAGAATATAAACTAATTCTTGTAATTTTATTATGCAAAATTAAATTCTAATCAATAATTCCACATTTTTATGGCATAAGGAATTCTGTAGCAATTCGCAAAGTTATATATATATTATTTAATCCAAAAAAAGTACAATTTATAATTAAATCTAAGTTAGGTTATGACCTTAAAAAATGGCAAAACTATATTTTCTCTATTGAATCAAAGGAAAATTATGAACCAGAAATACTTCTTAATCATTTTGAAATTTTGATTTAATAATCTAATTGCAAATCTTTTGAGAGAATAAAAAAGTTATTAAAAGTCAATGGCATTCTTTTACAGCAAGAACAAGTTTCAATAGAATCAGAATCTACTTATGCCAAATACTAAGCTTCTTTAAATACAGAAGTAGATTAGGCAGATAAAAATTTGATAATAGAACCAATTTAAAATTTTTTAATTAAAGACAGTGTTGAAGAAGAAAATAAGAAAACTCCAACATTCGAATTATATCATAATTTAGATTAAAAACCAACATACAAAACATTAAATGGAGTTTATACTCCTCAAGATCCTGAAATCTTTTTGAGGAATGATGATTAGTAAAATTAAAATGAAATAAATAATGATTAGACTGAAGAAACATAAATAATATAAGATGAGTAAAAGAAAGAATAATAATAAAGTTTATTATAGAAAGAAGAAGATAATTAGTAGAATGTAGATTTTATTGTATATGAAGATCCTCTCAGTTGGATAAATTAAGACAATTAGGATGTAGAAGTTTATTAATTTAATGAGAATTAATAAATTTCAAATGATCAAACTATAATATAAAACATATAAAATAATGATGAAATAAAAAACAAAGATTAATAATAATAATAAGTTGTATACAGCAATGAAAATACGAAAGATGCATCAAATTAAATATTATAAATATAAGAAACTTCATAATTGAATTAAATTAATTAATAAGATAGCATGATTATTGAATAATAGGCAAAAGTTGAGGAGATTATTTTAGATGGTTAGGATAATACCTAATCCAATAATTTTCTAAATGATTAAAATAACTATTAATACAATACTTAAAATTTAGGTGTTCAACAATTTTAAGCAAGAGATGAATAATTATAATAATAATAATAATAGTAATAATAGTAATAATAGTAATAATAATAATAATAATAATAATAGTAATAATAATAATAATAATAATAATAATAGTAATAATAATAATAATAATAATAATAATAATAATAATAATAATAATAATAATAATAATAATAATAATAATAGTAATAATAATAATAGTTTTTAACTTAATAAAATACAATAGGATAAAATGATTTAACAGAAAATGTATAGTAGTAAAATTAGAAGTAATAGAATAAAGACTAATATGAATCAGCTAATGATTATTACGATTATGATTATTATACAGATTTGTATAGTGATTATGATAGTGAATATGATTTTCATCCTAGAAGACATTTAAGCCATCATCATAGAAGTCCTAGAATTAAACATTTTCACCATCATCATCATCATTAATTATCCAGAGATGAGAAAGATTATGATAATATAAAATCAGATTTAAGTAGATAAAGTTATTCAGGATAGAAATTTAATTTAAGAGGAAAAAGAAGAAATACCGAATTAGAAAATAATGATGATAATACAATCCCTATTATAGCAGATAGAATAATAATAGAATATAATTTTGTTACAGCAAAAGAGGAGGATATTAAACTTCATGGGGATGATGATGAAGCAAAACCTTAGAATAAGAAGGATGAAGATGAAGAATAATAAGAAACTAAGGATAAACCTAAGAACCAAAAAAAAAAAAAAGTAGAAGAAGGTGAAGATGAAGATGAAACAAAAGAAAAAGATGAAGCTTAAGGAGGAGATAATGAATAAAAATCTAATAAACCAAAAAGCAAAGCATAAAATAAAGGTTCAGAAAGTTCTAAAAACAAAAGTGAAAAAAAAGAAAAGACGAAGGAGAAAGAAAAAGAGAAACCAAAAAATAAAGCTAAACCTAAAGCAAAGGCTAAGACTGATGAAGAAGAAGGAGATGAAAAGGATTAAGATAAAGAGTAAGAGTAAGAATAAGAATAAGAATAAGAATAAGAATAAGAATAAGAATAAGAATAAGAATAAGATTAAGATTAAGATTAAGAATAAGAATAAAATGAAGACTAGGAGAACTAAGATGAAGGGAACGAAAATTAAGATGAATAAGGATAAGAATAAGAATAAGAATAAGAATAAGGAAATAATGATGAAAATGGAAATGAAGAAGGAAATGGAGAAGAGATGGATGAAGACGATCAATGGAGGGGATTCAGTTCAAAAGATAAGGATAAGAAAAAAGGAAAAAGCAAAGGTAATGGAAGTAAGTAAGAAGAAGAGGAAGAAGATGAAGAATTATATGATGGTGAAGGAAGATATATTAAAAATCATCCATATTATTAACATAGAAAGAATAAGAAATCGCATTATCCATATAATTATCCAGGCAGATATCCTGGAGATGAATTATTTGATGAAGATATATATAATAGATATAGATGTATGAATAGATAAAATAGATATTAAAATTTTGGAAATCCATATAGTGGTTATCCTTATAGACATCGTTAGATCGTTAATTAAAATCCATTTTATACTGGAAATCCATTTTATACAGGTAATCCATATATGAGACCTAATCCTTATTAAAGATATACTTCAAGTACTAGTTGTGTTCCTTGGATGGTCAAATAGAATTATCCTCCTTATCCAGGATATGGATATGGGAGATATTCAAATTTATATAGAGGAAAATATTAAGACCCAGATTATCATCTAAGAGAGATGTGGCTAAGATAATAATAATAATAACATTCCAAATAACAAGTTTAAAGATATAGAGATTAAGTTGGTTATTTTAATAATTATGGATATGATGATATGAGACCAAATTATTATGAAGCATATTAAGGAATAATTGAAGATGATCCTCGTTATTAAGTATACAATAGAAATATTAATGATCCAAATGTTTTTAGTCCTTTTGATGAAACTGTTCATTATGGACATAATTATGTTAGTGAAAAACATTTTAATGCTAAAGAGCAGTCTAAACCTTTGAGTCATAGAATGATTTAATAAAATGCAGATTTTGAAAGATAAGAAAATAATAGTTGTTTATAAGTGTTTGACTAATGTTATTTTAAGGGAAGAAGTTTAAATTTATGTGGAGAATATCCAGTAATTCCAGAAGATCTAAATGGATTCAAGATATTTTCATATATTGTGCCAGAGAATCTTGAAATAAGATTTACCTAATCAGATTAAAATGAAGGTACAACTTATTTTTATATAGATAATTTGTCTGATATTTCTGGCTCTGAAGAATGCTTATAAATACCTTATGAATTAATACCATAATCATAATAATAATGAATATATATATCATAATATGTATTGATTGAAAATATAAAATATAAAATGTTAAGTATATGAGAACTTTAAGTTGATAATTAGATAATTAAATTAAGTGTATTAAGCTTATTGATAGGCAGTTGAACAAAAAAAAATACAGAAAACCATATGCTAATACAAATCCTAAATATATTCTTATTATTAAACCATAAGACAATTTTGAAGGAGAAAATGAGGACAGTCCAAGGGATGTTACAAAGAGCAATATGCAAAAATATATGCATAGGTAAACAGATTACTATTGAATAAAATGTAAACACTAAGCCAAATAGAATGCTGAGTAATTTATGTTGATTCAACACTAGATATTTAATAGCTAAAATAAAAAAATTAATACTTTATTTGAATTATTTCTTTATCCGAAACTATGGGCTTTGAAAGTTTTCCTTATATATTCAAATTAAATTAACTAAGTATTCATTTCAAAATGTCAAAAATGTCAAGGATATATTGAAAATATCTAATTATAATTCACTAAAAAAATTGTAAAGAAATTATTTGAGAAGTAGCATATATCATAATAATATCAATGTTTAATTAAAGAGTAATAGAAATCATATCTTATCCCTTATGAATTAGTTATTTAGGAAGGAAAAGCTAAATTCAATTCTATTCTTATATGTCTAAAAGTATATTTTCATTTTTCGTTACAAATCTATTAAAACAAGTGTACCGAAATGTATTATATCAAGTTATAAAAAATTTATATTAAGTTAATAGAGAAGTAGGAGTTATTGCCAATGATAAAGAAAACACAAAAGAAATTAATTGATAAAGATGCCTAAATCCATTTTTGTGATTTGAGAGTCATCAGGTCATTTTGAGGGATATATAGTATCTATTAATTGAGTTAAGGATAATATTTGGCACCTTAAAAACTTGAAAGAATTTATAGAAGAGAAAATAGAAGTTAGAAGAAGCTTTTGTTTATAATTATTCTATTAAATGTTACTTTATTGCCATTATTGTTCCAGAAAATAATAACAATTTATCAACCATCTAGGTATTTAATTTGCATAAAATAAATTTCAAAGAGTTATGGTAAAATGATGGAATCGAAAGCATTTCTAGGAACAAATTATAAAATAAGTAATAAATATTTCTATTTCAAATAACATTAGAAAACCTAGAGTATATTAAAAATTATCTTTTGAATCTCTTAGTTTTGTTACTACTGAGACCAATGGATAAAACTTTAAATTAATGAGTCATAAAGCATTTTTAACTTTTCAAATAATTGATTAGTAATATTAAATAGAATAATTTTCCTGTTTTAGCTTGTAATCTAAATTTCTAGAAAATAATTATTTAAAGTTATGTTATACATTTGTGAATATGATATCAAACAAGATAAATAAGGCTTTGTTGATAATATAAGTACAGAAATAGAAGAGGAAGAATTTGAAATAGGGTAAAAATAGTTATTATTTTTTAAGAGTCAAGCCTAAGAAAAGAATATTTAATTCTACTTTTGAAAAGTAATAGTTTATAGAAGAGTATACCAAAAAAATAAAGACTGAATTATGTAAAAACTTTATGCTCAAAGGTGCTTGCTAATTTGGGTTAGAAGTAATATATATAAAATTACCTATAAAGTGTTCCTATGCTCATGGATATGTAGAACTTTTACCAAAATCTCATCTACATAAAAATTACAAGACCAAAAAGTGTAAAAATTTTCTAAATAATGGATGGTGCAATTATGGGGCTAGATGTTAATATATACATCAAGAAAAAACATATAAAAAGAAAAATCTAAATAGAATTATCACTAATGAAAAATAAGGAAATAATTTAAATAAAACAGAAAATAAATTTAAATCTACTTAAAATAAACCTTAGAGTTAGACTTTGAAAGGCTTTATGTCTTATTTAGAAATTTTATAAAAATTCGACTCATGCCCTTAATTCAGTCTCTCGAATTTACCAAGATTAAATTGTCTTAGATAATTAAGTAAGACAAAAATTTGCATTTTGTCTGATGAATCGGATCCTTGAAGAAACTATTTTATATTCTATTTAATTTTTTCTTATTAAAGATTTATAAAAGAATAAAATTTTCATACATATTTTCTAGGAGAAGATGCCAACTAAGCGTAATAAAATTTTTAGCTAATATCATGATTACTTAGCTTCTTTTTCTAAAAAATTTCTTAAATTGGTTTTTCATCATGATTTAGCTCATAAATAAAATCATTTAAGTCTTAATAAACTAAAAATTATAATTTAGTCTATTAACTATTTACATCTAGTTAAGAAGAATTTTAAATAAAATTCTAGTATCGATTCTTGAATCTTATTTTATTCCAAGGGCCTAATTAACTAATTAAATATTGAGCCATGGGAAAACCTAAAACATTGAATTAAAATTAAGGTTGAGAATTATTTTGGAGAATATTACCCTTTGATTCTTCACTTAAATTTAAATTAGATTTTTAGTTCTAGAATAAATTATGAAATTCATTCTCTATCAAACCTGTAGATTTTTGTTCTTTTTTGTAATATTCATACATCTAATAAAATGTAGTATTAAGTTAATTAATCATTTCAAAATAGTTTTTAGAACTCCAGTTTCTTTTTTTATGATCGATAGAAGTTTCAATATTTCCAAATAAATCCCTAATGTATGACGAAATAAATAATTTAGGGTGTGTTATACTAAATTTTATGCATTTATTTTATTATTTAGATTATTTAAGACGAATCTAGATTTGGGATCCTAACGGAAGAGCTTAACCCAAAATTTTATCATCTGTATAAATTATAGAAAGTAAAATTTTACAAAACTCGACGATATTAATAATGATGGATATCAATTTAGCTCTATCTGTATTAATAGTTTTAGAGTAGACATCAGATTTCATATATTTATTCGTAGTTTTCTTAAATAGTTATAAATCTTCACAGAGTTATTCCATCAATATTTTAGGTTAAATTTCATTAATTTCAAATTTGAGCTATCTATGAGATATTTTAAAAAGATTTAAAACATCAAAATTCAAATTAAACATAATATAACCATATTGAATTTAATTCATAATGTTTAAAGTCAAATGATTTTTAAATTCCTATTATTTTCCATTAAACCACTGAGGAATCAAATTCTTAATATATTTTAATAATTAAATTTATTTTGTTAATATTGTAAGTGATATTCTTGCGTTAGTACATGCAGAATTATCTCTCTATTCTACTTAATATAAAAGTTAATCATATTTATCCTCTTTGATTTCTTCAAAAACAAGAATGATTGAAGGTTCAAAAGTTTTAAAAAATACCTATGTAATCTTAAATTTCTATTATTTTGTCTTGTTATCCTTTTTGCCCATAAAGGCATGATATCTTTCTACTTAATGATCTTCTGTTTTATTTTGGAATTATCGAATGAGTGTATGTTCTAGTTTGATGAATTATAAATTGTTTCTTTCAAATTCATAAGGCAGTACTTTTAAATTTCTTAAGAATTCTCTAAAGCATTTATCATCTTTAATATCGAATTTATTCTGCATATTTCTGTTTATTTTATCCAAACTTAATTACCCCTACATTTTATCATATTTCACAATCACTACCCAAGATGGAAGCAGATCTTAAATTAAATTTTCATATTAAGATTAAGATTGACTGGCAATAAAATATTTTCGATTTATAGATTCAATTTAATATCTAAATATCATCAATAGCAGAGTTAAAAGATTATGTGCCACTAATTAATAGATATCTTTTTCTTCCATAAAAATAAATGAACAGCACTGACACATAACTTATAAACCCGATTAAACAATAAATTTATTTCCTCTAGCATAAATAACTATATTATCATCAAATACTTACTTAATTTCATACAAGCAAGACTATAACCTTAATACCATAGATTGGTTTTCTGTGCAAATATTCGATAAAATTCGCAAATTACAGATAATAGTATTTGATTCACTGTCATTATTACTTCAACTTTTTCTTTATACTTTCTGATAAAGAAAAGAAGAGTAAGTTCTATACACAAAGTTATACATGAAATGATTAAGGGAAGCAATGAATTTGTACTATTAAATTTTATTATCATCACAATCAAATAGCCTCCTATAAAACAGAAATATAGTTGAATTCGAGAATGGTTAGTTTAATATGACCATTACCGATAGGCATATTCCATTTCTAATGAATTAAATGTTAAACTCAATTTTTTTATCATTTATAAATTAAATAATGAATTCAACTTAAAACAGATTTCGCATAGGTCCTATTTTTAAAGCAAATGTTCCTATTATAAATTTTGAATAGTTGAAAAAGGAACAATAATATTTATAATACGAATTTCAGAAGAGCGATTCACATTAAAACCATATTGCAACATTTAATTCTCTCTAAGAACTCTAAAAAAAAGTAGACTTTTCATTAAGATACCCTAAAAATAATCAATACATTTTGAAGTAACAACCTAAAATTAAATTGTACAATACTTATCAATTTCAGTGCTGATATTATTTAACGCCCTCGAAAATAATTCCAGTCTTAATGTTAGAAATAATTAGCTTCAAATTCTGAATTTATAACTGAGAGAGTTTCAGATTCTTCTTTTCTTTGGGACGATAATAAGAATCGATTCGGTAAGAAAGATCGTCTTGGTAAACCTGCTAGGCATCCAACCAAATTAAAATAAACTTTAGGTACTATAATTAATTATTTAATGATTTGAGACCTTAAAGATATTAGAGAATTTTAAGCATCTCATATGAAAGGNTAGCAGAGTTAAAAGATTATGTGCCACTAATTAATAGATATCTTTTTCTTCCATAAAAATAAATGAACAGCACTGACACATAACTTATAAACCCGATTAAACAATAAATTTATTTCCTCTAGCATAAATAACTATATTATCATCAAATACTTACTTAATTTCATACAAGCAAGACTATAACCTTAATACCATAGATTGGTTTTCTGTGCAAATATTCGATAAAATTCGCAAATTACAGATAATAGTATTTGATTCACTGTCATTATTACTTCAACTTTTTCTTTATACTTTCTGATAAAGAAAAGAAGAGTAAGTTCTATACACAAAGTTATACATGAAATGATTAAGGGAAGCAATGAATTTGTACTATTAAATTTTATTATCATCACAATCAAATAGCCTCCTATAAAACAGAAATATAGTTGAATTCGAGAATGGTTAGTTTAATATGACCATTACCGATAGGCATATTCCATTTCTAATGAATTAAATGTTAAACTCAATTTTTTTATCATTTATAAATTAAATAATGAATTCAACTTAAAACAGATTTCGCATAGGTCCTATTTTTAAAGCAAATGTTCCTATTATAAATTTTGAATAGTTGAAAAAGGAACAATAATATTTATAATACGAATTTCAGAAGAGCGATTCACATTAAAACCATATTGCAACATTTAATTCTCTCTAAGAACTCTAAAAAAAAGTAGACTTTTCATTAAGATACCCTAAAAATAATCAATACATTTTGAAGTAACAACCTAAAATTAAATTGTACAATACTTATCAATTTCAGTGCTGATATTATTTAACGCCCTCGAAAATAATTCCAGTCTTAATGTTAGAAATAATTAGCTTCAAATTCTGAATTTATAACTGAGAGAGTTTCAGATTCTTCTTTTCTTTGGGACGATAATAAGAATCGATTCGGTAAGAAAGATCGTCTTGGTAAACCTGCTAGGCATCCAACCAAATTAAAATAAACTTTAGGTACTATAATTAATTATTTAATGATTTGAGACCTTAAAGATATTAGAGAATTTTAAGCATCTCATATGAAAGGTACACTTGATGCTACTTTGAAATTTATGAAAATAATAATTTTCAAGAATAAAGGTTTATTTATAAACAATTTATTTTATTTTATTTATTTACAATTAAAGTAAAACTAATATAATTAAAAAGTCAAATGTTAAATTATTCATCGTTTTGTTAAATACTCTCCATAATTTTTTTTTTAATTCTTCAAGCTCCCTAATAATTAAGAAACTATGTCCTATTGCTTGAACTAGACTGAAACTGGAGTTTATAATTAAGTAGTCTTCAAACTTAAAGAAGATTTAGTTTGATAATTGCTATCTAGTTTCAGATGGTTACGCTTAGGAGAAGAAATTCTTTTACTACTAAGTTAATGAATTTGATTATTTTCTGGTTATATATATTCATTCCTAAATTACAGGTAATTTTATACATAATTTAGTTCTATTTTCTTTTCTCATTTTTCTGTTCTTAAAAACCAATACTTTCATAATTATTGATTTTAACTGTCTTTTGATATATATCTTTAATTCCTTATACATGAAGCTAAGGAGGGATTTTTAAGGGTATTTTTAAGTCTTCTATTTTTAATTGGTTCTCTTGTTGAACCAACTCGTAAGGCCTGTTGTCTTTGCTTATTTTAAATTCAGGAACAAATATTTCTTCCTTTCTTTTTATCTCCTAACTTGGGCCTTTAGTAACCTTCTCAGATTCTCTCCTAATTTCTAATTAATTGCTTTGAAACAATTGTCTAGTTTTGTAATCACTAGCTCTCAGATATTAAGTAGTTAACTCCTTTTAGGCTGACTTTGCAGTGGATCTCTATCGAACTCTTTCCATGATTCTTTGAGCTATATCGGAGGCTTCTTTATCCAAATTAAATTCCTCTTTATTTGATTAGAACTACAAACGTTCATTCATTTTCATTTGAGATTATAATAATTAACTAAAATAATAAAAGTTTATTCCTATTCTTCTATACAATTGACACTTCTTAAGGTTTTCTTACAAAATAAATTAAATATACCTTTTAATGCAAGACATTTTTTTGATTATTTAAATTTTGCCCATTCACAGTATTGCTTAATTAATTGATAAAGGTTTGAAATAACTTATTTGCCTTTTTTTAATGATTTCTTATTAAGAAACTCACCAATAATGTATTTCCCAGATAACTATTAACAAATTGAGTAGAATTATTTATTACTTTTTCATTGTTTTAAATAATTAGTAATATATTTTCCTTTAATTTTCATTCGTATTTCAATCTAAAATTAGAAAATACAATAAATAATCTTGTTTAATTCTAAAATTAATGAGAAAGTGAACGATAATTTAACTGAAGTAAATTGAGAGAAATTAACCAAAGATTCACTAAAAATTAGGAATTTGAAATAAATTTGAAATAATAGATTAGTAATCTATTGTGAAAAATAGTAATTCAGAAGAACTTTAAATAAATTATTTGAAAATCAATATAAAAAACAGCATTTCAAAATACTTTTATTACACTGCAATCATAGATTTTGAAAGTGGTTTTAGATAATTATATATATTTTATTGTTTAATGATCAATATACTCTCTTCTTAGGTGGTACAGTGTCAAATTCATTAGGATCCATAGTTTTTGAAATGACCTAAAATTATATAATGAATAGATGAATACATCTCTATAAGTCAATTGAACATCTCCTAACTTAGTATCTTGAATTCTAGCAAGAGTATGTTTCATCCAATTTTTATCATCTCTATCAGGATAATCATCTCTTGCATGAGCACCTCTAGATTCCTTTCTATTGAGAGCACCTTCAATAGTCATTTTTCCTTATACTATATAATTGTTATAAAAAATAAATTACATAATAAGTTTTCTAATTCTAATCCTTCAATGAGATCAGAATTCCAAACTAATCCTTTATCTTTAATCCTAACATCATCTTTTCTTGAATAGATTTCCTTTACTTTTTCAACACCTTCTTAAAGTGTTTTTTCAATTCTGAAAACAGCTGCATGTTTTTACATTGTTCTTTGTAAATCTTTTCTAACTTATGCAATAGTTTATGATCCTTCATGATGTCTAAGTCTATCAATTCTTGCAATAGCTGCTTCACCAGCATTCTTTGGTAAATCTGGTTATTTTTATCCAGGTTTCCATTTCTCTCCTACCAAATTAGCTGCTTATCTTCCAAAAACAACAATATCTAATAATGAATTAGCTCCTAATCTATTAGCACCATGAACTGAAGCACAAGCAGCTTCTCCTGCTGCTAATAGTCCTGGTACAATTTAATCTTTTCCATTAACTTAATTTAACACTTCTGTTTTATAATTTGTAGGTATTCCACCCATATTATAATGAACAGTTGGCAATACGGGTGCTGGTTCTTTTGTAACATCAACTCCTGCAAAGATTTTTGCTGCTTCACTAATACCTGGTAATCTTTCATGTAATAATTCAGCAGGTAAATGATTTAAATGTAAATAAATATGATCTTTTTCTGGTCCAACTCTAAAGAATACTAGAATAATAATATACCCTCTTCCTTCTAAAATTTCTTTAGTCATAGCTCTAGAGACAACATCTCTACTAGCTAGATCTTTAGCAGTAGGAGCATATCTTTCCATAAATCTTTCTCCCAAAGAATTTCTAAGAATACCACCTTCTCCTCTACATCCTTCAGTCATAAGACATCCAGATCCATAAATACCAGTAGGATGGAATTAAACAAATTCTAAGTCTTCCATTGGTAAACCAGCTCTGATAGTCATGCCACCACCATCACCAGTACATGTATGTGCAGATGTACATGATTAAAAGGCTCTTCCATAACCTCCAGTTGCAATAACAGTATATCCAGCTCTAATTCTATGAATTGATCCATCAGCCATTGACATACAAACAACTCCTCTGCATGCTCTAGAAATATTTAATAAATATAAAATTACCCTTATTCATCCATCATTAAATCTAATGCGAAATATTCAACAAAGAAAATGCAATCATAACCTAATGCTCTACCAAACAGTGTATGTAACATAGCATGTCCAGTACGATCAGCTACAGCACAACATCTATATGCTTATCCTCCTGTTCCGAACTTTAAACTCTATCCTCCAAAAGCTCTTTAATATATTTTGCCTTCAGGTGTTCTAGAAAATGGTAAACCATAACTTTCCAATTCATAAACAGCCTTTGGTGCTTCTTTACACATATATGTAATAGCATCTTAATCTCCTAACCAATCTGATCCTTTAATAGTATCATATGCATGCCTATATTAATAATTATATTAATACCATCTCCAATCATCTTCTGTCATATTGCCTAAGGCTGCATTAATACCTCCTTATGCTGCTACTGTATGAGATCTGGTTGGAAATAGCTTAGATATGCATGCAGTCTTAAAACCTAATTCGACTAAGCCAAAAGCTGCTCTTAATCCAGCTCCACCTGCTCCTACAACTACTGCATCATAAGTATGATCTATGACTGTATATTTGTCTGTCAAATGTCCCTTTTCCCTTTAATAATTAATATTACTTATGATGGACCTTTCTCTGGTTTACTATTGGCAACTACTGCAAAACGATTCATGAGTTTCATTGCTTATTGCCTAAACAATGCTTACTTTGTGATAGCAAACATCGAATTAAAAAGATATTTTAATTATTTTATGCTTTAGAAATCGTATTCTGAAGGAGTCGGAGCAGGTTTCCCATTAACACAGAATATTAGATATTAATTAGCTAAAACTAGAGTTGATGATCTCTTCATTAAATGGCTAACTCTACCTTAAACATAAAAGTTAGTACATTAACTGATTAAAGATGTGAGAGAGGGAAAGTAAAATAATCTTATTACTCAACCTAATGCTTTTTTTACAAATAAAATGACGATGTCTGGAATGTCACAAAGTGCACTTTTAAGCTCACCTAACAAAAAAAGCTCTGGTCCTTCAACCCCTCCTCGTGCAGATTCATTTCATGAAATAAAATAGCGTATTCCAGAAGATTTATCTCAATCTTTGACTTAATCGTAAATAATTTAGAAAAAACTTCGTGTTGAGGAAGTACAAAATTATGATTTGGTTCCCCAATTCTATTTCCCCACTTAAGAGATCAATTTATAATTACAATAAGAATAGAATGTATGGTGCTTATATTAATAGGGCTTTAGAAAATTATTAATGAAATATTTGGTAAATCTGAACATATTGATGCTAGTCATTTTGAGTAGATCACTACAAATTTATGTGGTCTTTGCAAATATTTCACAAGAATGTTAATGACAGCAGTAGAAGGTACAAGCAACAAAATTAGTAAGACTGCATTTATAAAGTATTGGAATTAGCAATTAGCATAAAAAGAACCAAAATAGAGATGTTTTCATATTCTCAAAAAACCAAAAAATGAGTTCATTTAATTTGATGATTTTAAACCGTTCATGAAGAGTACATTCTCTTTCCTAAATAGTTTTGCTTGAATAGCATCCGGGGTTGGAATTTTTGTAAGCAACACCGGAATTTTAAGAACGATATGCAGACACAGTAATTCATAGAATATTCTATCATTTATGTCGTAAAGATAACAATAAAATTACATGGCGTGATTTTAAATCAAGTAATTTATTTGATATTTTGGATGTTTTGGGAAAGGAAGATGATATTAATAAAGTATTATTTCTAATTTAATAGATTCGTTAATATTTTTCATATGAACATTTTTACGTAATTTATTGTAAATTCTGGGAATTAGATGGTGATCATGATTTTCATATTAGTAAGGATGACTTCTCTCGTTATTCTAGCCATGGTTTAAGTAGAAAAGTTGTTGATAGAATATTTGATCAGATTCCTCGTAGATTCAGAAGTTAAATTGATTAAAAGATGTCATACGAAGATTTTATTTATTTTATTTTATGTGAAGAAGATAAGACTACTTTATAATCTATAGAATATTGGTTTAAAATAATTGATTTAGATGATAATGGAATCATTACAGGATTTGAAATGGATTATTTCTATGAGGAATTGAAATAAAGAATGGATTATTTAAATCATGAACCAATATTATTCCATGATTTTGTTTGTTAAATGGTTGATCTTTTACATCCTGACAATGATATACTTTTTAAATTAAGTCATTTCAAATAGAATTTGACAGTTTGTGGAGTATTCTTTAATTTTTTAACTAATTTAAATAAACTTATTGCTTATGAGAATAGAGATCCTTTTCAAGTTAGAAATGATATTGTGGATCATCCAGATTTTACAGATTGGGATAGATTTGCATTTTAAGAGTATGTTAGATTGGCAATGGAAGAGGAAAATTAAGAATAAGGAGAAGTATTTGAAGGGGATAATATATGGGATAATGAAGATTCAAAATAATGATATATTTGGTATTATAGATGAACTTATCTTATAAATAAATTGTATATAACTTATTTGATGCTTAGAATGTAATTTAGAGTAGAGTGTAGAGATTGATTTGTATCTAATCTTTATTTTGTCAGATAAAGTAATAGTAATCTAATTTGGTAATGATATTTTTTATTTCAAACAATAATATTAATGTCAACCGAAGACATCAATTCAATAAAGAAGTTTCTAAAATTTTAAAAGATGCATAAGAGTTTACCCTCTTCAATTCCAATCTAAATGGGCTTAGATTCAAAAGCTTACAAATTGATTGTGTCTCGAATAGGTGGACTTAGACGTCCTTAAAATCCTGTGTTAAATTTGCAATTCTCAGTAGCTGCTAACTTTTTTATTTAAAATTAACAAGGGGAGAAATGTTTTTTTGGACGAACATACAATAGTCCTCGTTTAAATGTGGAATTTGGACCAGATGGAGTAAATTATGAACATCCAATAATACCAATATATTATCATACTAGAATACTAAATAACAAAGATGTGCCATTGTTGATTATATTAGAAGTACAGGCTTATGAATCATAATAAGATTTAGTATTAAAACGCATGCATTTGGGTTGGTGTGAACTTTAAGCATTAACAATCACTGCATAATCCACTAAACTTAATTTCAGAAAGGGGAGTCCAAGAATATTGTTATTGGGTTAATAAGTTAATTTTGAATCCTCTGGTATCTCAATGACATGTGATATAGTATAAAGTGAAGAATTCTAAATAAGTATGCATTTGGCACCAGAAAATGCATTATGTGGATTGGGTGATGAGTTACCTGGACTTAAAAAGAGTTTTGTAGGTGGAGATTTTGAATTATCAAGAAGCATGGTTGTATTTATGAGCAAAATTTAAGTTCTCATTCCTGATAATATGGAAGCTGATATATATAAATAAGTGTAGAAATATAGAACTTATAAATACAGAACTCCTGAAGATTATAAGGGAGATATACAGATTATTAATAAAAGATTAATAGTTGCATTTCATAATGGTTGGACATTCATAAATACTAGAGGCACAAATAATTTTGTTCCTCTTGGAGAAACTAGAATGTTAGTTAATGAATTTGTTGATCAGAAATAAATCTAATATAAACAGTTAGCATACCATGGAGTTATTGATATTAATAATGTCTGTTCAACTGATCCAACTGTTAATTCTGGCATGCTTGTAGTTTAATTAGAATATGAAGCTATGTTTTTAGTATCAAATGTGACTAAAGAAACAATGTAATTGACACTTGGATGGATACCAATTTACATTAATAATAAATTTGGTGCTGATGAAATTGTTGAAGAGGATTTCATAGTAGGACCAGGTAAAACTTTAGATGGAAGACCACTTGTATCATTTTCTAATCCAGATTCATCAATTAAGATAAAAGGGAGTTTGAATCTTTCAGGTGGAGGATTTTAAATTTAAGATTTATATATGGGAGCTGCTTAGTAATAATAACAATAAGTTCCTTAATAATAAGCATATTAATAATAACCGAATTAAAATTTAAATTAACCTAATTAGTAATAAATATAAATTAGGTAGGAGTAGGTAAGAGGATCAGAGATAGATTTGCGTACATAAGTAAAATTAAAAGATTTTGAATAATAACTATTGAGATTATAAGAGGAAAATGAAAGATTGAGAAGATTAGCAATTTAATAATCTTCAGATCCTTAAAAATAATAAGAATATTTATAAGCAATTGAAAAACTAAGAGAAGAAAATAGATTATTACAATTTACACAAGCTCGATAATTTGAAGGCTTAGAAAAATTAATAAAAGATTAAAAAGCAGTTGATAGAAGTGCTGCTCCTCCAGTTGTTCTGGCAGAAGCAAAACCATAGAATACAGTAATAAAACCAATAGATTCTTATGCTTATCCAGTACCATCAGCTACATTAAAACCAATTACTAGAACAGATGTTACAGCCTTAATTGATGATCCTATATCAACAGATTAAGAAAATAGATTGATGGCACTTGAATAGTCTGATGAAAGAAAAGATTAAATAATTGTAATATAACCAGTTTCTATTAAATAAATTTTAGGACCTTATCCTATTTGTAAATCAGTTTAAATAGGAATTATATTCTATGATTTATAAACATTTAAATCACCATTTCTAAATCTAGAATATTATAATGATGAAAGAAATTTTAAATATAATTTAGAAAATGGAAATCCTTTAAGACTTTTATATAATAATGAAATTTTTAGTTGTAAGTTTAATATTGAAGCATCTCTACAAAGATATGCAAATTTGGAAATGGATTTTGCAAGATATTTATTCAATAAACACTTAATTTTAGATATTTGGGATAGTGAAAGTTTATTTCTTTTTGGTAGTGTAAGGATACCATTAAGAGGAATAATGAGAAGTGGTAAATAGAATGCATAAATTATGGCTGATGTTGAAATCATAGATCCTTAATCAAAGAAGGTTAAAGGGACATTATAGATTGTCATTAAAAATATAGGTAAGATTGGTTAATAAGACATGAGTAAGACAGTTCCTTTAGAAAATACTTAAAATGGATTTCAAAAAAAAAAATTAGTTTCTGAAAAACCTGTAAATAGAATGGAAGTTCCACCACAAACTTTCTAAGGAAATAGTATTCAAGATCGTATAAAAAAAATTAAATAATAAAATTTATAAGAAATGAATAAAAATAAATAGAGTTAATAAAGATCATTAAATGAAGTGCTTAAATACAAAGAAATTAAGAAACCTTCTCTAGTAAGAACCATAATGCAAGGATTCTTATAAAATGAAAAAGTAGTTCATTCATTTTATGGTAAATGTGAAATTGTTCCACTTTATTTTAAAAATACACATCCAAAATCTGAATAATTTACTGTTAATATAGAAGATCCAGAAAGCAGAATGTTAGAATATTAAGAATTCTTCTTAATTGGCAATCCATCTGAATGGAAATATTGGGTTACTGTTAATAAATATCCAGAACCAGATAATTATGATTTAATTAGAATGAAAGAAAATTAAGGAAAAACTTAATATTATTTTATTTTAGATCCAAACTAGGAAGTTACTTTATTATTTAAGTTTATAAGTTTTAGACAATACGATTATAGAGTTGATGATCATGAAAGAACTCCAGAATATATTAAAAAATATATGTAATCACGTCATATTACTATTTTATTACAATAGGATGGCAAAATGATGGATGGATTACGCATAATAGTTGAGCCTCATTAATAACCAATTGATCATATACTTCGATTTTATGAAAGAGAAAATCGTTAAACAAGACTTATTATACCTAGATTATTCAATTAACCATTATAATAATAACCTCATGTACATATAACTGATCCTGATGTTATGATAGAATGGTCATCTGATTTTAATTCAATAAGATTGAATCTAAGAATAGGTGAACCATAAAGTGTGAAAATATTTAATATCCTTTTGTATTAAGATTAATATCAGCATAAAATTATAGCTAATTGGAAAATAGAAGTTTATAGTTTATCCACAATAGACATTGAAGTTCCTTTGGGTTAAAAAGTTTGCACTAAAATAACATTTCCTTGTGATATTACTCGTATAATTAAAATGACATCTTCCAATAAAATGATTTCATTTGTCAAACCATTTGACTCTGAAATAACTATGTTACCAGGTAAAATTAATTTAGTTCCTATTAATATTTTGGCACTTCAAGAAGGCAAACATTTAATTAAACTAAATGGAGTAGATATTCACTCTTAAGAATTAATTTATTCTTGGTTAGTAAATGTACATGCTGAACCTTAACCTCCAAGTGCAACTTATGATTTGAGGTATTATTTTATTTATTGATCTCTAGATGTATTGATGGAAGAGAGTCTCGACATCAAGTAAATTATAAGAATTAAGTCAATTACACTACATAATATAATCTTGTATCTTCTAGTGAATTTGTTAAAGTAAATTAATAAATATTTATGATTAGATTATTGATTAAAGCATCTCTACAGGACCTAATGAAATAGTTCAGTTTAAAATCAGAGTTTTGCCTGGTAGTGAGGAATTAGTACGTATCTTCATTACTGACATTGATGAAAGAATATTTGATGTCATTGTACTTAATATCAAATATGTTTATTGAAGTTTCTTTACATTTAGATCCTCTTATTATTTTAATATAATTATAATGCTTCTAACTGAAAAAGAGCCTTTCTTTCCTCTCTTAGTAGAAAATAAGAATATATTTCGTAAGTTCAAGAGAAGATATAATTCTACATAACCAATGGAACGAAAAATGGAATAATCAATAGAATCTTGTTATGAAAAAGCTCTTTTTGTATAGAAGAAAGAATTGCAACTTCGAACAATTGAACCTAAAAAATAATATGTAGTAAAACCACCTAAAACAACTATTTGTAAAGAGAACGTTCCTCAAATGTTTAGTTTTGATAAAATGCTGTTTGCTTTTATATAGTTAAATAATAAAGAAAAAAATTAGAAAAATATGAAAAAAAAGGCTCTTAAAATAATTACATAACATCAAGAATTAGATATTCTTGAAGTAGAACATAAATGTATGAGAATATTAAAATTATAGCTCTTTAAAGTCGTTTCTTTACAGAAGTCTAATCGTATCTGAATGAATGTCATAGATTCTGAATTTTTTAATTTATTTATTATGCAAATGTTTGAAATCATCATTTGTTATCGTAAACATCTTGTTGGAGATTAAATTTATGAGATCAGATTCACTGACAATGCACTTACATTAACAAATGTATTTCTCTCTTTAATTCTATAAATAGCCCAAGAAACCTGACACTCCTAAATACATACTACCTTTAAATTGGTCCTCATAGATTACTTGGTAACTGACATCAAAGGAAAATGCTTTTGGCTTTTAAATTACTCCAAAGAAATTTAAATGGTTTCATGCTAAACAAAGTGACTTACTAATTTTAAAGAAGATTCTTTCTAAATTTGTTTCTTTTACAAAAATACAAGACTTTTACGAAGCAACAGAACATTTAGCAAGTGGAAGCAATAGTCAAGTCTATTAAGTTATTAGAAAGAGCGATAAAAATGATAATTTTGTCACTAAATGTATTACTAAAGAAACAATTTAGAACTCGGTTGAAAAAATGGTACAGCAGAAGTGTTTATAAATTAGAATGGACTATACGATGAATTAAATATCCTTAAACAGTTAAATCATCCAAATCTCCCTCGGTTTGAAGAGTTCTATGTTGGGGATGGAACCTATTATATAGTTTTAGAGTATTGCAAAGGGCAAAGTTTAAATTCATACATTAAAGAGTTAAAACATTAATTAAATGTAAGAATTATTTAGAATATTCTTTGGGAACTTCTTTAGGGTGTGGCCTATTTGCATTCTTTAAATATCATGCATCGTGATTTAAAACCCGAGAATATAATATTAAATATCCAGGAAAAAAAAATAGATCTGAAAATTGTGGACTTTGGTCTTTCTGTAAAATTAGAACCAAATAAAGAACTTAAGAAATGTGGAACTCCTGGTTATGTGGCTCCTGAAATTATCAATTTAAAAAATGGAAAATATGGATTAGAAAGTGATATTTTTTCTGTCGGGTGTGTGTTCTATAAACTGTAAAATTATTATTAAATTTATAAGGTTATTAAGAAAAGATTTATTTTAAGGAGAAACTTAAAATGAAATATTATCAGCAAATAGAAGATGCTTATTCAATATATAAAACCTCTCTCTAATTCATATTCCAATTACTGCTTAAAATTTACTTTCGGAAATGCTTTAGGAAGATCCAAGATTAAGAATTAAGGCTACATCTGCATTACATCATTCATTTTTTAGGGAAAATTTTAGAATCAGTATTAGAAATATCCCTCTTGGATTTTCTTAATTTAGAGCTAGCTTTCATACTTAGACATCGAATTCAAAACACTAATTTAATAATAATGATGAAGAAATTCATGTAGAATATTTCAATAGTGAATTACCTCCTATAAATTAAATTCCTATCTTTTTAGAATATCATAAAAATGGATAAAAAATTACATAGAATTAAGAAAATTTAAATTCTTAATCCACAGATTCAAAATTTGTATTTCGAAATGTCTCAAAATCAACAGGTTGAAATTACATATAATATTTTTTTGCTTTTTAATTATATAATTGAGTAACCAATAAAACTTTTAATTTTCTCTAGAAGAAGCAGTATGAGAAGAAGGTTCAAAATTGCCCTTATTGAAAAATATCATCTATTGTTCTTAATAAGCTATACCAAACTACCTTCTCATTATAAATCAATCCTATAAACTAAGAGTGAAATAGATTTGAGGAGCAGACCTCTTATACTTTCTAAATACCGAAATTTCTAATTTACTCAAGCTTTATAAATAATTATATACTAATTTAGTAATATCTATGCTTTAAGGCGAACTTGCATCCAAACTTCTTATCATTTGGTAGAATATATATATACACGAAATTAATTTATAAATCATTTTATGGGTTATTAATTCTTTCATTATTCTAATAGTTCTAATTGATATGCTAATTACTCCTAACTTTATGCTATCATATTATATTGTTATTTTAATCTATTGATCATAAAGGGCATATATTCATTCAACTCTTATATCGATGTAATGCTATTCTATTGAAAAGGTTCTTTTATTTTTATTGTATTACTTTATTTGTCATTTATAGAGACAAATATCACCAACAGAGTCATTATTATAGTGTGACCTAATAAGATTGGATTTATTTCATCAACAATTATGGGAATTTCTGAAGGGCCTCTGCTTAATTGAGTCACGTTTTCTTATTCAATATTTTCCTCTTCTTTTTAGCAAACTAAATCAAAATATAACTTTAAATAATGATTTAAGATTTATTTTGATTAAAAACTTTTGGAAGGATTACTACTGTAATTATTTTATGAAATATTTTGCTATTGATTTGAATTCTCTTAATTTAGAGATTAATTTGTATCTTTTATTATTGATGTTTATTGATCAAATTTAGAATCTAAAACAATCGGTTCTTCTTGTTTGTCTTAAAGTTTTTCTTAATTTGAATTATATATATAATTTTCTTCTTCTTCCTCTATATAAATTAATTCCTCTTCCTCTATATAAATAAATTCTTCTTCTTCTTCTTAAATACTAAAGGAATTTTAATTTTTTTCCTCCTCTTGCTATTATTATTATCCTTAAAAGTACTATTCCTCATCTATTTTTTCTTCTTTTTATTATTATTCTTTTTTATTTTCTTCTTTATACCCTTCTTGATTCTCTTAATTATTTTCTTCTTCTTCATCTTAAATTTTTAATTTGTTTAAAAAATCACTAAACTCATCAAGCTCTTCAGAAATCTTCTCCTATTCATTTGACTCTATTTACGAATCCATTTTCTAATTAAAGTCTGAATTATTTTAAAAACTATGATTTTTCTATAGTATCTATTCTTATTCATCTTAATCCAATAAAAAAGTTTATTATATGTCATTTTCATTTTCGTTTTCTTCTGAAATATTTTTAACAGAAATTTCTTCATCAATATATTCATAATAATATTCAATTTCTTCTATTAATATGTTATCTTAATTATTTTCAATATCACTCTCAATAAAATCTTCTGGTACACTCTGTGTTTCTAAATTATATAAAATTTCTTCTTCAGAATAAAATTTCTCTCCTTAATCATCTGATGGAAACTCTTATTATATCTATTCATCTGGAAGTGTTTCATTCATGGATTAATTTGCATTCGTACTCTAATTGTTATCATTAATTGATGTATTATTATTTGTGTATTTCTTTTCTAAGGCAATCTATTGATTGTAATACCCCTCTCTTTTTTATTTATTTCTTCAACTTCCTATTTAGTGTAATTTCTAGTTGGGGGTGTATAAAAAAAGGAGTTAAAAACAAAAAACATAAAGAATACTAGTATTATTAGACCTTTGATTTATTTCCACATCAATTAATTTATGTTATTAACTAGCGAAAATATTGAATTTTATTCTTAAAGAAGAAAATAGTATACTTAAGATTTCCTTAAGTCAACTAATCAATTTAAACCTAAATTAGAGCAGTTAAAAAGACGTTTAATTGCACAAAAACAAATGATAGATACTCCTATTAAAATTTCAAGTACAACTTAAAAAGGCAAAAAAATTAGTAGAGTTTTATTATCTCTCTCCAAATCAAAGGAAGTTTAAAATAAAATTGATAAAGAAATGAATAGATGTTCCTATTAATATGAATTTGAAGAACCTTTAAATTGTAAGTATTGATAACTTTATTATAAAGGTTTAATTACTCTCAAACATGTAAAAATATTTAATAATCCATGATGACCTTGATGGAAAATATTAAAGAATAAATCAAAGAAAAACATCAAGAATTAAAGATGAACACTGACAATTCTAATTAATATTAGAAGGTATAATTTCAATTTTACCTAAGAGAGAATAATTAGAAAAAATTAAACTTAAATCAAGTACTTACAGCAAAATTATAGAAAAGCTTTAATAAATGCATATTTAAAAATAATAATTAGTAACAAACGAAAAATAGAGTTTTTAAAATTTGGAGAAATTGAGTTTCTAAAATTTGGTAAAATTTGATAAAATTGAAGAATAAGACTAAATTTGTAAGTATTCAGAAAAACCAATTACAACAAGAAGAACTCTAGAATCCCAAATGCAGTTTGAAGAAGATAAAAGAATCTAAAAAACTCTAAATAATTCATAAATCGATTAAGAACCAACTAAAAACTTAAGAAGTTAAAATCTTGATCAAATTATAAGAAAAAATTATAAAAAAATGGGCTTATTAAACAGAAAATAAGAAAGTATGATGGATTTAAAAAATATTATTAATAATCAAAGAACAACCACTTAAGAAAACATTTATTAATAAAATGATGTAAGATAGTAATATTCAAAACACAAAATCAATTAAAATAAAAGATTTTCATTAACTATTCTCTCTTCACAATGTAACTCTTCAAATCTAAAGTATAAATATTACTTATATGAAGTCCTATTTTTGATGAGTAAAATGGAATTATAACTTGTGTTTCCTCCAAAACAAAAAGATATAAAAGTCTAGAACCAAAAACTCATGAAAAATAGAAAATAAGCTTAAAGAAATATCACGAAGATTAATAGATATTTTAAGCTCATAAATTTTTCCAAAAAATTTGACTAAAAAATTGATACAATAATATAAACAAGTATCTATTAGATTTAAAAAAGTCATTTTATTTAGTTTAATTTCTTATTAAAATATTTTTTATTCTATCCTTCAATATAATTCAATATACGTAATAATCCTATTACTAAAACTATTTGATTCTAAGTTTATATAATATTTTTCTTAAAAATCTGGGAATAAGAGAATCTTAGTTAAATTTCTTATTGTTTTTCTATTATTTATAGAATTTATTAAATAATAATGGATAAATTGGATAAGCATAAAAATTGTGGAAAATGCATAGAAGAGTTTGAAATAAAAAAGGCAAAGTAAGATGGAACCTTTAGAGAACTTAAAACAAAAATTCTTGGAGTATTTATGTATATTGACGTAAGTCAAGACCTATGGCAAAATTTATAATGTATGATGGAGAAGGAAATTATCAAAAAAAATTGAATTAAGGTACATAAATTATGTGATTTGAGAGCACTAAAATCATAAAGTTTAAATCGATATGACATGGAAGAATGCAGATGCAGAAGTGTGTTAAGAAAAAGAACCTGATAATTAGTTAATAAAAGAGTCCTAAAGTTTAGTTTTACCTAAAATATATCATCATAAAGTATTGCTAATAACTATTTTAGTAAGTTACTGATTTTAAACCCATAAAACCAATCCCTACTTAAGGTATAGTTTTTTTTAATTTAGCTCACATCAATAGATATGGAAAATATAGCTAAAGATATCTCTTAAGATCAGATCCCATGAATTTAAGCGATAATAAATTAGATGATTATTAGCCTTCCTCATAGAAATATGGACGGTTTTATTTAAGCGAAGAATCGAAAGCAAAAACGATTGTCTCTGAAGCTTAACCGTTTGAGGGATATAATCCAATTAGTCCATAATATAATGTTTTTCCAGTTGAGAAGCCTATTTTAAAATATCATAGTATGAAATCATAATTGTTCAAATATAAATGATAAAACTTGACCTATAATTCAAGCAATTAATAAAAATAATTATATTAATAATGAAAAATAATTAAATTGTTGATATTTTATTTGAAGAGATTGAATCTACATAAACTCACGCAATTTAACAGTACAGCAAACTTTATTCAGAACAAATCACTACAATTAGAGCTTTATTTTAAACTAATGGAAAAGGACAGCATTCTAGCAAATGGGAAAGCTAATCAAAAAGAAACTTATTATTTACAATAATATATCCTTTTTTTAAGAATTTTTAATATATAAATACGATTCCACTAATTGTAGCTCATTCTATTTTGTAAGTTTATAAAAATAAATATGATTTAAATGGATCTATAAAATGGTTTAATGATATATTTTTTTTTGATAAGAAATAAGCTGGAATTTTAGTTTAATCAGAAATAACAGGATAAGATATTGTGATATTTATTGGCGTAGGAATAAATATTGATTGGAATATTGAAAATGGAATTAATCTTGAAAAAATACTTAATAAAAATATCAATGTTGAAGAATTATATGAATAATTAAAATATACAATTATTCAAAATCTAATTTAGCTTAATGAACAAGGATTTAAATATTTTTAGAAAAATATTAATCAATAACTTTATAAGAAAGGAGAATAATGCATTTTTGTTAATCTAGAATTAAAAAAGGTATGCGAAGGTATATTGTAAGAAATTAATTCTGAAGGGATGTTAATCATTAGAGAAACAAACGGATTAAATAGAGTTGTTGATATAAATTTGAAAATGCAAATTTGATTTTTAATTGGTATGATGATTCCAATAATAAAAAATATAATCAAAATTTCTTATTAGTTGCAAATATTGATAAATTAGTTTGACCAAAATTTAAGATTAAATAAATTTTTTATATATTAGAGATAATCTTTGCGAATGTCAAAAAATTTCAAAACTGATTAATCTTTACACAGTTTCAATAAAAAAAAAATGAAAGAGCATTCGAATAATATTTTACATAATTTTTCAATAATATAAAATTTAATTCCACAAAGACAACTGAATTAATTTAAAAAAAATTATGATTATAATTAGGTTTAATAAGATTAATTTATATCTTTTAATGACAAATATTAATAGGTATCAATAAGAAAGAATTAAATTTTCATTCTTGCAGAGTTCTATTTATTTGATTGATTTTATGGTTGATTAATTAAACATTTGAAAAATTAAAGATTTAGAATTCTAATAAATGATTAGAAGGTTATGATAAATAAACTTAATAAGAAAAGAAAATGGATAATTTAAAAGGAGATATGTAAAACAATTAGATTTAAATATACATACATTATATTGATAAAATCATATCTTCATTTTTATTTAAATGGATGATTTATCCTTTAGATTTGGAATGTCATTTAAAGAAAAGAATTCTGGCATTACTTTTTCTTCAAAAATCAAGTCCTATTTAAAGTAATTCTGAATAATATTACAAAGTCATTTCTTCCACAATCTAATTTTTCTGCAACACATTTTTTAGCCCATTCCACATCTTATCCAACTTTAAACTAACTTGTTATGAGAAAATAATCTTTACCTCTAAATCAAATTACTTTTCTGCCAGTTTAAATTCAAGCTATATAAGAATATTGATTTACTTTAATGCTTTATCCAGCGAATAATTCATTTTCTTATTCAAAAGTCATGACATTTGCATTTTAGAAGTTAAGACTAAAACCTTTAGACATTTTCTAATATAATTATAATAATTATTCATATATTTATATATATTTTAAATTAATTGAAAATAAAAACTAATGATTAAGAAATCAATATAGAGTAATAAATATTAGTGGGGTGATATATTTTGAATGTAATGATAATAAAAAGAGTTAAAAGTATAGAAATGGCTTCAGAATAAGTGATAAGAAATTCTTTAATTAAGTGTTGTTTAAATATTGTATATTTTTTAAATATATAATATAAGAAGAGTGTGGTTTAAATGATTTTGTTTGTATATTGGTAGATAAATATCAATAAATCAATGATGTTTTTTGTGTCCTTTTTCGATAACAATAACATTTGTTCCATGACCATGATGATGATGATGATGATTATCAGCTAAGGCAGCTCCAAGAAGGGCTCCTCCAACTAAAGCAGCTCCAACACCAATTCCTCCACCTTTGGATTATTATTAAGGAGGTTTTTAAGCAGGTTGTTGTTAAATTTCAATAATAGTAGTTGTGGTTCCTTATTATGGATATTATCCTGGGGCTTATTAAGGGTATCCACCTGGTGGGTAATATCCTGGCTATTAAGGATATGATTATGGAGGATATTAACCAGGTGGTGGGTATTATCCAGGAGGAGGGTATTATCCAGGTGGTGGCTATTAACCTGGAGGTGGGTATTATCCTGGAGGTGGATATTATCCTGGTGGAGGATATTAACCTGGTGGTGGATATTAACCTGGTGGTGGATATTAACCTGGTGGTGGGTATTATCCTGGAGGTGGGTATTATCCTGGAGGTGGATATTGTCCAGGTGGTGGATATTAGCCTAATTATATTTTCAGATTGACATACCTGCTTATCCAGCTGGAGGTGGTGGTGGTGTTGTTCCATAGCCTTAAGTAGGAGGAGGTTGAGTATATGACATTTTTGAATATATTATATATCTTATTAACTAGAATCGATTTTAAATACTTTTCCACAATACTTAATTTCAGAATATATAATGTAAATAATAATTTTTGGTTAAATTATGCATTCCATATTAATTAAATCATTATCTCAATTTCTTTAAAAATGATGATGATGTCTTCCTTAAGATTAATTTATTTATACTATATACATTATTATCATAAATTCCTCCATCATTATGATGATGAATTAGATCTAATACAGCCAGGATTATTTTTAAACTTAATACTTGATTAACCAGAAACCTATATTCTAATTAATAATATTTACGTATTATCCATTTCCAACTTTTTAAGTTCAATTAATTACATGAGATAGATTGAATTTAATGTCTATTTTTGAGAAGATCTGACAAAATTGATAGGAACCCAATACTTCTCCACCATCAAATTTTAAATAATTTGGAACGCCAATAACGATTTCGTACATTTATTTTATTTAATAAACTAAAACATATCTAAAAGATAGGATTAAATCTCTAGTTGATTTAAGAAATTATTTCCTATATATAAAGGTCTATACATCAAAGCCATTATCGATGTATTATAATAAAAAATTTGTATTCATAATTGATCTAAATAAACTTTTATTTGAGAAAACTACTTAAACTACTTTTGAAAATAATGTGAGTAAATATAAATACGAATTTTAGTCGAATTAATTTATTAATAGATTAAATTGATGACTTTCATATTATTAATAAATTCTCTCAATTTATCAAGCTATAGTTTCTACAACTATTTTCTACGTCTATCTTTATTAAATTAATAAATTATTTTATAGATTCGTTATTGCATCTGCCCATAATTAATGATGCTTGTATTTAAATTAATAATTACATCAGTTATATTGAAAGTTTATACTTGGCAGAATTTTATAAAATGTCCTACTAGTTCTTATTATTGCTGTTTGAAAAATTATTAAGTTTAAGAAAATATTTAGTTTGTATAATACCCAACAAGCATTTCCATTTGAGTTTCTTGTTTAGTTTCTTATTCACACATATTTTAGAAAGCAAGTTTTTTATTTGATAACAATTCTTATTAGGTCAATTTATTATCCTTGCTTAAGTCCCATTTAGAAATATCTCCAAATTAAAACAATTTTTCCTTTTTATAATTTAATTTAGATTTAAACTTCTCTAAATCCTATTAAATAACAGCTCTAGTTTCATATATTTATTTAATAGTAGAATTATAGTGTTGTTGATATTTAAAAAAACTATTTAGATACTCTTCTGTTTATTCTATTTATTTTCCTATAATATTGCCCCATGTGATCATGGTATTATTTAAATTTAAAAAGGTTGCTGCCAATCCTTAAGCTTATCCTATAGGAAGCGTTTAATTTAGTTTATTAAGATGTTAGAATAATTAAGCAAAAATTTCTCCAACACAATAAATCTTTAAAGAGTTTTATAATTAAATTTCTTTAAGACTTTTGCTTAAGACTCTAATTTTTTTATAGACACCATCTATTTCATAGAAATAATCCTAAGTTTAATATGCATATTGATGAAGTTCAATTGGAGCAACACCATTTATTTGACCTTCTTTTGAAAACATTCTTTAAACTGTCTAAGGTGGAGTAGTTTTATTAATACTCTTAAAAATAATTAAAATTATACTTCTTGAAATTTTTTAAATTCATTATTTTAGGTCAAACTCAAGAAATTTTTCACAATCATATTACTTTTCAATTCATATGATTTAAAAATGCTATTAAGAAATCTTTATAAAAATATCATTCTCTTATTAAGATATGAATCTTCAAAATTTCTTGATCTTTTTTTATGAATAGGTGGAATTACAAAAGCTGGATAAATTTTTAATAATGAATCTCTTAACCATTCAAAATCTGAATATCTTCTAAAAACAACCCAACCAAAAGGTTAAGTCTCAATTTAAAATGCTATATATGAAGAAGAAAAGAAACCTGCACTCTCTTTTTTATATCTATATATTTAACAATATTACGTCAATATTTTAACAGATACATTGTCTCCAGATAATTCATTTGGTATAATTTAAGAACAATTTATAAGGACAGAAGCATTATTTTATTATTAATTTATCTATTAATTGTATTGGGATTATTCTTAAAGCTGTGCCTATTACAAATTGTTTTAATCTTCTTGATTTAGCTATTAATCTTCATGATTTGGCTATTAATCTTCATGATTTGGCTATTAATCTTCATGATTTGGCTATTAATCTTCATGATTTGGCTATTAATCTTCAAATTTTTTTTAGGATTCCTTAAACTACTCGATTGCCTGCTCTAAATTTTTATATAGAATCTACTCAATTCATTTAAGCTCCAATTATCTATATCATCACCTCCTTCAGGCTTTAAATCTAGTAAAAATTATGCACATTAATCAGCATCTAATCCATTTTCAACTTAATCCTACAAATATTTTTCTTTTAAAGCTTTATCACCTTCTAAGGATTATGACATATTGTATATAATATATAAATAATTAATTATATGAAGATAATTTATCGCCTCATCTCTTACTGCTACTTATGGTTACCTAAAAAACTTTAAAAGTCTCTTCAGAAAAACTTATTCTAATAGTAAGAAATCGAATAGATTTTTAAAGTATTTAATAAAATTTAACATAGATTGAATTTTCGAATGGCGAAGTTTAAAAACTTGTAAATTTTGAAATATAGAATAATCAAATAAATCTTATTAGCGTAATCATCATTACTATTTCTTTTAGATTAATCTTATTTTAATGAAATTAGTTGATAAAATTTTTAGAACAGAAAATCTCATTATTTTGACTATCATGATTATAGTTCTATCAGGAGATACATATACTGAAGATTAAACTGGAAAAATAATAGTTTTATTTACTTTAATTAGTTATTTATTAGATAAATTGCAATATTTTATTAATCTTTTGATTATTAGTTATTAAAGATGGAAGTAGCAATCTATTATTAACAACTATAAATGCCGCATTTTTTAAAAATTTCCTAATATATCAGAGGAGGAAATCTAAAGGATGGAAGAGAATAACTAAGATTATATTGAGTAACTAATATTAACTAAATAGATTTAAGTCGTATTAATCAATTAAATGGTGTGAATTATAAGTTGGATAGATAGTTTGTTTAAAACATGGAAAATAAAGTCCAGCAGATCTCTTGATTTTAGATTCAAGTTAAGAATAAGTTCTTGCTGATTATGAGTTACGAATTTCATGTCCTTGCACATTTGTTAATGTAAATCATAATTCTAAAGGTAATATTATGGATTTTATAACTAAATTAAATGGATCGATCTCATTCACTACTTAAGAAACCATTACTGGAAGTATTAAGTTGAAAAATGATCCAAAAGCTACACCTTTTAATTAAAAGAATATGATAATGAGAGGAGAAATTATGGATAGAGCAGATTGGATTTTTGGAATGGCTATAAGAGTTGGTGATGATTGTAGCTATGTTTAAAAGAGTCTTAATAATTAAAGTTTTCTATCATAAAGTTGGTTAAGAGAATTTCACACTTAAATTATATGTTTAAGTGGTATCTTATTTTCAATTTGCTTTATTCCTAATATTATATACTCATCACTAATTTAAACTGAATATTTTTTTGATAGCTTAATCTATTGTTTATTAATCTTTCCACAAACTTTATTATTAGTAGAAAAAATTTGGTATTTTTGGATTTTATTATATAACAATTAGTTATTTGCAAAATACTAAGTTTAATAAGCTATAAAAGAATCAAGATCTACTGTTTTTAAAACATTAACATAAGAGAACCCTATATCAATTACATCCTAAAATGAAAGGAAAATATTAATGCCTATAAAAAAAAACTTTATATTGAGTCTAATACCAGCATTTAATAAATTAAAATTAATAAAACATAAAAGTAATAAATACAATAGAAGTGGATTTTTGACACTTACACCTACAAGTATTTTAGATTTAATTTAAACTGATGTTATAGTGTTTGAAAATCCATAAAATTTATTCAAATCATCTCCAAAAGTTATTTAATTAGTTTAGAACTTAAAAAATTATCAATTTAATTATGATAAATTAAAAGATTTAGTTACAAAAGCTTCACCATAATAAAAAACTAATTGTGATAAAATGTTATTAGACACTAATCGCTAATAAACTTAAGATGAGATGAAAACATTAGATATTGAAATGTTAATTTCAGAAAAAAGAGTACCTGATTTAAGAAACTCATTAGATTCTTTTGTATCTACAAAACAAATAAAAAAAATACAATTTATGAGAAAAGATACTCTTCCTGATTTTAAATAATAAGAAACAAAATTGAATAGCGGAATAGGAAAAAAAAAGAGCTCTAGATATATTTTTGATTAATCTTTTGCTGCAAAACCTAATAATTAATAATAATAATAATAACATTCTCATGATAGTAGTAAAGATATATCAAATAATAATGCATCTGCATCATATCAAACTCCACCTATCTTAAGATAAAAAAGTTAATTCATTCGTTCAGGTAATTTATTTAAACATAATTCTTCATCTTTTTAAAATTCTTCATCAAAATTAAATGAATTTAATTAAGATAGATTAGTAGGGGATACTCTCAATGAATAAGATTTTATTGATGTATTATATAGTAGAGATGATACTATTCATAATGAAATTTTAATTATGATGTTAGTTACAAATAGTGCTATGACACTTTATAATGAAAAATTATAAAAGTTGGAAATCAATTTTGAAAATAAATATGATTAATCTATACTTTAATTTACTGAATTATTTGATTATTGTCTCGTATGTGCTACTGAAATTGAAAACTCAAGACCAGAATTCAATATGAAAACTATAATTAAAAAAGTGATAACAATCTCTAATGTTTCTAAAATATTTGATGTTTTGACTTTTTTAGAACCTACTGAAAATAGAAAAAATATATTATCTGTACTTGTTAGAGATCCAGAATCCTTTCTTTTAGATGAAGGAGCATTACTATACTCACGTCTTGAAACAAGTAATTATGGTTAATAAGAAAATAAATATAATGAATTTTTATCAGAAATGACATGGGATGGACAAAAAACATTTTTATACACAAAAAAATAATTAGATTAAGTTTAAACAGATGAATTTTTAAAAAAACTTTCAGCTATTTATGAAACTTATGGTAATAGGTCTCATGAAATTGAAAAATTATTTATTGAATTAGAATAATAAAGTGAACCAATGTTTGCTATAGGAATAAAAACACACAATTCAAATTGTTTAGTACTTTCTTCTTAGGAATTAAATTATGATATCTTAGATTAGGATAAAATATTTTAACATCTATACAATTTTAATTTAAAAACTTGTTTTGTTACATAATATAATTATGATGAACTTTTAATATTTCTAAGAAGCTTTTAAATTATACGTTCTAAAGAATAGATTTTAGAATTTAAAGAAAAAGATAAATAACAATTATAGTTTAAAGTTAAATAATATATTCAAGCATTACTAGAATATTAAAACACAAATTAAAATTATGAAAAATTTATAATCGTTAGTTCTGAAGCTTTTAATACAATAAGAAAAGATGATTATTTAAAATACCATTTCATATTAATGGTTTAATTTTCATTTGGACTAGGAGCTTATTCATTTACAAGCAGCTAAAAAGGAAAATTGATAAAATTACTCAAAATGGCTGATAAAAAGATTCTTACTGTTGGTAATTCCTTAGATAACGGATATATGTTTTCTAAATCAGATATTTCAGTAAGTTTAATGAGAAATAAGTCATTAATCTCTATTTTGCATCCAAAATTTGTGATATTTAACATGAAATAACTTTTTAGAATGCTTTTTATTTATTGTCCAAAATAAATGTTGAATTATCTAGCTATAATGGAAGTTTAATTATATAGATGTACTTTAATTGGACTAACTATTTTTGCTAGTAATTTTGAACTAAACGACATGAATATTTTTTATCTACTTTTATTCTATTTAATTCCTAGTAACCTTTTATCAAGCCTATAAAATTACTATTTATTTGTACTGCATACGAAATAATAATTAAAAAATGCAAATAATTATTCAAGACTATTAAATAATTTAAAAAATAAAATATTATTTAAATAAGCAATAAAAGTCATACTTATTGCAATAATTGATTTCTGTATATTAATTTTAATTCAAAATTCTATTTTAAACTTTATCTCCTTAAACGGTAAAATTGACTAAACTTAATAAATAATTTTATTCTATGTTGCTCTTGAAATTCTGGAAAAATCTAAAATTTTATTCTATATATTTTCTCTTTCCTCATAAATGTAATATTATATAATACAATTATGTGTGACAATAGTAATGACCGCAATTTTGATAATAATATTTAATTTAGTATAAATAAGTGTGGATTAGTAAAAGATTTCTGAAGAATTTGATGTAGAAAATTTAGTTGCTTTCATTTTTATTGCAGTTTTTGTACTTGGCCTATCATATATTTTATATGAAACTTTGAAAATATTTTCTATTTAATTTGCACTTCCTTCTGATCTATATTTATTTGATTAAAACTATTAAAGAATAATATAAGTAAGAAATAATATATCATCTTCAAATTCTCTTAGTGAAATTGAAGATGAAAAATTAAGAATCTTTAACTAGAAATTAAAATAATTAACTGACCAACTATTTGATAATAAGGATATAATTGAAGAGAGTATAACAAAATAAATTAAAGGAGATTAATCTCTAATTGATGAGATGGATAAACTTCATGGATTTTAAGACAAAAAAACAGAGTAAACATTCTAAGACTTTTTTAGAGAATAAAATAATCATAGATATAATATTGTTTATACATTTATCTTTTATGATATATGTATTATAATCATGCATTTTTACGATATATTTACTGAAGACATTTTTTAAATTTCAATCCTTATAACTGTTGTAATATAATTTGTCATCTAAATCTTTATAGCATTTTTATAATTTAGAGTTATAAATGATAAAAAGACTAGATAAAATTTATAAATAATCTCTTACATTCTGAGATTCATTTTTTAAATTATAATTGATATTTTGTATTTTGATTCATAACAAACTTTTGTAGGATTTTTATTAAGTATTTAATTCATATTAGCATTTGCAATGACTTCTCAACCTTAAATACCATTATTAATGTATGCTGCTCTTTAACTAATAAATTATATAATCAACTTACTTTCTGATGGCTTTACAATGAATTTTAAAGATTACAAACCTCTAATATTTTGTATTTCAAAGTATAGTTTACTTTTAATAGAAGTATCCTATCCAGTTTTTTAAATGGTTCAGAAAACCCAATTTTTATAAAGATCATTTTATATTTACTAAAATAGATTAAATAATGAGAAAAAGAAGATTAACAATATCCTTGGATTATTAATGCCAAGATTTATATAGGAGAGAATGAATAAAGGATAGATTTAAATATCTTAAGATTAAGGAGATGTGACTGTTCTTTTTTGTGATATCTATTAATTTGATAAAGTGATAAAATTTTAATAAGAAAATATCTTAGATTTCTTAGATACTCTTTATAGGGCCTTTGATTAACATTGTTAAACATATGATTTATAAAAGATTGAGACAGTAGGTAAAACTTATATGGCAGCTGGTGGTCTTAAAGATTATGATGCAGTTATAAGTATTAATATATAAATTAAAATATAGATTAAAAAAATGCAAATAGTACAACAAGAGCATTGGAAACAGCAATAGCTATGATGGAAACAGTAAAAACAATGAAGTATGGTGATAATTAAGATGTAAAACTTAAAATAGGAATTCATTATGGAAGAGTAATTGCTGGAGTCATTGGACTTCATAAACCATAATTTTCTTTGATAGGAGATACTGTTAATACTACTAGTAGAGTATGTAGTACAGGTGAAGCTGGTTTTATAACTTTAAGTGAATCTGCTTACAATCATATAAAAGATACTACTAAATATTAATTTGAGTAAAAATCTGTAGCTGCAAAAGGGAAAGGTACTATTGAAACTTTTAGATTGAAAATATAATCTAAAGAGAAAGAATCAAGTAAAAATATAACTCCAAAAGCTTGTTTTGATAAAGGGGAAAAGAATTATGAACTTGAATGCAAGGTATCCGTTATGCCTTTGAAAACTTCAGAAAATAACAAGATGCCTCTCAAAGGTGTAATGAAAAGAACATCTATTATGGGTTAAGCAGGTATTAATCCTGATACAAAATCACCTTAAGTTTTATTTAAATAAATTTAAAAAGATATTAAAAATAAATAATAACCTTTGGCAATTATTAAAAATAAAGCATCAATTGAACATGATTGTAAGGATTTTGATTTAAAGAGATTAAATTCTTAAAAATCAAGATCAGGATCAAATTTAGATGTAATATTATATATATATCATTGATAGAATGATAATTAATCATAAGTATATCAGAAAGCAAAAACTCCAGCTTTAATTAGTACTATGAGAAATAGTATTACAACTCATAGAAGATTGGTTAGATAATCTGAGGATTCTAGTAATGCTAATATTGGTAATGCTGCAACTTTATAATAAATTTCAATGACTCATTTTTCATAAATTGATATGAAACCTTAACCGTAATTAAATTAATTGCAAAATCAAAATAATTAAAATAATAATAATAATTAATAACCATTAATCAATTCTTTTTAATAAACTTCTTAAAATCAATTACTTTTAATTGCTGAACATCCAAGCAAAGAAAGTTTATAACATGAATAAAATGAGGATGAAGTATAAATACCTGAAAAATAAGCTTAAAATTTTGTTTAAAGGCCTTAATTAAAAAAAAAAGGAACTTTGATCATGGTTGACTTGGTATAATAAAAAAAAGCCGGTTTCATGAAATCAAGTACAAAAATTATGGTTCCTGAGGAAAAGGATAAAATAATAAAAATAGCACAGATTGATAATGATTTATAAACTGAATAAATTGTAAAAAGACAAATAACAAAATAAAAATCTATCAAACCTATTTAATAAGAATCTTCTGACTCCTCAATAAAGAAGTAGAATGATAACTTATATGATAAATTTGAAGAGTTAGAAATAAAAAAAAGATAAGGAATTTCTATGCTTTAGAAGAAATTGGATCTAATGAAATTGAAAAATATAAAAAAATTTAAATTAGATTTTGATAAGGATTATGATTCTGAATAATTTAAAAGCTTTTATGATAGTAAAGATCAAATTTCATATTATTAAATATATGAGGAATACAAAGATTAAGAATTGATAAATTTTAGATAAACTTATTCATTTTTGTTGCTACTTATGATTCTTAAAAATTTGTTGTACTTTTTATTAGATGATTTAAATCCAAAAATTTAAATAGGATTATTGATTTCTATATTATTTTAAATAACCTTAAGTTTAGGATTGGCAATTCCAATTTATAAATATAGAGAATAATAAGATTTTTTAAAAATAAAAACTTTTGGATTTATTTATTTTGTAATAGTAAATCTTTTGAATCTTCTTGTAATATAATTTAGTGAAGTATCAGAATTTTAAGTGATTTTATAAGCTTGCCAAATAACAACAATATATATTAACTTATTTTATTTATAAATGTTGATAGTACAAGACAAATATAAATTATTAATAACATATATTATTTTACTAATATTGGTAACTGTTTATGAGAAATTTATTTTGGAAATTCTATTTTTTGGATTAAGTATAATAGGATTAACTTTTTATTCTTAGCATTAAGTAAATTAAATATTAGTAAAAAATTATAAGGTAAGTTAGTAATTATAATTATAAATTGCAAAGTATGAAAATATGTTATAATATTTGATGCCTCCTCATGCATTAAAACGATTATTAGAGCCAGATTAAGATAATACAGAAACATTTATTGATGTCTTAGAAAATGCAACAGTATTATTTGCCGATATTGCAGGATTTACAAAATATTCTAGTTCTGTAGAACCAGAAACAGTAGTAGAAATGTTGAGAAATTTATTTTAAACATTTGACGAATTTTGTTAAATGACTTAGGTGTACAAATTATTTACAATAGGAGATTGTTATGTTTGTATGGGAGTAATGGATTTGAATTAAAGAGATCCTGCTGAAGAAGTATTTATATATAAAAATATAAATAAGGCTTAAAATGTATTGGTTTTCGGGTTAAAAATGATTTAAATAATAAATGATTGTAATAAAGATCCTTAATATTAACATTTAAATATGAGAATTGGAGTACATACAGGTAAAGTACTTGGAGGAGTAGTAGGTACAGATGTTGTAAGATATGATATTTATGGTGAAGATGTTACTATTGCTAATCTTATGGAATCATCAGGCTCTGTATTTATTTATGCTTATTCTATTTAAGGAAGGAAAAATGTTAGTAAGTGAACATACTAAAAATTTAATTGAAAGTGTTTATGAAGATTTCAAATTTGATTATGCTAAAGATGTTTATATTCCTTCTAAAGATATTACATTACCTACTTTCTTTGTACAACTCAATGATTTAGTGTTTAGTTAAGATGAATGAATTTATTTTACATAATATATTATTTTATTTATGAGCCAAAATCAAGAAAAATTAGAATCAGAATTGTTTTAGTAATACTAATAAGCTATTGATCTTCTTGAAAATGGAAGTTAAGTATAAGGAATACAAATTTTGAAGGATTTAATGCAAAATTAATCTATCATTAATCAAGATGATAAAAAAATTTTATACGGCATTTATATGTCATTAGCTGAAATTCAAGCATAAAGTGATTGTGTAGAGAATAAATGTGAAGCTTTATACTATTATTACCAGAGCACATTAATTTCAGATAATTGTTGGCAAACCTAAAGAAAAATGGCTTTAATATTTAGACAATTAGGAATGATGCCGAGAGCCTTAAATGTTATATTAAAAGCGTATTTATTATATTATATATTATATAGTCTGCAGATATGTAATTAACCTAACATTATATAGGCTATATTATATCAGGTTTGTTCTATTTGTTTTTTAATGAATGATTAAAAATAATTCGAAATATATTTTGATAAAATGAGCAATGATAATAATTTGAAACTTAAAATTACAGAATTAAATAATTACTACATTGATTAAAATAATGTTACTACTTTTGTTTAAGAACTCCTCCTAGAATAATCTTAAATTCAATAAAGACTTGAACTAATTCCTTATGAATCAAATCAAAAATTACTATATTTTACCTAAACATTTTAATATGAAATTAAATTAGATACTTATGATTTAAAAAAGTTTTTTAAAAAAATATAGAATATTTTACAAATTAATGTAAATTGTGAACCAAAAAAGTTTGATTTTATTTAGAATGATAAATGCTTTATGTCTAATACAAAAATAATTGTTATTTCAAAAGAATAATAATAGAACTCTAAAGATATTTCTAAAGAATTACCTAAAGAAAATTAACCTGTAAAATAATCAGAGAGACAAAAATCAAAAAAAACAAAACAGTAATAAGATTAATAGTTTAATTTAGATCAAAAGATTTAATCAAATCATAATATCTTAATAGAATTAATAAAATAATTTGATGGAAATGAAATATTTTAATTAAATAATAATAATAATAAAATTTAAAATGATCATAATGAAAAACAAGAATGTCATGTAGCTAAATTTCTCTTGAAAAATTTGAATGGTAAATAATTCTTAACAATAATTTAATTATTGGAAAATCTAATTACATTAATTTTTTAGGATTATTAATAAAATGATGATTCTCCATAATAATAATTTGATATACAAAGTGATCAACAAAAGAGTCCTTAAAATAAAAATAATAATGATTCTTCATACAATGATGCTATAAGAGGATTAATAAATTGTATTGTTTGGGCTTAATATTCTACAAATAAATTTACTGACAATCCTAAAATTAAATTATAATTATTAGAAGTTGCCTATGATGAATTAACTTTTAGGTTTAAGGAAAAGAAACCAAAATCTCCAGAATAATAAAATAAAATAAAAAATTTTATAAGATTTATTAATCATATGAAATTAGAACTTCTTTAGACAAACATAAATAAAATAATAAGTGATAAGGCAGAAGTGTAAAACTATTTATCAAATTATTACAGAATTATGGCCAATATTCATAGTGATATTAACTTTTTTTAAGGTAGAATAGCTAAGTTATGTGCACAATAATTAAATAATCATGAATTAATACAAGAAATTTCCAAAAAGATAAAATCAGCATAATTTTAAATTTCTTCAAGTTCTCCACATTAATCTTAATAAATATAATAAATTCTTACTTAATGGGAGTAAAAAGAATAAAGATTAGAGGATAATGAAAAAATTAGGACATAAATACATTATGTCTAAGATTATTTGAAATAAAATTAAAGTTATGATATGGTTAAAAGATTAGCTATAATTTGCTTAAATTAATTTTATTTTGTACAATAAGAGTAAGAACTTAAAGTAATTTATAAATTTGTGCAGCCAATAGTTTAACAATTTTTAAATGTACCTTAACCTGATATTTTAATTGGATTTATTTTCCTAAAATTTTCAATAATATATTCTTTAATGGATTAAGACTCAACTGAATTTTTGGCTAAATTTATTGAAATATTTCTCTAATAAAATAATAATTAAAATAAACATCTAATTTTAATAGAAATACTAAAATTCCATCCTCTTAGTATAAATAAGCTTTTTACATATTTAAACATTGATCTAATTTTGAAAGAACTGATTAAAACAATTATAAAAATGAAAAATAGATAAAGTGAATTATTAGAGTAATACAAAAAAAACTTTTAAAACAATGTAGAACTTCATTATTATTTGCTACATTTATTAGATTTAAAAGATTAATATACTCCTTAATTTATTGTTAAATAAAACGAGTTATAAATTGAAATTGAAAAGTTTGAAACAAAATATCCTTAACCAGAATCTTTTTCAAGTGCAACCAATTCAGAAATAGAATCAGATGATATGTTTTAGAAAGAATATTTAGATTTAAAATTAAGTTAAGAATAAATTGAAACTAAATTTTAAATAGGAAAATAAAGTTATTAATTCCCTAATAAAACTATTGAATTTTTATTAAATCATTCAATAAAAGTTAATGTTGAAGATCCGTAAATTATGAAACATATCTAAAGATTAGCTAAGGAAACTTTAAAAATAGAATTTGGATTAAGTATTAAAGATTTTTGTGTAATTCTTAATTAAAAAATTTTTAAAAACTATTATCTTGAGTAAGAATTTGAACGAGATTTATCAGATATAGAACTTTAATTTATTGGTTATATATAAACATATTTTACAGATGCAGAAAAAGAATCAAGTTAATTAAATAATTTTATTACGAATATTGTTAAAAAATCATTACAAAAATATACTGAACCAAAGATATAAGAATTTGCAGAATGGTTATATTCATAAATATTTACAAAATAAAAATAATAAAATTCATCAATAAAAGAATTTTAAGATTATATTAATTAAAATAATTTATAATGCGATTATAAATCTAACTTATATTGTTTAATTTAAATATTGGAAGTTAAAAATTTTAAGGAAACTCCATAGAAATTTGATTTAAAAAATATTTGCTATGCTTTAGCTTATAATGAATCTCCATTTTTATGGAAACAATTATACAATTTTGCATTTTAATAAGCATAAAAGTAATTAAATACAAAGGCTTAAACTGAAATAGATTGGTTTTTGAGTTAGAAAAAGATTTAGGCATTGGTAAACAAAAATCCTTAATTAAATCGTTTAAATGAATTAAGATATGTTTTAGATCTTATAAAATTAAAATAAAGATAAGTTGAATATTAACATTCTAATAATGAACAGTTGTATAAAAAAACAGAATAAGGATATTTTTCACTTTATTAAAAGTAATTTAATATACCCAATGACGTTTTTGAAATAGAAAATAATTTTAGAATTTTATAATTATATGAGAAAAAAGTAATGCGAAAATATAGAAATATTACAATGGAAAGGATAAGTTAAAATTTAGATAATATTTGTAGTCTTGTTAATTTAATTAGGTAAATGAAAGAACATGAAATAGAATATTTTTATTAATCAAGTGATGGTGAATAAGAGATGTTTTAAGATTTATACATAAATATTTATAAATTCATCAGAAGGTTTTTAAGACATAAACTTTACAATTAATTAACATAATTTATTTAAATAATTAAAGATAAATTTAATTATTTATTAGATGAAAATGATAGTAATATATAATTTTAATATGAATATGACCGAAGGAAATTCAAAATTTCCCATTTTACTTAAGAATAACTTGAGATAGAAGAGAATACATAATATAATAAAGAGGAAGTTAATTTAATTTTAAACAATCTTTTAAAAATATTTGTAGAGAATTCATAAAAATTGACAAGAAAAAAAGCTTAAAGATATGTAATTGAAGCTTTCTTTTATGCAACTCATTTAAAATTTAATAGTTAATAACCTATAGATTAAGTATTTGCCTAAATATCTCCTATTTATTAACCTAATAGTAGAGATCTAGTATATTATTACATTAAAATTGATAAACATGAGTGTGAAAAAGATAAAGTTTTAAAGCATTATTATTCATCAGACTTAATTTTTAATTATCAAAAGTCTAAAATATTAAAATTAATTATCAAAATTTTATTTAAGATGTAAAAATTTAAAGATATATATTAACTTTTTGAAAAGTTACACAAGACTTATGATATAAGACTATATTAAGCTTGTATAGGACTTTTAGAGGAATACAAGAAGCTTGATGATAAAAACTTAATTAGAGATATAATATTGAAATCTGAATCATACAGAAGAACAACTGAGTTATTTAAATAGGATTCTTTTGGGTTATTGTTAAATAATATGTATATAAGATTATATGAGAAAGAATAGTAAGATAAAAATGAAATTGATTTACTCAATGAAAGTTAAGAAATTAAATTAGAAAAAGGAAAAAAGATAATAGAGGATTATAGAGCTACAAAGAGAAAACCAACTAAGCCAAAAGATTAATAATAAAATTCATAATAATAAAATTAATAGGCATAAATTTAAATATAGTAAGCATAACTAATAAGTGATGATGTTGGATAGTATATCAATTAAGGAACAATAATTTAGAGTTTCAATGATTTTGATAATATATGAAATAAATATCATTATTTAATTCTAGATTGCAATACAGATGACATTATAACATAGATTTTTTTTACTTTTTTCTTTGCATATTTTTGTAATCTTGATATTCTAATTTCTTAATCAGACATGTAAGATTATTTTTTATAAATAACTTTATTCAATTCATTTATTTCTGATGTAATAAATTATGTAAATGTTTCAGTAATAAAACCTTTTCTATTTACTCCATCTTCTTCTAAACCATCTGCTAGAATTGAATTATATTTTAAAGTAAGGATTAGTTTCATAAATTTAAATATATATTCAAGAGGATTTACAAACTAAATTTAATTCTTTGGCATTAACTATTTAGCTATTCTTATCATTTCCTCTTAATACATTTAAGGAATTAATGATTTTAAAATATCAAAATCAGAATCACCAAGTTCTTTCATTTGTTCTTGAATTTTCATAGTTGTGAAGTTTAATTCATCAAAAGCTAATTTTTTATTTTAATCTAAAAGAGGAGCAATATATATTGCAGGAAGTATAAGTGACTTTATAAATAATGTTTAAGCAGCAGTAAAAAATGAATTTAAATTTGGAATTCCATTAGAAATCATATAAACTTCTCTCCATAATTCTGCAGCTTCCCCTTCTGTGCATTTTTAAAAATTCCCCCTAACAAATTTATGAAACTATTTAAAATTAATAGGTTATGCTGGAAATGCAAATGATAAAATCTTATATCTATTAATTCTGTCTATTCTAAAAATTTCCAATAATAATTATAAAACAAAACCTGTTTAAATTAATTTTCTATCTTCTATTCTAATTAAATATTAATATTACTTTTCCCTTCTACAATTCGCTCATTTACTGCTCTCATTACTAAAGTTTAATTAATTTTATCAAACTATTCTATACACCTTAAAACTATTGATTCAGCTTATTATACTTTCATATAATGGACAACACCATAGATTGCATCAAATGTTTCAATCCAAGGTCCTCTTCTTAATAAATATCGAACATGAAGATAAAAGTATAATTCTTCTAATGAATATATATCATTTAAGAAATGTCTGAATTAAACTACTTCCCAAACCTTATCTAAACGTGGTACCATTAAATCTAAATAAAAGATGTGCAATTGCTCTTCTATTTTTACCTAAATATAAAATTAATATATTTACTCTTTTTGTATCTTCTGGAAAGATAATAACTTGATGGTTTTCAATAGTAAAAGTGCTTAACCAAGAAATTATATAACTCTAAAAAGAGATATAAGTATTCTTCTGAAACTCAATATACATGCCATCTAAAATAGCTCTAAGTAAACCCATAAAATTATTAGATATAGGTCTTATTTGTAAATATTAAGATTCCTAATCAACTATCCTCTTTTCTAAAAATAAAGTATATGGTGGATAATTATATCTTAATGTTTATAATTCTGCTTCTTCATCTCTACCTACTACTAATCTTTTTACATCAACATATGCATCTACTAATTTTGAATCATATTCTTATACATTTTTTAAAAAACTGCTCATCATATACCTTTAAAATACATGATCTTCATCTAAAATCTTAGTTATCGCTTATAATTGTATCATATCACCTTCAATTCTACTTTAAAATGGAGCATCTACTTCTTTACTTCTCTTCACTGTCATTTCATCAATTCTATCTTATAACATTCTAATTTTCTCAAAACTTTTTTGCATCTACTTTCTTTCTGTTTAAGTATTTAATTTATTCATTTATAAATCCTCATATGTCATATAATAAAGTTCTCTATATTGATCTCTTTATTCCTTAGAATATTAAACTTAAAAAGTTAACTCTTTTAATTTTGTTTCACATTCTTATATTTTATCTTCTAATTTTCTAAGTTAAATTTAATGTTTAAATTCCGTTGATTTTAGAGTTTATATTTATTGCTATAATTAAATTTGTTTATTGTTATCATCATATAATTTATTTTATTAATTCTCTATTGTCTTATTTAATTAATCAATCTTCTGTTATAATTATGTAGCTAAACTATCTTTATTTTAATTCATTAAATATTATAAATTCTGATTCAAAAGTTCAACCTTTTTTTCAAGTTGCACATTTATAACAGCTAATTCATTCGATCTTTAAAATGTTTTTGTAACATTTTTAGAATTCTAATTTTAACTTTCCATATATTTTATCATTTATGATTAATCTTCTATTAATCTACTGTTATTTTATACTTGTTCTCTAGTTTACTTTAAAGCAAATTAATATTCTTTTATTTCTTTAGTTTTTTCGTCAAATATTTATAATAATTATTCAACTACTTTAATGAATTAATTTACTAATGGATTAACTTTTTCATTTTCGAACTAACCTGCTAATGCTATGAAATGATTTACTTTATCATTTATTTAAGGAACTTTAGATTGTATATCTTTTAATAATTATTGAATTCTCATTTATTCAACTTCTTCAAATTACATAATTTTCTCTCTATGTATATAAACCATTGAAGCATCTAAATCAAACATAAAACGATCTGAATTAATTAAAGGTTTTGAAATTGAACTTCTTAAAGTCTATGGTTATTCTGTTGTTTGTGTAACAATTTTATTATTATTAAGGGAATTAGTTAGTTTCTATATTACAACTTTTTAATGTGTGCTTGAACTAATTTTATGAAGTTAAGTTTCAAACCTTGGTTTATTAACTTCTGGAAAATCAAAAGTTCCTGAATTATTTTATGAATATGACTTTTTCATAAAATAAAATTATAATATCTATAAAATAATACTCATTTCATATCGTATTCTTTGTTTAGAAACCTCATTTTTCTACAATTCTTAAACAAGGTTATAGGTAATTAAACATATGAATTTTAATTAATTGCTCTAATTTTTAAAAAACTCATACTTTTCAAATATCTTAAAATTATAATATTCTAATTCTTCTAAATATTATTCACTTGGTATTAAATGTAAAAATGCCCTAAATGATTATGTTGGAATTTTGTTTTAATATTAAAAAGTCTTAATCATTTATGTTCTAGCAAATGCAGCCACTTCTAAAACTGCATCATACAATTCTTCCTTTGGTTCACCTTAAATTCTTATAATATACTACCCCTAATTCTATCCCAAAGTGATCGAACATTTATACTATGTTTAAATTTTATATCTTCAGGTAAATTAAGTTTATAATTTTAAAGTGTGAAAGGCACTCTTCTTAAATAATCTGTAATTCCTACTGCTTAAGAGGATAACTCAGTTAATTATTTTAATTCTTAATTATCAATGTCCATCCTCATTAAACGTAAAAACAATAAAAATTATGACCCTCTGTTTGCTTCTGCAGCTGTAGCCATATCTACAAGATTTGCAAATTCCTACTTTTCTACTTATTATTTGCGGTAATTAATCATTTTTTGAAATAAATATTTAGGTAATGGGTTGTTTTTACATGTGTTATGAAGACATATTGATAAAGGATCTCTTTAAGGATTATCTAAAAAAATCTCAAAATTTTAAGAAATATTACTTAATCTATTTGATCTGACCAATATTAAAGTTTGCCTACTCCTAATGATCTTTCTTTAGAAGTTTCTTCTATTCTTGCTAATTCATTATGAAATTGACAAATGTTCAAATAATCTTATCTTTATTCAATTATTAATGAGTACCTCACTTATTTTGGAATATGTTTAGATATTGCAAAACTAATCCAATCAGTCTTCTAAACTAAATCAGCTATATATTTTTGAGAATTCTCAAGTTTATATATTGATTTTTGAGACTCCGTACAAAATTTAAAGATAAACTATAATTTATTCATATTTATCATAAATATTTAATTTTGTTTCCATTTTTTATGTCCTCTATTGAAAAACAGTAGAATTGCTTATCATTCAGAATAATAGGCTTTTCATTTTATTTAGGTTTGGAATTAGACTAATTCATGGAATCATATAATTGATTCCACTTTTTGTATTTCTCTTAAATTTTTCTATCTTCAAGTATGAAATCGACGAAGTAGTTATATAACGATTTTCTAAATATAAAATAATTTAATACGAAGGATATATTTTAAGATATTTTGATAAAGCTTCATTCCAAAATTATATAATATTTTTTGATTAAATTTCTTAATCTTTTCCAACTTGTTTCATAACAATACTATTTGTTATTCGATTAATTTCAATTTTGATTGAATGAATGCCATAACAAAAAGGACTTAAAAACCTAAAATTATATTAAGTTTTAACTTTCTCTCTATAACAATGACATCTCCATTTTATTAAAGTTAGGCTTTTAAACTAAATTTTCCTTCATATAAGGGGGTACTTAAAAATTTGTAGTAAAATTAAGGAATCTAATTTTTCTAGGATTTAAAAAATAGTATTTTTAAAATAGGATGATTAGTACCTGTAATTAAATATCCTGGCAAGGCTTAATAGAAATCTTAAATAGCTAATTGAGTAGCATCTAAATCGTAATTTATTTGATATAGAATCTATTAATCATTTTTTTTATAAGCACCTATAAATTTTTTAATTAATGTTGGATAGATATATGGAAATTTGTATTTAAGAGTACTCTCTAAAAAGTTTGTTTAATTATTTTTCTTTAATAGATTATTAGAATGGCAATATTAATAAAGTTATTAAATATTAGAACTAACCAGTAATGTTGTTTAGTCATCTTCAGGAACCATACAATATATGTTATTTTGATCAAATTAAAACATCATAAATAAATAATAAACACTCTTCTTTTAATATAAACTAGGTAGGGTTACTATTGCTGTATAATGATCACGAAATCCTAAGCTAAGAATAAAATTTCCACATGAATATTCGTAAGGTTCAACTAATTCAAATAATTCTCTTTTATTGTATTACAGAGAACTTATTAAAAGAGGATGATTAAGTCCAAAAAAGGATTAAACATTATAATCACTTGTTAAATCTATACATTTATTTGATTATGATTATTCATTTATTTAGTTTTGATCTTATGAAATCTTTTTAATTTATTGTTTCTATATATTTTATTATTTTGATCCTAAAAGATCAATTCTAGAAGGATCTAATATTTCATTATTAAAATTACTGATTTCAAGAGTTAGACTATTTTTTTTTTACATAGTACCAACAGCTTGATCATATTCTTAACTGCTATCATTTATTGTAATCATTTCTGATTGTTGTTTTTCAGGACATTGATTAACATAACTTCTGATATCCTTTTAAGAGAGAGATATTGAAGAAATACGTCTTTCACCTTAATTGATATTTTCATATTGTATTTAAAATTAATTATTAGGCGCTAGATTGATGCATTAAATCTGATCTAATATTTTATATTCTTCTTTGCTCTCTCTGCATTAACACAATATTTACTTATTATGTTCCTCGCTCTTATTGAGTTCTGCTTAAAATCTAATTGGACTAGAATTGTGAGAATTACATTCTTTATTGCCGATTTTGAAACTATCTTCTTTTTGATATTTCTAATTTAAGGTTATTTAAGATTGGTTTTGTTAGACTTTTCTTTTATTGGATTTACTACGACTTCTACTTCTACTTTTTTTATCGCTAATGTTTTCTTTTTGCATTTAGAAAGAAATTAACAAAATAATTAAAATAAACTATTTATATGACCTGAAAATTATATAATTAAAATAAATATATTTATATAAATATATAAACTAAAAAAATAAAAGGATATCATATAAAAATCTCTTTTTTTCCAAGATAATTAACTCATCTCATAAAAAACAGGCTTATTTAATAAATACAATGAAACAAGAAGTAATTATCAATTCTACAACATCTACAACTAATATGCCTCAAGATTCATAAATATCAAATAAAGTCAGAAAATATAATTGTTTTTGGAAATAAGAAGTAGTTCTTAGTGATTGTGAAGAATAATTTGTTTAGTAAAATTCTGATGATGATGAAAGAGAATAATATCTTTACTAAATAAATTAAGAAAGAACATTTCAAATAGTTGAAATTGTCAATCCAGTATCATCTGAGATTTTGTATTTTAATTAATACTAGATATAAAGATTAGTGGATCTTTAAACACCATAAAATATATATGATCATTTCATTCCTACTTCGCTTATAGTGACCTTAACAGATTTAGTTAATTAATATTTACTTTTTATATTAGAAGAAGACTTAAAATAATAATCTTCTTAAATTAAATCTTAATATAACAAAAAGAAATATAAATAAACAGAAATCTAACTTTATTTAGGATTATAAATACTTTTTGGTATATATCGATTTCCTTATATTGATGATTATTGGAATGCAGAACCTTGGTTAAGAGGAGGTATTGAACATTTGATGCCTATAGGTAGATTTAAATTTATTGATGCACATTTATTTCTTTATCTAAATGAAAAAGCAAAATAGAAATTATAAGATGAAGTTTATTAACTATAAAAAACAGTAAAATCTCTTTGTTAACCAGAGTAAGAACTGATTCTTATTGAATAAATATACAAAGCTTATATAGTTTACTATTTATTGGATCTTTAAAGATTATTCATTATAGATTTGATAGTGATATCTCATAAAATCTAATTACAAGATAGAATTAATCGACTTATGAAGATGCTCTTTAAATACTCAAATCATAATCATGTTTTATATATCATGTTTGAATTAAGTTTAGAAAAAATACTTTAATTAACAGATTAAAATATATATCCTGTTATTACTTATCAATAGACATAGCATGAACTTATTAAAAATTTATTACCAGGTCAATATTCAATTGAATAATTAATTTTAATAAAGAGTTAATAGTACGCTCATCTGTTCCCATAAAAAAAATTAATATCTGATAGGCATTGGCTTTCAGTTTATTAAGATATTTAATAAAAATATTAGGAAAACTAAATTATGAATTTATTATAATATAGGAGTAATTTTTATTTATGTTCATAATTAAACTGTCCAGAAGGATTCAATTAATTGAGAATAGAATTTGAAGAATATTTTGAAGTCATGATTTATAATACTTCTTTATTAATGGATGATATGATGCAATCTAAATATAGATTAAGTTTGGTTAAAATTTTTACAGTTGAAAAAGCACAATAAATTGAGGCTAGTTTATAGAAAGCCAAATAAAGAATGAATTCTATATCTAAAGAAAGTGCAATGAATACAGATTAATTAAGTTTTGGCCTTTGTTAATAATACTCTGAATTATATCATACACCAATTCCTTAAAAATAAGAAGAATCATTTAAATATTGTGTTGTTTGCATGAAATTCAATTCTTTGACAAAACCTTTTTATAGATGTAGATTATGTGAAAAATTATTTAATGAAAATAAAATATTTCTTTGTATATATCCATGCTTTGAATTATTTCATAGAAATCCTAACAATTTTATTGAATGTGATATTAAATTATTAGAATAATTTAGTGATGGTATATATTTTTAAAATCAAACGACAACTTAAATATTAAACCATAATTAAGATGATGAGTATACTTCAAAGAAAAAGAAATATGATAAACTTATCTAAAGAAATTATTCATCAATTAATAAAGAAATATAGAGAAAATCTAATTTAGAAGATTTTTCAACTTAAGAATTATAAGAGTTATCTAAAAAATATTTACCTGTAGTTCCATCACCTAATTTATTACAACCTATAATAACAAAAGATTCATCAGCATTACAATAGCCAATTCAGGGACATAGAAAAGATTTAAATGAAATCGAAAATAGAATAGATGAGTAAAAAAAAATATTTAAAATACAATTAATTAGGCATCTAAATAAATCAAATTTATCTAACTCATAAATTACAGATTAGTAAACCCTACTTGATTAAGATGAGACAAAAAAATAAAAAAAGATTCAGAAACAAAAAGAGAAAAATAGACAATTAGAGCTACAGATTAAAACTATTAGTCCATTAGAAAAGTTTATGGAAAATATTAATAAATAAACAAAATTAGAAGATTAAGATTAATGAATGAAGATAAACCATTTATTATTTAAATATAATTTAGAAGCAGTAATTTATTTTGATTATTAAAATTTTATTAAAATAAATCATCTATCGTAAAACAATCCTCCATAATATCTCGAATAACCATTCGTTGTACTTTTATTCTGATAATCATTCATAACATATAATTACTTTCTTAAACCCTTATTAAATGGTTATAGTTGAATCAAATTATTTAATTAATCCTAATTCCTTTAGTTAATATATTCTTTTCTAATAGTTTATTTCTTGAAATTAAATTTATATCCTCTAAGATTGAATCAAAAATATTTTCTTGTTTTTTTTATTAAAGTGTCCTTGTTTAATTATCAATTAATAATGTTTCCTTAAGTTTATTTTTAAGCATGATTATAAATACCCTTTGATTATGATCTTCGATTAGTTAGATCTAGTTTAAATACTTATTCTTATTAGAATTGCATAAGTAAGTTATTTAATATTAAAGGATTAATTATATTGATAATCTTAGTAAATAAAATACTATTTATATAGAAAATTAACTAAAATAAACATATAACTTTTTTTAAGAATTTTAAAAAGGTCTATAATATTTTTTTATTATCAATTTTTTCCTTTAGTTTGTAATCTTCCTATTACTTCTCTAAAAAACTTGCCTAATTCTTAATCACTTGGATTTTTAGGAACAATTATACTTTATCCAGTCAATGCAGGTCCTCTTCTAGTATCTTCTCTATCATAATAATCATCCCTCCCATAATAATCATCTCTTCCATAATAATCATCTCTTCTTCCATAATAATCATCTCTTCTACCATAATTCTCATCTCTTCTACCATAATAATCGTCTCTCCTACCATAATTATCATCTCTTCTATTATAATCTTCCCTTCTACCATAATAGTCATCTCTTCTTCCATATTAATCTCTTCTTCTTTGTCTATCATTCCTATCATAATACTCTTCTTTTTATTACTCTCTTTGATGAAAAGTTTGTTAATATTCTTAATGTGATGGTAATTAAGTTTATTATTATTATTATTATTATTAATTTTACTATTTTTATTTATTTTATCTTAAATTCTATTAAACCTTTTCAGTTTTTTATTCTGCTTGTTTTATATTTTATTTTTATTATTTCTATTCTTAATTCTATTGCTTTTTTTGCAATTTTTATTCAACTTAATGAACTTGTTATTTCTATTTTTATCCAATATCATTATAATGAATTTCTTCAACTTTCTTAGTTTTTTATTATTATTAATCTTATTAATATTGGTTTTAAAATTATTATTCTTATTCCATATCCATCATTCTTTAATATTACTAAATTTATTCTTGTGACATTTACATTGTAGGATCTTAGCCAGATAAATACTCAACTTAATTTTCATAATTCATCATATACATTTATTCATTTTCATCTAAGTATTCCAATTCATCAGGATCTTCATTAGTTGAATATTCAAAATCATTTTACTCATCAATATTTTAATCTTATTAGTGAGTTTTTTGAAGTAACTCTGTTGCTTATTTTACTAATTTGTGAATATCTTTATACTGTATTGGTATCACATCAAAATTTTTTATTTAACTTTCACATCTTTATTCCACTATTATTAAATTATATTATTTACATTATTCAATTATAAAAATTTTTTAAATATGATCAATGAATTCTCTAAATATTTAAAGACATTGCATATCTGTTAATTCATTTTATGATACAAATACTAAAATATATGTTCTTCCAATAGTATTTTAAACTTAATGGGAATCTTTTCATATTATGAAATTAGATACATATATTATCATTAATATTATAATACACTTCTAGTTCTTCATTCTATTCATTTATTATTAAAGAATTAATGCTTTAATTTTTATTTGTTATTCTTAAAAATGACCCTATATATCCACCATGATTCATTTCTCGATTATTTATGTCTGATGAAATTAATATATTAAATTCATTTAAAATGATATTTAAATTATCATACATTTCTATAAATGGTGCATTGAATGTTTCTCCATTTAATTTAAATGTTACTTGTTAATTATAATTTAAGTCAAAATCAAATTGATGAAAATAATCGTATGATAGATCTTTACATTATTTAGTTGGTTTCTCACAAACATTATTACGTTATTAAATTATCTTAACACAATCTTGAAATACATGTTCTATAATATCAATTTAAGGAAATTTTGTAAAGGAAGAGGTAACAAAAGAAAAAACAAAAATTTTGGAATCTGTCTAACCTATTGTAATATAAGCTAAATTTTCATCTTCTTTGTAATTTATAATAATTCCTTCGTCACTCTCAAAAATAAATATATGTATAAACCCTCTATTTTCTTATTATACAGTAATAATTAATCCACTTAAAGGAGATTATACAGCATTTTGCTAAGTTTGCATATTTTTAATTGGTATTTTAATTTCTAAAGTATCATTTAAGCTTTAAGCAACAAACACTTATAAGCCTGGATAATTTTTGGTAAAATATTGATTTGGTAGAGATCCATTAATAGTTTAATTTCCTAAATGATAATGAATTGGTGGATGATAGAGATCAGGAGTATGGAAAGTTAATTGATCAAAATTCAAATCCAAATTACATTTAATTTAATCTAAAGAAATACTTAAAGTCTTTTGTTGACAATAATCAATTCCTTCTGATTCTGTAATAAATTAAATAAATCTTTTGAGCATCATTATAACATCTCCTTATGATGACCAAGTTACAATATAAATAAATTCAGGTTTAAGAAATTTATCAACTGCATCCGTTTTACCAAATGAAAATTCTCTCTTGAGATTTTATTTAGAAATTAACAAATGACCACCTTAATCACCTTTATCTACATAATATCCATAATAATCATTGTAAATTAAAACATCAACTTTAGTTTAATTTTGTTTAACCTTGAATTCCTAAATTTACAACCATTATAAATCACTAGCATTTCCTGCAAAGATATAGACATCAGGAAAATTAATGAGAAAGTAAGAGTTATTATTCATTGCAAGTGCTTATTAATAGTTCTATTAGATATCTAAAGCAAAATGTGGTGATTTGCTCGTCAAAATATATGGCATAGTGCTCAAATAAAATAAATACAAATTACTTCTCTGTATGTTAATCAAGCAAGAAATAAGATTCTTAGGCATAATATAATCTCAATCCACATAAAAAATTGTCCTATGCTAATGTATATACACTCTAGAATAATAAAATTATAAACATTATAATAAAATTATTAAGAGTTCAAATTTTATGTTAAATAAACAACAGCTTATAATAACTGTCTAATATATATATTTTATTATTAACAATTAATTTTGATTTATTAGTCAATATTTTTGAGAAATTCTTTATTAAATCATACTCTCCCAAAATTCATTTTAAAACAAAATCAAATTTGGTAAAACCAAGATTTAAATCCATCCATACTAACCTAAATAACTTGAAAATCAAGATTATAAGTCATAGAAGCTGATTTATTGTTGTTTTAGAAAGTAAAGAAGTTCCAGAAGAATATGTAATATGAGCTTACTGAATCAAATATTAAAAAAACAAATAATAGTAAATCAGGAGGTATTTGAAACGAAAGTGATTCCATTTCTTTGGGGACCTCTTTTTGCAAATCTATTTCTTCTTATTCCAAAGTCAACATCATTATTGAACTCTAGTGATGACTGTTTAGAATAGTAGTCTTCTTCTTTTTTTTTTGGGTCGGTGCAAAATTTAATATTTTAGGCTCTGAGATACTTAATTATAGTTCTTATACGAGGATTAGGTTTATGGTACAAATCTAATTCAAGAGAGTCAAGACTTGAATTTAATTCTTCGGACATTTACTTATTTATTTTTATATGAATTAATAGCATAAATGTTAATTAAAAACACTGGGGTATGTCAGAAATTATCATTCAGAATCTACATCTAGTAACATTATCAACCATACCCTTTACCATAAATATTCTGCTTCTTAAAATTATTATTTCACTAAAGAAATTAACGATATTTTGGGTAAGAACAGAACACCAGCTACTATTTAATTTTATGTAAGCAATTCGTGATAAATTAAGGATGATACTCAGTTTAATGAATTAGGAGAGAGAATGAAGAGATTTTACTATATTAATGAATAATTTTCTAAAATTAAATTACTAACAGAGTTCTACAAATTTCATAACGATTTACCTCGATTTACAGTTCATAAGAATTTGATTCGAATTTTAAATTTGTATTATGACAAAAAGCGAAAACTTGAATACTATAAAATACAAAGATAAATAGAATATGAGAATCGGAACAATCCAAATCAAACTCCAAAAGGTATTGTAGGAGATAAACCTATAGAATCTTAAACTACTCCTGAATCTGAAATTAGTAATGATTCATCTATAAATAATAATGTCGACAACATTCTTTAAGATATAAAATAATAAGGAGATTTTAATTAAATAAGCTAACAAGAAATTAGTAAGATCTCAAAAATCTAAGAAGATCAAAAAAGTGAAATTATGTAAATGTTGAAAGCATTCAATCCTGATCAAATAAACAATCATAAAAATGTTTAAAAATATCAAGTATTTAAGAAATCAAATCCTACTTTTAAAAAATCTTTAAAATTGGATGAATTTGCTTTATCTTAATCATCACGAACTTAGAATAAATGCAATGATATTAGAGCTCCTTTATCAACTAGATTTACTACTGATTCTGTTAGTAAGTTACTGAAAACATCTTAAGAGAGAACTAAAGATGTTAATGTTCAAAAAGAAAGCTTGATTTAATTATTTAATAGATATTCTAACTTAAGTAAGGTCAGAATTGAGAATAAGATGGATTAAAATAAAGAAGGTAAAAATTCAATACCAGAAATGAAGTAACTTGAGCTTAAAATTATGAAATCTATTAGAGATATGGAGAAAAATACACCTACATAAAAAAAGAATAAATAAACTTAAAATAATAAAGGATTGCATTAAATTTTAAGTAAAGTAAATAAACCAGATTCTTCCAGGGAAACATATAGAAATTCATAGTTAAAAAGTTCTTCTAGTAGATCAATTAAAATAATTAACCAATTAGATTGTTATAAAATTTCTAAGAATTTCAATAGTGTTTTGAATCCGATTGCCTATTAAAATAATCCTTACAATAAAAAAAGATATAATGATAAAAATTCATCTAAATTAAAGGCAAATGNAAATCTAATTCAAGAGAGTCAAGACTTGAATTTAATTCTTCGGACATTTACTTATTTATTTTTATATGAATTAATAGCATAAATGTTAATTAAAAACACTGGGGTATGTCAGAAATTATCATTCAGAATCTACATCTAGTAACATTATCAACCATACCCTTTACCATAAATATTCTGCTTCTTAAAATTATTATTTCACTAAAGAAATTAACGATATTTTGGGTAAGAACAGAACACCAGCTACTATTTAATTTTATGTAAGCAATTCGTGATAAATTAAGGATGATACTCAGTTTAATGAATTAGGAGAGAGAATGAAGAGATTTTACTATATTAATGAATAATTTTCTAAAATTAAATTACTAACAGAGTTCTACAAATTTCATAACGATTTACCTCGATTTACAGTTCATAAGAATTTGATTCGAATTTTAAATTTGTATTATGACAAAAAGCGAAAACTTGAATACTATAAAATACAAAGATAAATAGAATATGAGAATCGGAACAATCCAAATCAAACTCCAAAAGGTATTGTAGGAGATAAACCTATAGAATCTTAAACTACTCCTGAATCTGAAATTAGTAATGATTCATCTATAAATAATAATGTCGACAACATTCTTTAAGATATAAAATAATAAGGAGATTTTAATTAAATAAGCTAACAAGAAATTAGTAAGATCTCAAAAATCTAAGAAGATCAAAAAAGTGAAATTATGTAAATGTTGAAAGCATTCAATCCTGATCAAATAAACAATCATAAAAATGTTTAAAAATATCAAGTATTTAAGAAATCAAATCCTACTTTTAAAAAATCTTTAAAATTGGATGAATTTGCTTTATCTTAATCATCACGAACTTAGAATAAATGCAATGATATTAGAGCTCCTTTATCAACTAGATTTACTACTGATTCTGTTAGTAAGTTACTGAAAACATCTTAAGAGAGAACTAAAGATGTTAATGTTCAAAAAGAAAGCTTGATTTAATTATTTAATAGATATTCTAACTTAAGTAAGGTCAGAATTGAGAATAAGATGGATTAAAATAAAGAAGGTAAAAATTCAATACCAGAAATGAAGTAACTTGAGCTTAAAATTATGAAATCTATTAGAGATATGGAGAAAAATACACCTACATAAAAAAAGAATAAATAAACTTAAAATAATAAAGGATTGCATTAAATTTTAAGTAAAGTAAATAAACCAGATTCTTCCAGGGAAACATATAGAAATTCATAGTTAAAAAGTTCTTCTAGTAGATCAATTAAAATAATTAACCAATTAGATTGTTATAAAATTTCTAAGAATTTCAATAGTGTTTTGAATCCGATTGCCTATTAAAATAATCCTTACAATAAAAAAAGATATAATGATAAAAATTCATCTAAATTAAAGGCAAATGATCTTAAAAAATTGATGATTTACAAATCTGAAAAACATTTGAAAGATAAGAATATCTAAAAAAGTATTCCAAAATTAAATCTATAAACAATAAATACATTAAATAATCTTTAAACAAGTTTAACATTTAGAAATTAGACAAGTTCGGTTCAATTATTGACCCCAAAACCTTTAACAGTGAGATGTAGAATAAATAATCTAATAAATTGGTAAGTTAAAGCATTGTAACACAACTTTAATAATAACTCTTAATAAAAATGATATTAATAATTTTTTGTTTTATATATAATGTAATCAATATTAATAACAGGAGGATTAGGATACATAGGATCAATAACAATAACTGAATTGTATAAGGCAATTGGAAAACAATACAAAGTAATATATATTTTATGATTAGATAATAATTTTGGATAATTTAAGTAATAGTAATATATAAGTTTTGGATACAATTAGTAGTATAATAGGTGAGAAGCTAGATTTGCACATAGTAGATATTTAGAATTATAATGATTTGGTGGAAGTGTTTAAGAAATATAAAGAATAATATCCAATAAATTATATAATTCATTTTGCTGCATTAAAGGCTGTTGGTGAATCTGTTGAAAATCCAATAAAATATTATTAAAATAATGTTGTAGGTACATTAAACCTATTAAAATGTGCTGAAGAATATAAATGTTAAAACTTTTTATTCAGTTCTTCAGCCACTGTTTATGCTCCTGGTGAATTTGTAGATGAAGAAGCTTCATTTAAACCATCAAATCCATATGGAGAAACTAAAGTAGCAATTGAATATTTGATCAGATCATTATCAAAAAAAGGAGGAAGATATCTTTGTTTAAGATATTTTAATCCAGTTGGAGCAACTAAAGATGGTAAACTTGGAGAAATGCCTAATAAACCTAATAATTTATTTCCTTATATAGAATAAGTTGCCATTGGAAATCTTGAATAATTATATGTTTTTGGTAATGATTATAATACTCCTGATGGTACAGGAATTAGAGATTATATTCATGTTTTAGATTTAGCAGAAGCTCATGTTGTAGCATTATAAGAATTAATTAAAAAAGATTAAATGAATGAAAATTACTATGATTATTTTAATATTGGAACAGGTAAAGGTTTCAGTGTTTTAGATATTGTTAATGAATATTCTAAATTAGTACCTATAAAGTATTAATTTACAAACAAAAGAGGTGGAGATGTTGCAATATTAGTGGCCAATCCAAATAAAACAAAAGATAAATTAGGATGGATTGCTAAAAGAGGACTATCAGAAATGTGTTAAGATTCATATAATTTCATTAAATCAAAATAATAATGATATATTTATAATAATAATAAATCATCTACCCNGATTAGGATACATAGGATCAATAACAATAACTGAATTGTATAAGGCAATTGGAAAACAATACAAAGTAATATATATTTTATGATTAGATAATAATTTTGGATAATTTAAGTAATAGTAATATATAAGTTTTGGATACAATTAGTAGTATAATAGGTGAGAAGCTAGATTTGCACATAGTAGATATTTAGAATTATAATGATTTGGTGGAAGTGTTTAAGAAATATAAAGAATAATATCCAATAAATTATATAATTCATTTTGCTGCATTAAAGGCTGTTGGTGAATCTGTTGAAAATCCAATAAAATATTATTAAAATAATGTTGTAGGTACATTAAACCTATTAAAATGTGCTGAAGAATATAAATGTTAAAACTTTTTATTCAGTTCTTCAGCCACTGTTTATGCTCCTGGTGAATTTGTAGATGAGGAAGCTTCATTTAAACCATCAAATCCATATGGAGAAACTAAAGTAGCAATTGAATATTTGATCAGATCATTATCAAAAAAAGGAGGAAGATATCTATGTTTAAGATATTTTAATCCAGTTGGAGCAACTAAAGATGGTAAACTTGGTGAAATGCCTAATAAACCTAATAATTTATTTCCTTATATAGAATAAGTTGCCATTGGAAATCTTGAATAATTATATGTTTTTGGTAATGATTATAATACTCCTGATGGTACAGGAATTAGAGATTATATTCATGTTTTAGATTTAGCAGAAGCTCATGTTGTAGCATTATAAGAATTAATTAAAAAAGATTAAATGAATGAAAATTACTATGATTATTTTAATATTGGAACAGGTAAAGGTTTCAGTGTTTTAGATATTGTTAATGAATATTCTAAATTAGTACCTATAAAGTATTAATTTACAAACAAAAGAGGTGGAGATGTTGCAATATTAGTGGCCAATCCAAATAAAACAAAAGATAAATTAGGATGGATTGCTAAAAGAGGACTATCAGAAATGTGTTAAGATTCATATAATTTCATTAAATCAAAATAATAATGATATATTTATAATAATAATAAATCATCTACCCATTTTATTACCAGCTCCTTTTTCATTATCATCTTTCCAATCATCCCAATTTCTATCTTTTAATGTTTATTAATCTGCCCAATAATCTTTATCATCATCCTTATCTGCTTCTAATTTTTATTATTCTTCTTAAGCTTTTTTCATCTTTGTTTCTTAATCTTTAGCAAACTAATATTTATATATTAATTTACTTTCATTTCTGAATCAGCAAATTCTTCTAATGTCATATTTGGAAGTCTAGCTGCATTTGGTTACCAAACTTCAGCTACATGTTTTTATCTAAGTTCTGATTCTGTTTAACAATGCTAACAATGAGGATCAAAAAATTAGGGTTGCATTGTTGGTTTCTAAAATATTCTTATTATTTATATTTACTGGTATATTCCAAACTTTCATTTTTGGTATTGGCTTCTCTTACTATTCTTAATATTACTATTAAAGTTATTTATCTTTTTTCATTGCTGATTTAAATTTCAGTATCTCTAATTCCTATTAATTAGTATTCAAAATATCAAAAGAAAATATTATTTTTTAATTTAATTATAATGTTATAATTTCTCTCGATAATTTATCATCATCTAATTTTTATAAATTCTAAAGTAGTTATTTTCCATATATACCTATATTTATTTATTCAAATTTTGTTATTCTTTATAGTTTGCTATCTTGTCATCTCTATTTATTTATAAAACATCATTTTCCATCATTGATTTAAATAATTTTAAGTGATTTCCTTTTAATATTTCGTAATGCTTTAATAATTTCAGAAATTCTTTCACATAATAGTTAGATGTTTCAATGTTCTTTAATCTAATGTCTTCATTTTGTACTTAACTTAATGCCCAACCAACATAAAATGGCAATAAAAAAAATTTCAAATGTTCTGTTTTAATTTCATTGAATTCTTCATTTGGAGAAAAAATATGCTGTTTAATAATTGCTTATTGAGTTTATTAAAATTTCTCAATCAACTCCATCAATTTATCATCACCAGGATTTTAGTCTTCATATATATTTACTTATTTAAGTAATGTATCAAATTATTTAAGAATTTCTTCTTCACTATTCATTAAAAAAATAATAAAATAAATATGGGTGATTAATAGGAAAGATATTAAAGAGCAATTAACAATGAATTTTAATCAGAATTTCTAGAATTTGAGAATCAGAATGAAACTATAGGAATTGATGTAAGAGATTAACTTGGAAAAAGATTACATTATTGGAGGTAAAGATAATAGAAATAATAATAATAGTGCAGGAGATGATATTTATAGTGTTACATATAAAAAGATTAAAACTAGATTACATTGGTTATTCAATCCAGACACATATAATAAATCAACAAAGAAATAAATTTAAAGGCAAGCATAATTATATAATATATAAATTATTTTGGGAGTCATTTTTGTATACATATCATAAATATTAAGATAGTTACACCTATTACTATAGCTATTACATTCATTTAACCAAGAGTAGCAAGAGCTAAAAGAGAGTTCTTAATGCATTAATACGATAAAATAAAGTACTTTTATTTATTATATATAATTCTAGTATGATCACAAAAGCATTAGGAGTTTAATAATAAAAAATGGATATAAATACTTTAAAAAGATTTCTTTATAAAAAAGAAGAATGAATTATTATTGTTTAAAATATTAAGAACATAATTTAACCATTATAAAAACTTTATTAAGTTATCACATTCTTAAATTGAATGATTCTAACTTAAATAATTAGATAATAATTTTATATAAATTTATTATCAAAATTCATTTTCAAATTAATCAATAATTTTTGATTATGCTTAAGGAAACTCATTCGATTCTTTGCTATTTAAAATCCATTCAACTTTTTCTTCATCATTTATATTATCTTTATTGTAATTATTTTCTAGTGAAGTTCTTTTTGCCTTTGAGTATTTAGTTATATGTAACTTTAATTCATTAATTTATGAATAAATTTATGATTTGACTTCTTTTTATTATTAAATTTAATATTCAATATCTTATATTTATGATAATGTATAATATGATCTTTGTTGGCCGATTAATAGAAAGTCATCTATTGTTTTTTAATTATTTAGTATTTTTCTATTATAATTTTTAAGTACTTCATCCATATCATCTGTTTTAGAATCACCTGCTCCCAATTTACTCATAAAATCTTTAATTTATCTAGATTTTTTCATATCAAATTATTAGTATGCACTAACATTTTATTTAATTTCCTTAAGCTATTCTGAAACTTTAGATAATTTGGCTAAATATATTCTGTTTTTCTTTTCTAAAACACAAATTTGATTGTCTTATATATTAATTTCCATTTAATCCATATAGATTTCATGTTTTAATTATTTGATCTAATTAATAAGTTAATTTTTATGTTAAATAAGTTATTATTTAGTTTTATTCTTCATTATGATCATAGTATAATTTTTGAAGGCATATTCTTCATTTTAATCAATTTTTTAATAGTTCATCATTTGAATTTGCTTTTCTTGATTCTCTAATTGTTTTAACTAATATTTTACATTAATACTTGTTCTTTAAGTTATACAATTTTTTATTTCATTGTATAAGACTCAGGGTCTAATTTGCTTAAAGGAATAGAAGTAAATGAAAAATTACTATGACTATTAAGGAAAGATAATTAATGGAGTTAATTTTTTTCATAATTGATTTTGCCTTTCAAGTATTGAATATTTTGTAAGATCTAATTAATTTAGATTTACGTATCTATATTTTGTATTAATGATTTATCAGAATAATGAGATATTGATTTAAATTTACTCTCAGGTGAATAAAGACTACTAATTTTAGGTCTGCTGAAGTAATACTCTTATTAGATTAGTTTCATTTAATTTATTAATAAAAATTAATATGTTATCCAACGATCGTCAACATTTTGTAAAGCTTGTTAGAAATCCTTAAATAAATGCAATTTAATAGTTAACATAATTAGTTACTTAAGCTAGTCGAACAAAAAGCACACTTCATCCATCTTCTAAAAGAATTGCAGAAGTATAAAAATGTGAGAAAACTGATAAATAAGAAAAAGTTATTCACACTACAAGAGAAATTAATTCATAATAATCGATTAGAAATTATTTCGATAATTCCACTTGTAAAAACAATAAAGAGAATTAACCATCAAAAAAACTTACATATTAAGATAATCGATCATAAACTCCTATAGCTTAAAAGAATCCAATTGTAATTAATACTCGAGGTAGAGGTTCTGTAAGTCCATTAAGATGTATTTAATAAAATTAGACATCGAAAAGCTAAAATAAATCAGCATTTAAATAGCCGGAAGATCCTTAAATTATGGATATGGTAGATAATCTAAAATAAAATATTTTGAGGGATTTATAAGAAGCCACTAAAAGATATTAATCTCATAATCCTAAGCCTATTGAAATGCTCTAAAAATAGAATGAGAAGATCAAGCATTTATTAGATTATAAGGAACCATAAATAAAAGCCCCTTATTTTGACTATTCAAGTCAAAAGAGCATTAAAAAACCAGAAATATTCAACAATAATGATGAAAGTTCTTAAAATAAATAATAATTTCTAGAAGAATAATCATAAATTTTATAATAACAGTTGGAAATTATAAAGTAATAATAAGAAGCTTTAAGATAATAATAAATATCAGTCTTAAACAGCAAATCTAATTTAAATAGTTTTTATAATCAAATGAGATAATAACAGAATGAGAGTATTGAAGATATATATGGTAAATCTTAATTTACGATAAGCAATTTATCATCTATTATACCAATAGAAATATCTACAAATCAAAATAAGAAGATTAATGTATCTTTTGAAAGCAGTTTGGAACAAAATCAAATTAATATGTAATTAGAAATAGCATAAGGAAATGATTGTAGAACAACTTTTGGACCATCTTAATTGGAATCTTTTATAAAATCACCAACATTAGTCGAACCAGAACTATTCAGTGAATAATAAGTTATGAAAGAAACAGTTAAATATGTTCAATTAGATAACAGTTAAGGAAAGATTTCATCAGCTAAAAGATATAGTAATGATGAGTAAGAAATAGTTAAATAGTAGGAACTTATTGATTAAGTTCCTCCACTTACAGCTTTCTCTAATAAATCTAATAGATATGACTAATTAATGCAAAACTTTTAAAGTTTACGAAAATTAAGTAGAGAACCTAGTTTTGTAATAGAAACAAAAAAATCAGTTTAAATGAATGATTTAAATCATATTAGTGATTTTGCCATTATGGGAAGTTAAAGAGAGAGCATTGCATTGTGTCAAACTAAATTAATTACTTTTTAAGAGGTAAACAATAGTTAAGATGAATGTGTACAATCTCCAACTTCTTCTTTTTAAGTTAAGCAATAAGTTTTAACTTTTGAATAAGAGCTTGATTAAAAATCCTTATATTCAAATCAGTCTTAATATGATTAAAGATCGATATAATAATTATTACAAAAATCTAGTTTAACTTAATAACAGGCATCTTCTTTTTAAAAATAATCTATATCAATATAATAAAGTACAGAATAGACAAACAGAATACTAGATAGTATCAGGTCTAACGAAAGTTTAAAATAAAGAACTGCCAGTTTTACAGAATTTTTAAAAGTAAAAGATGAATTACCAATCAAAATTACTAATGTTTAGAAATTATCTATCAGACCAGGAATAAGTAATAACTTATAAATAATATAGGTTTCCTCCAATATAAATAATAAAATAAATATTGATTAATAACTACTTTATAATATTATAATAATGAATATTTATGAATCATTAAAAATGTTACCTTTTTGTTCATTTTTAAGTAATTTATAGAAATATATAAAGTTATAGGAATTTACCTCAAAAAAGTATTTTTCATTTTAGCATAACTTTATAATTTTTTTCTGATTTTAATTATGAAATTAATCATATTTAAAATATTACGTATTCATATATCATTTCAGTACATATATATTTGATAACTCATATTTCTTTAATCTTCCTCAAAAAATAAATTTATTGTAAGAAAATGGGCTCTTGCTCTTCTTAAGAAATGAAAAAAATTCTGAAACTCAAACTACAAGAAACAAAATAAAAATAATCTTAGTCAACAACACCCAACAGATCAACAACATAATAGAATGTTGCAAGATCTAATACAAGATGTAACACACAAAATATCCCGTAAATTGTAAATGTGTAAAGTATGAATACATTCTGTCTTCAAAATATAAATTAATCAATAGTTTATAGAAGCACCAACTTTTCTACTTTTTATAGTTTATTAAAGAAAGAAGAAAAAGATTTTCCATTTACAACGATTTAGCATAACAATACAGGAATATTAAGAATTATCAAGTCATATAAACTTACAGAAGTAAAATATGTTGCTTCATTACTCAATTATTAACTTGTAATTATGTTCTTTTATTTAAATTAGCATCATCCTAATTTAATTTAATAATATGAAATATATGAAGAACAATAAAAATATCATGTGGCTGAAGAGAATAACAAAGAGATAGTAATCTTGAATTCTAAAATGTTCATCACTGAACAAGATATTGCTTTCATTTTTAACCAAATTGTCGAAGTTATTGATTATATTCACCATCAATAATTAACGCATGGTCATCTTACTATAGATTCCTTTGCTCTTTTTGGAGAAAAATACATAAAATTATATGATTTATTCCATCTTTTTATGAAAAAAAAGCCATCTTTTGAAGAAACACACTATTTACCGCCAGAATATTTTGAATTTCAATAATATACAGAAGAAAGAGATATTTGGTCTTTAGGAATTATTCTATATTAATTACTTTATCGTACATCTCCTTATGATTCAACTACATTAAATAAATTAAGAATAGAAATCTTAATATCAGAAATTTAATTTGAATAATCAATATCTGATGAAGCCATATCATTATTAAAATAATTATTGGAGAAAAATCCAAAAAAAAGAATAAAACTAATAGAAATAACAAAACATCCTTGGTTTTTAAAATAGTAAGTATTTTTAAGAGAAGAATAGGTTAGAGAAACTTTGCTTAGATTAAGAAAATCTAAAAAATTAAATATATTATAAGCTTACATCCTGAAGTTTATAATTAATAATTATAGACCAGATAAACTTCGAGATATTTATTCAGTATTCAGGTCATTAGATCTTGATAATGATGGGTTTTTTAGTCTTTCAGAACTTCAAGCATCATATAAAGAATTTATTTTAGACAGTGATAAAACTAAATCAATTTGCATGAATATTTTCACTAAGGTAGATATGGATAAAGATAGTAAAATCACTTTTGCTGAATTTATTCTTTATGCTATCTAACGTAAAACTCTAATATAGGAGGAAGTCTTAGATACAAGTTTTAAATTATTGAAAAATAAAAAAAACTTTATTACTGCTGAGAGTTTAGCAGCTTAGTTTTCATTAGAAAAAGAATATTTCACCGAAATTCTTATGGATATACTTAAAAAAGATTATGTATACTATTATTTTATAAAATTAGTTAGCTTATAATAATTTTAAGGATCTTATGTTAGAAATAATATGAATCAAGCCTTGATTATAAATTTTATGACTTATTAATTTTACAAATAATAAAAATAATGATTTATATATATAATTGCTAATTTTCTAATTTAAAAAATAAATAAAGGATATTTTATCAAAGATAATTATCTAATTTTTTGAAGCTAACTCTTTTTTTAGTATTTATTTATCTTGGTATTGATTGACTAATTCTCACTGAACGATTTTTTAAGGTGTTCTTAAATGTTTATTTTAAAAGTTATTCTTCATCCATGGTTAGTTAAATACCTTCATAATTTGTAATCATTCTATTCCAAAGTTTTAACTATCAATTAATTAACAAGAAATACTTTTGATTCTTTTTATTTTGGATCTTAAAAGTATTTTAAAGAAATCAAGATCATTCCAACAATAATCAAGAAAATGAGAGTCTAAAGTTCAAAGTAAGTCACTGAAGGTTACATAGTTTATTTTAATTATAAAAATCAAGCAATATAAGTAATTCATTTGTATTTAAGTAATTTTATTGAGATTTTTAAACATCTGAACCTAATTTTCATATTCAAATAATAATTATATTTTTTCCATTAATAATTATGTATCTATAAATTTATTAAAAATTATTGAGATAGTTAAATGATTGTAATGCAAATTATTTCTATTTCATAGTAATATCTTCAAACTCATAGAATCAATAATTATGAGATGGTAAAATATGACTTTTAAATTTACATTTTAATGGAAAAAATACAAAATAAATAAAGTTTTGATTTTAAAGAATAAAATAACTAGAGTTTTTATTTTGAAAGATTCATAATATAAGATTGAATAAGTGATCTGTATTTTTCAATTAAGAACTATAATAATAATATACAAACAATTCAAATTAATCAGATTTCTTATTTATCTTCTTTTTACTTTAAAATGCCAAACTTAATGAAATCAACTTATGTAAATGCAAGATCTAAAATAGAATATTCTTGATACCTTTTTTGTGATATTTCATAAATTTTTTGGGTAAAGGAAATTAAAATTCCTTAAGTACTTTGAAAGTTCTTTTATTTTCTAGGGCTAGTTTCTCCAAATATTATCTAGTAGAAGATTTATGTATTGAATATACATTCCCTTTAGAATGTTAGAATGCTTAAAGCAAAAATACTGTGTCAATATTGATTTCTTTAGTACCAAAAGGAGGATTCATTAATATTAAATCAACTTTTTAAGATGGAAATTTATGATGCTTAATATTTGTAATAATTAAATCAAATGCTCCATCATGCATTTCTTATAAAGTTTATAAAGTATCTTAAGCCACTTTTTAATCAAATTCATAAGCAAAAACATGAGCTACATTGCAACACAATAAACCAGCTGTTAACATGCCAGTTCCACATCCAAAATCTGCACATATTAAATTTTCTAGAGATTCTTCATTTAGAATTAATTAGATTATTTCAGTAGCAAAAGAAGGTGGTGTCATATGTTATTCAAGATTCCAATTAGGTTTGCCTTCAAAATCAGGTACTTACTATAAAAAGCTTTCTAATTATTTTTTTTTAATCATATTTAAAATAAATATATAATAATCATAAAAGTCATTTAGATTTGTTATTTATTTACATGTTTCAGGTGGACTGGATATTAAATGAAATGCCAAATAGGCTAAAATTCTGATTCCTAAAGTTAAGCCTATTAAAATATTCCACATTACCATTTAATTAATATTGAAACTGGATGGATTTCTAGTCTGGTCAACATTATTTATAGTTGATATTATTAAATTCATTCTAAAAATAAATTTTAAAACAATTAAAATGACAGTGGATTAAATCTATATTAAACATTGATAAGAAAGTGAAAGGTATGAATATTAATGGAATATTATCTTAATTGGCAAAGAATCCTCCTAAAATCAAGAGTGGAATAACTGAGACTTGAGCTAATTTAATGGCTACTTCAATTTGGAATGACATTTGATAAAAATAATCCATATGATATAGCATATTATAGCAATAAGAATTTACCTACATAATTATCACTTAATACAATAACATAAAAAACAAGAATAACGCAAATAGAATGTTAATTTATTTGAAATAGAAATTTAGCAAATGATTTAGCACAAAAGAAGGAATGAATACTAGAAGTTTTATTAACCTTTCTCTTTAAAATAATAGGTCTTTCCATTGAAAAGGTGTGTAAAACATACTTAATTCCTCCAAATGCATTTTCTGAATAATAAAAAATAAAGTTCCAAAACTATTTTATAATTATTCATTATATTAAACTTACTAATAATATTGAAAATAAATATAAATCTCAATAAACTAGCATTAACATAATAACATTTAAAGATTAAATATATTTTTAGTTTAACATCAATTGGATTTCTAATTTCATTTAAAAAAGATCTCAAATAAATAAGCTTAAATTAATTTGGAATCCAAGTTCATTTTCTTAGATTAATGAAATTTCATGAGTTTCTAAGTCTTTAATTGTATTTGAGTTGTAAATTTCCTGAAATAATCATAAGGATTAGAAAAGTTAGAACATGATTAACCTAAAATAGTAAAATAATCAATAGGTTATTCTGCATCCCCTTAATAAATAATATTACCTTTAACTAATAACAAAAGTCTATCAAAATTATTGAAGATTTCAGATGAAGATTAATGTATAGTATTATTAGGCTTAAAATTTATCTTAAATTTTTCAACATATTCAGATCAATCCCTCGTTTATTCGTTCCTAGCAGCAAATTCTAAATTAAATAAATAATTTTTGTGTGCTTTTGGAGGGAAAAAATAATATTTTGTAATTTTGTTGAATTTAATTTATTTTTTTAATTTTTTATCAATGAACATAATAATTATTTATTGCTTAAGCTGCTAATATTAGCTCAAAAAGCTGTGCAAGAAGCATTTAGCAAATTAAAAAAAATTGATGAACTTACTAATTTTGTTGGTAATCTAAAATATTTTTTATTATATCCTACAATTTTGTTAAGATATTATCGGTTGATTATCAGTTAGGTTCAATTCATGTTGGCAATTTACACTTGTAATTTAAAATTAACCAAACGAATGTAACTATACCAATGTTTATTATTAGATAAATTTTTTTAATTAATCAATTCTGAGTCTATTTCATTTTTATTTAATGAATACAAGTTTGAGATAAAGTATTACATTTTTTTGATATGAAAGCTGTAATGAGTGCAAAAATTTTGAACTTGTATCTAGCATGGCCTTCATTTCCCACTTTTATTATAGCATTGATTATAAGTTTATCCCATGTTAATTTAATTGGTGAAGATTTCCCTAATGGAATTAAGCTCTATTAACTGTAATTACGAATTGTTGTTCTAAAAATCTTAAAGGATATTACCTATAGACTTAAGTTTATCTGTCATTTAACTATAATTATTTAAGGGTTTAGTTTTATATTACAGATCAGAAAAATTTATTTTACATTAATCTTTTAATCCAATATTTTCATCATTATAGTCTCATATTTAAAGAGATTACTTAAACTGTGGAATAATTTTTATTTACATAATAATAATATAAACATAATTTGATTAGTTAATAAAATGAATTAAAATTAAAAACACAGCTTCTTTAATAGTATAAGTAATTGAGTGGAGTAAAATATAATAAGTTTTATTCAAAATAATAGTTATTAGAATGAATAATGAAGAAAATATATAATAAAATTATACAGATATACAAAACTCATTTTTTGCTTCCTTTTCCTTTCTTTTTGCCTTATTTTTTATCTGTTTTTTGTTCTTGAGGATCTTCTTTAACTTCATTTGGATCCACATTCAACATAAGTTTGCTTGTTAATTTAATAAATTGTTCAATCTCATCCACGTTTCTTGATTTAAATATACAATGCTTTTTATCATCTGTGACTGTTAGCAGTGCTATTTATTTGACCTTATAGTATTTAACTTTAGCTCTAGCTTAAGGTGATTCCATAATCAAATCTAAAGCTGCTGTCATAAATGAATCCCACGATTTAAGCATTATATTATTTAAATTAATGGACCAATAATTAACAGAAGATTAAATTGCAAATTATAAAGAAGCATTCTCTCTCTTTGATAAAGATGGTGATAATAAAATAAAAGTAAATCAATATAATTTTAGTTTTAAAGGTTGATGATTTGGGATTATTAATTAGATCATTGAATTAAAATCCAACAGAGGCTGAAATAAGTGAAATGAAAAATGATGTAGATCCTGATTCTACAGGAATGGTTGATTTCCCTGAATTTCTTAGTTTAATGGCAAGAAAACATAGAGATGTAGATCCAGAAGAAGAACTAATGGATGCATTTAGAATATTAGATAAGTCTAATAAAGGAACAATCAATGCGAATGAATTAAGACATATGGTTAAGTCTATGGGAGAAAGATTAACTGAAGAAGAAGCTAATTAATTAATTAAAGAAGCTAATCCAGATAAAGATTTGGAAATCAGGTATGAAGACTTCGTAAAATTGATTACAACAAAATACATTTTATGAAAGCTTTTTTATTATCGAGCAGTTATATTATAAATAAATTTAAAATGAATAGCAGTGCTCTAAATAAATCAAGAAGACAATAAAGTTCCTATGATTCTAATTAATAATTAAGAACTATACTCTTAGCTTCATTATCTAAATTACAGTATTATTATAAACTTTTCATTTAGTTCCTAAATCACAGCATAAACAGGATTTAATGAATTGAGATAATTAATTAGCTAATTGCCATTAAACTAATTTGTCATTTTTATTAATTTACTTGATTCTAATGATCTCTCTAAATAGGCAAAGAAGGATTATATAAAAGTATTCGGTCTCTTAGCTGAATTAAGAGGTAATGATATTGAAGAATAAATACCAAGAATTGTTCAAATTATTAATAAAAGAATTTAAGAAGGTATAATCATATATCCAATTTATAATAGGAGATTCTTCTTTCTAATAAGTAATCTCAGATATATTTGCTAATATAAATGAATTTACTGTTTAGACTTCTCAAAATAAATATGATTTATTCTACTAAATCACTGAATTATTGTAATCTAATTTTGTGCATCATAATAAAGTTGCTTAATTAATAAGTGGAGTTTCTTTATCTAGAATTATTAAAACTAGTGAGTCTCGATTATTGAAATTTGTATGTAAATAATACACCCAAAGAACCTTAGAAATTTTGAAGTAAATCTATTATTTCTATATTTAAGATCATCGCATTGTTAAACATAACAAGGATTATTAGAAAGTCTTCTAAGTATAATCTTAAATGTAGAAGAAATCTTTGAACCTAATTTAGAAGATTGTTTAAATACAATTTGTAATTGTTTATAATCATCTGAATGGAATTCACGGTATCATTTTTGTTATGATTAGTAAAATTGCAGTAGATATATTGTATACATTAACAGTTATTTTTCCACATTATTTTAGAGCTAACAACTATTATTAAAATAAAATTAGTTTATTAAGATTTGATAAAATTAAACATGTGAGAGATGCTGCTACTATTGTTATGTCTTAATTGTAAGATTCTCGAATATTATCACAACCATACTAAAAAGAATATAAATCTGTATTTAAACAAAATGCAAATAAATGTTTTTTCGAAAAAAAGCCTGATATTTAAATTGTTGAGAATAAGCCAAGAGATTTTAATTTACTAAATTAATAATAAGGTTTTAAATAAGAATATCATTTAAAAAGTGAAGTTTTTATACCTAAATAAAATCATCAATAGTTTAGTAATGAAAAAAATAAAACACCCAATTAATTCTTTACAGAATCCAATTTCTTATCATCCCCTCATTAAGGATAAATTTATATGTAGTCTCCTTATAAGATTAATAGCTTTGATTCAAGTTCTAATAAGAAAAGATTAATCAATTTAAGTTAAGATATTTAAACATCCAAATTAATTATATCATCTTCCACTCCTAAGAAATCATAACCAGATTTAATTAAATTATATGATTCTGCTAAAGCTAAACAATACACTTTTTATGATAAACTAATTACTAATAGAATTTAAGAATCTGAATTAATAACTAAATAAGAATTTTCTAATATTAATTAAAGAATTGATAAAATAGAATTATTATTAGATAAGATGAATGATACAATTAATAAGAAATTATAACAATAAGAATATTAATAATATGATTCCTAGAAATAGAAGGTACAACCTATTGTTATTTATGAAGATTAAATGATTCCATGTTTACTTCATTAAGAAATTAAATAAAAAGAAGAACTTGTTTATGATTCATTAGATGATGTGGATTCTTAAAAATAATAAAATAATTAAAAAATGAAAGATTTATTTATTTTTAGATAAAAATGTGAATTAAATACTGAATCTAAATTAGGTGAATCAAATTTAGAATTAAATTCAAGAAAAATGAGTGAAGCTGAAGTTAAAGAGAGAGAAATTAATTAAAAATCTATGTCTGAAGCTTCACCTTTAAAAAATAGAGATTAATCAATTTTAACTAATGATAGCAAATAGACAAAAGAATAGAATTCTCCATTGATTTAATAGAGAGATCCTAAAATTTTAGAATAATAAAAGATAATGTAAAAAGTAGAGGAACAATTGAAAGTAAATTTATTTTATAAATTTTAGAAAGATAATATCAATTAAGCTTATTGTAAGGCTATAAATTCTTTAGATGATCAAATTATTATATCAACAATGATGAAAACAGGCCCTTGCACAGAAAAACTTGATTCTACTCAAGTGGAATTTTTATTACATAAATTAAGAAGTTTGGATTGGATTGAAAATGCTCTTTAACATCATTTAGCTAGAATGCCAGCTATTCTTTTAAAATCGATATCAATATAATTAAATAATACCAAATCAACTGATTAAGTTTAAAGAATTCAAGATTTAGTTGAAAAAAAATATATTTTAACATAAAAATGAAGAATAAATAAAATTTTGAAGAATAAAATATTTATAGAGATAACAATTTAATAATTGAATTAATAATATAAATCAAGATTGTATTTCTGCAATAATTTGTATATTTTATTATTGCTATTGTTTTCCTCTAAATTCAACTTAAATTTTATCTTCTTCTCGGTATTTTCCTGAGTCATTAATTTCATTTAAATGGTTTTATGTGTGAACAGAACTCTTTAATAATATAACAATTAATAACTTACTTGCATATATTCTTTTGGTTCATATATACACTATTTTAATTCTAAAAATTTCAGTTAAGTTATGCAAGTAAGTACATTAACAATATTTTTTAAAATATTTTATCTATAAATTACAATAATTAAATACCTTCTAAATGGATTTTTACTATCAATAAGCCAATGTTTCTTTAAATATTCATTAGTAGTCATATTAGTAAAAACTAAATATGTATGAAACATCCATAAACCAACAACAAAACAAGAGAACTATGATATTAAATCTAAATAGTTACTCCAAAAGAATAAATTACAAGTATGATACTTACAGGATTGTTAGATAATGTTAATGAAATAGCATCTGATGTTTCCATGCTTACTGATCTTTTCTTAGATTCTTCAACAATATAAGAGAGGCATACTCCAAACACAAAAATCAATTTAAAGGAAACAGACATGATAAAAAAATAAAAATAAATGTAGTTTCTTCTTCCTATACATTATCCAATCCAAGGACAATGATGATCAAATCGAACAACACAATTATCACATGAAGGACAATGAGATGCTCTAGCAGGTCTATATATAGCACCTAAATTACATGATATATATATATATATACAAGTTGAACAATACTTTAATTTAAATTAGTGAGCTTATATTGTAAACATTTTTGAATCCATTATAAACCTATAATCTTTCTTTGAATATTTTTATGGTACATTTAGCAGTTCCTCATTCATTTCATATTCAGGTCTCTTTTATCACTATAATTCTTACTATTTTTGGGATTATCCCAGGATCCATAAAAACTGTAAAGGATAGAAAAACATAAATAGTAATTTATATTAACACAAATACAACTGTATATCCATTTTATCCCGTTTTTGCAAATTCCTAATATTTTCATATCATTTACAGGTGACATAAATATATAAAATAGAATTGAAGGAATTGTTATAAAACTAACACTTGCTAATAATTTATGATTTTCAGAGCTATTTATCATAATTTTCTTTTTTATACCCTGTAAATAGTTTCCCATTGCACAAAATTTTGTTTTCTGTTTACCAAATTTGATATAAATGTTTAGATCCTTTTGAGTCTTTATATTTTTATTTTTACATTAAATAATTATATGAATTATATTTTATTAGAATTCATTCATAATATAAAATAATATCAAACATTTTGAACTTAAACTTTTCATTTTTTAAGATAATTGCAATAATTGTTCTTATTTATTTTTAATTAGAATTTTATATATTTTGATTTTGAAATTATGTTTATTATATATGTAAAAATATAAACAAAAAAATCAAGTTTAAATAAAACAAAAAAATCTTTAAGCAAGAAATAATAACATAATCAAACTTCATAGAGAAGTAGAAATAAGATTAAATAGGGAATCTATAGATCCTCATAATTATTGGATTATTGTAGCAAAAGGAATGGAAAGACCTTTTACTTGAAAATTTTTGGATGCAATTTTATTATTAATGCAAACACAATAAATAATGAGTTTAATAATTTTTTGATTTCATAAATGATAAATATAAAAGTGATACTAACTATCAAGCGTTACATCATTTTTCTAACATTATAAAAATAGTGTAGAAATTATTGAGACATAATAAATATATGCAATATAATAAAGAAGCATTAAACTCTTTAATGTATGAACTATGAATTTTATATTGAATAATTTTCTTAAGACTGAACAACACCAACATTTTAAAGATATTCAATCTATTTGTAGGCTTTGAGATTTTATCAACCAAAAAATTATGCAAATCTAAATTAATCAAAAAAAATGATTATTGAGGATATGATGACTATATAAATATTCAAATCTTATCGGTTTAATGTCTTTTGTTTATTCTAATAATATTGCTCTATATAATATTTGATTAAGCTCTTTTGATCTACTAATGTCCTTTCTTCTAGTTAATCAGCATCTCTAAATCTTTTTACTACTCTTAAAGGTTATAGGAGATAATCGGAAGATATTCAATAAATAAAGGGTCCTATAATGAAACTTTAATAAGAGAAGAAACATTCTTTAATATTGAAACAATCAAATTCCAAATCTTAAGAAAATTCTGTTCTTCATCCTCCAATCTTTCTAATGCAGGTTTGAGTACCTAACTTAAATCTTTAAGTTTTTTGCAATATTATTCTACAATAATTGGTGCAGTTTCTAATTCTCCTATTAAATCAACATTTTAATTGAATTGATGAGCCACTAAAATTAGAGGATGATCACAACTTAAGAGTTCACAAGTAGAAGCAGTTGGAGAAATCTTAAATTTTTCAGTGGAACAACTTGTACCCATTCAAAATTTTATATTTTATATTCTTAATCTAATATAAGGGAACTAAATGAAAAATTTTTCAGATAAGAATTTAGAAATTTGTATACATTCCTAAAAAGTTCTTTTTCTTTTTATTCTTAGATTTAACATAAAATATATTATTTTTAACAACATGTACATACTTTAAATTTTAGTTAGAAAATAAAATTTAATATAAAACGATAAAATTGCATACACATTAATAATTTATTTAGATTTCTCTTTTAGTATTTTTAAATAAGCAAAACAAATATCTATATATTATAAGGAAAACTAAATTTATTGAACTTATTAAAAATATTTGATAATATTTTATTAAAATATTGTCAATGAATTAACCTAGAAGCTAAAGTATGAGAGTTGATATATCAAATGGATAATCATAATTAAATAAAGAAATAGTTACTAAATTAAAATCTTTAAACCCATCTTCATTTGTTACTTATGAAGTCTTAGATCTATTTTTTACACAATTATAGTCAATTTTAAAAGAAATATAAATCAAATAGGAAGATCAAGAAAGAATTTTTATTTATTTCAAAAAAATTAATGAATTTGAAAATAAGCTTGTCGCTTTAGAGTAATTAGTTAATAGAATAGCTTAAGTGGTAATACCTCTTCAAGAAGAATTAATTGAAAAAGTTTCAAAAGGTTAAACATAACAATAAACAATAGAAAAATATTTTTAAACTTTTCCATAATAATTAGATCTTATATTAAATGATAGATTTAGCTTTCTTGAAAATTAAAGCAATCATTATTCAAAATAATTTAAAAATATAGAAGAAGATATAAATGAAGTTTAAAATCATGTATTTGATCCTTTATTTTTAGATAAAAAAACAAGATAATGATATTTTAATCCTTTTAAAATCTTATAAGGAATTATTATCAATTGATCCTCAATACAAATAACTAAAATAATAATTAAATATAATTAGTGAAGGTCTAAATGATATAAAATAGCACATTTTTTTGTGAAAATAAATTTAAATCTATTATTTTCAATTCGTCTACAAAGCATTAAAAATGTAGATAAAAAATATTCAGATTTCTTGTTATTTCTTTATCGATAATCTTTTTTAATTTATAACTTGTATTCTAAAAATTTGCTTCTTTATATAAGATGAATATTATAGAAAATACTTTTTTTTAAAATATCAATTATAATTTTATCTATTTGTTTTATAAATTAAAAGAAATTTATGCAAACTTGATCTTTGATTTATATCAAAATTAATTTTACAATTTTAGAGATATCTTATAAATAAAGTAAATTGAAAATATATAAAGAAATCAATGATTTTATTAATAGATTAGCATCTATGATTGGGATATTCCAAAACCGAGAGTGATTGAAATTATTAGGTATTTAATGGATTATAAATAAAATTAAGTAAAAATTATGGGATAATTCATTTTAGAAAGAATAAAGAAAATTTAATATGTAAATATTTTATGTTTCAATCCAAAATTCCTCTCTTAATACATAATATAAGTAGAATTTACTCATTATACTATCCTTAAAGGAAATATATATTTAAGATTTTAATAAAAGCAATTATAGATAATTAAAATTAAAGAAATAATAAAATAAGTAAATAAATTTAACATTTATTCTTATACGTTATGACCTATATGTTTTTTTAAATGTTTTAAATGTTAGTGAATAACAAAAACAAGTAATAATATAATTATTTGTTTAATAATTAATATATATATATTATTATTCTTTATCAATTTAAAATGCAACTCTCATAAGTTGGAATCATGTATTTAATATTTATGTAGGCATCCTATATATATATTATTAAATTTTTACTTCTCCTCCTGTTTATTCAAATAATTCCAATGTTTCTTAAATCAAATCACCAATATTAACTCTTTTTCTTTAATTATACTCTATAAAATCACCTAAATTAGAATTTTTATTTTTATATAAATTCATGATAGGCAATAATTATCTATAGTATGGTACTATAAAATTGATTTAATAAATTACCTAATGCTTCTCCAACCATTTCTCCACTTAAAACTAATTTTTGAAGAACTTTCAATTAAACTTCTATTATGCTTGGATCTCTAGTATTTAAATTTGCTATTTTTATTATTGTCAATAATACTTTTTATTGGAATAATCAATTAAGGAATAACTGGTAATATTTTATTACCTCCACTCTCAAGTAATCCATATGTTCCTAATATAGCTAAGAATCTATAAGGATCCATTTTTTCCTTATTTTAAAATTATCATATACTCTTAATCCATCAAAAAATATTGGTAAATAATGATGATAATCTAATTATTCTGGAGATATTTTCCATATAATTCTATTTACACTACCTTAATGATCAACCTAAATATATATCTATATCCAAAACTTTTATAGGTAAATCTCCTCGATCATAATATCTCCTAAAATCTGAAACTGATATTGTTCTTTAATCATATGCTCCTGCTTTTGGTGGTGCAGGTCTATATTCTTCTTTCTTCTATAATTATGAACTTGTTCTTCCTCCTGTTCCTTAATGAGTCCCTTAATATTTATCTAATAAATCTCAAACAACTCTTTTACTTGTTATTAAGGCATTTTAAGAAGTTTCATGAACAGGTTCAATTACTTTTTATTAATTTGCCTTTTCTTTTGGCAAATATTCTTTTGGAAAATCTCCAAATGGTGAATGAGGATTCTTTGGAGCATATGGGGTTTTCCATGCTTTATAATTCTTTACATAATTCAATAACTCTCTTACTTAGTTTTCTTATTTTTTCAATATGTTCTTTAGATGATCTTCTACTATCTGTTATGAAGCCAAATTCTCTTTTTTTCCTACTGCTTATCCTTAAATTTTTGGAAGCATTTAATTATTTAATTTTATTTATACAATAATTCCAACTATATTCCCTTATCAAATGATAAGAAATTTAGACTTCTTTTATCTAAATAAATATGTACTTTTTCAATACAAAAATAAAGAAATTGTTTATTATAAATCTTTAAATTTCATATTATAAATTTAAAGTAATAAATATATTTTATCAACCTATTTTTTTAGGTTTTTTTAATGTTTAATTGATGATGTTTTATTTAATGCATATTTATTCACATTTATTCTAATAATTTACAAGCCAAAGATTAAATTTATTTACTTCCACTTTAACTCAAAAGTTCAATATAATAACCAATTTTAGATTCTTTAATTGAATTCATTTCATCTTTTTGGCTTATTAAAGCTATAGCTATATTTCTAATTATATAATTTTACTTAGCATTAAATATTTTAAACTTTACCAACATTAACATTCATAGCAAAATTACAATTTTGTTTCAATTAATTAAAGATATTTCAAATTAGGCAATTTTTATGTTAATATATAAAGACATTCAAGAAAAATAGAAAGTATTTAAGACTATTCTAATTAATATAATTATAAATTACATTCTTTTTCGATTAATTCAATTAAATTTTATTCATATATTGCAATATTTGCTTAGTCTAAATGCTAAAAAATATTCCTAAAGGTATTGGCAGTGTGCATTCTTATCTTTTCAATATCTCCAGATCTATTATTCTATTTATTAAAAGAAGTAATTAGATTTTCGAAAATTTATTTGTTTTATTTTACTATATATTGAATCGAAAATTCATTATTTTAAGTTTAAATTGAGATTATATAAGCAGTAATTTTTTAAAATATTGCTAGCTAACAATCAGAAAAATTTATAAATAAAATAACTTTCCAAGCATGCTTAAATTCGTAAATATTTGCTTATTATTATAATTTATCTGTATAATATTTTAATACAATTAGTAATTTTGAAATTAAATTTATTTTTATTTCGTGCTTTTCTAAATTTTCAGAATCATTTAATAACTCATCGATAGAAAAATAATTGATCTTTAAAAGTATTTTACATAATTTATTAATATTTAACATAATTAAATGCAAATCTTTATATTGTTTGTTAAAATTTTAATCAACAAAGACTGATAGAAATCCTAAAAGACTTATTATACATTTTTCGCTTTATTAGATTTCAATAGTCTCAAGCATCCATTTAATAATAATCAAAAAATTATTTTATAGTAAGTGATTTAAACAAGCACTTGATTTTCTAGCTATATTTTCAAGTATCAAGAATAGTAAATCAATAAAATCTAATGAATATTCTTAGCAATTGTAAAGTAGTCCATTTAGTTAGGTTAATAATAATGATTATTAGAGAAAATTTTCAAATTCTTCTATAGTACTTGAAAATGTCAGACCATAAATTATCAATAAAATAGTTTCTAAAATATCTGAAGTGTATTAAGGAGAATCTTCAATAAGTTTAAAAATAAAGTTGAACTCATTTAAGGAAATAGATATAGTTTTTTCAACTAAAATTTTTGTTTATAGTTATTTAAGGAGAGTGAGTAATTCTGATTAATTTTAAGAAGATAAAGTTAGTTGAATTTAAGCAATGATTTAAGAGAGTGATTAAGTCAATGAAGATTATTCAACTATCATAAGTCGTCTATTTTTGAAAATAGCTTCTATTTCTTGTTTTCTTATAGAAACTCGAAATTCTTCTCTTTTCTAAGTTAAAATTGATTAAAATTACATAATAATTATGTTCAAAGTTAAGATTCTCCAAATATTTGATTCTTTTGTACTTAATACTATTGGTCCATACTATAGAAGATTAGGGAAAAGCTTATTATCTTAGGGGAATGATATATTGGGAAGTGAGGCAAGTGATGATCGTTTAGTTTAATGTTTAAGATAAGTGGAAGTGAAAGGAAATAGTCCATAAATAGGAGATGCATTATTTACAGCTCCAAATTCAGTATTGATTGGAAATGTTATATTAAAATAAAAGTAAGACTTAAAAGTTGATTTGATAGTTCATCAATATGGTATGGAGCAACATTAAGAGCAGATAATAATTCAATAACAGTGGGGAAGAATTCTTTAATTTAGGATAATGTATACATAAAAGCAACTAAACAAATATAAGTTGGTAATAATGTGTTAGTTGGTCCAAATTCTAATTTATAAGGATGTACAATTGGAGATGATGCCTTTATTGGAATGGGTTCAATAGTAAAATAAGGAGCGAATGTTTAAGGTGTAGTTGCAGCAGGTTCTCTTGTTTAAGAAGGAACAGAAATTAAATAAGGTGAAGTATGGGCAGGATCTCCAGCTAAATATTTAAGAGACATTACTCCTTAAGAATTATAAATCTTGAAAGAATATAAATAAGAGTTATTAGAATTAGCATAAGTACATAATGAAGAGACATCAAAGAGTTTCAGATAAGTATGATGAACAATCCTATCGAATTAGATTGTTTTAGATACTGACGAAAGACTATAAAAATAATAAATGGGTAGTGAGGAAGAAGCTTTGTAAAAAATTGCTGAATTAAATTTCCCATTAGAATATGAAGATGAAGAATTTATAGAATAAAGAGTATTTATGAAATAACAACCACCAATGTTTATGGACTCAGAAAATTTGTAGAGTCAATAAGATTAATACGAATAGGATTTGAATCAATTTTCAGAAAGTAATTACTTTTTTTATTATTAATAGACATGTAAAAATATTCAGAAGATTATTAAATATATGAAGAAGCCAAGAAATACTTTGAATAGAATCCATAAGCAAAAGCAAATTAATTTGCACCAAAATCAGAAATTCTTGATAATAATCCTTGGAGTAGAAAGTATTGATTTCATCATAATATATAATGCCACATAAAATTATCATATAATAAAATCTATATCTTTTTGAACAGGTTTCTAAATTAATGTAATAACCTTTTCTAAATTTACATTTCTTTTTATTAAATATTCTTAAAATTATTCAAAACACAGATTCAAATTGTGATTTTTAAAGAATGGATGCTATAATACTTATTCAACTGTTAGACGAACATTAGGATTCAATACAAAAATCTTATCTAACAAATCTAATAATTCATCATCAAAATCTTTTTTCATATTTCTTATTGATGATATAAACTTTCTATCATATCTTTAAGGATTAAGTTTAATAAAGTAATCAGATTTCATTATTTCTGGCCAAGTTTCTGCTGTAGGTGTTCCACATTTTTCAAAAATTTGTTATATTTGTTAAGCTTCATCTTTAGCTTTAAATAATGGTCTATTAAAATTTAATTCTACTGCAAAACAACCCATACTCCAAACATCTATTTAAAAGTTATATTATCCTCTTGTTAATAATACTTCTGGTGCTCTATAACCTAATGTAACAACTGTTGGAGTTTTCTTTACTCCCTCTTTTTTTGGACAAAACTTTGCTAAACCAAAATCAGCTATTTTCACTACTCCTATTTCATTCACTAAAATATTTGCACTCTTTATATCTCTATGAATTATATTTTATGAATGTATATATTAAAGTCCTTTAAAACATTAGTAAAGAATGCTACGAATTTAATTTGTAGTAAAATAAAACTTTTATTCTTCATTTTTCGCTAATAATTTCCAAAAATCATTTGCCATTAAATCCATTGCACAATAAGTTTTTATTGTTTTTATTTTATTTTTGTTTTTTTTTACTCTAGTATAAATCTACTTTATTTTTATTACATTCTCTTAATCTAATGTTGTTAAGAATTTTATTTCTCTTAATGAAGTTATTGGAAACTAATTATCATTATTTAATTATATACCCCTTCCTTTTCATTTTATTTTTTGATACATTTTACAGCATAATATTGATTATCAAATTTACTCTTCATTTTGTATACTTTACTATTAATTCAACCTAAATCATTACCCATATGTTCCACTTCCCAAAATAGCTTTTTATTCAAATATAAACTCTGTGCAAATATCTCCACTTTTCAAGTCATCCACTCTTTCTAGCTATTAATTTAGTTAATTGATCATTATTTTATTAAATGAATTAATAATAAATTATCATACAAAGTTTAAAACAAATCAGAAGAAATTATAAAATAGATTTGCTATTCAAATATCTTGAAGTCATTATTTATTCTATTTCCATATGCTTTATTCAGAAAGATATTAAGTTATACAAATTTTATTAGAGTTCATTATTTGTTTTCATCTAAGTAATTTATTTTTCCTTTATAACTCAGGGAATAGCCTTAAATCATTATTACTTATACATTGTTTATAAACACTAAAAAAAAGTCGAATACTTTGGATATAATTGGCATGAACCATTTAGTCGTCTATAATCCTTTCATCCAAATCAATTAAGAAATAGTATACTATTTTATCATACTAATTTCTTGATTTTGAAAAGTGCCAATTTAGTGTATTTACAATAAAATTATATTTAGTTTTGAAATTTTTCTTTTTCTCTCAACTCCATATGAACTTTATCAATATTTATAATTACACCCTAAATCTTATTCAAAAATCATTGTTTTAGAAGTCCTCTTATACTTTATTAGAAGATTTTATGCTTATGTATTTCCCTTTTTTGGTTTTTGTAAATGTTGTTGTTTATGTTTCAGATTTAGAAGATATGATTAAATTACATTGTAGAATTAAATTTCAATAATAAAAAATAAATCTATTTAGTTGGAAGAGAAAACTTGTCCAAAATCTGATTTAGAGTGTATTATTTGTTAGGAGAAAATAATTGATAAATATATATTACTTCCTTGTGATCACTATTACCATAAAGAATGTATTGATAACTGGTTTATACAAAAGCAAACTTGCCCTATATGTAGAACCTCTATTAATTGAACTTTAATTTTAAACACACATATATTACATATCGATCTTTTAAAAATATAATTTTAAAGAATGAAATTATTTACATAAAATTAATTAGAAATGGGATGAAGAAAAACTTTTGTTTTGCATATATCTAAAAATGACAGTTTATTCTTTATATAAATTTACTAAAAGGTTTTCTCTTAATTTTACTATAAAAATTAATTTATTACTATATATCAATAATAAATTTTATAATTTTTTTATTGGAAATTATGTCAAAGTCAAAATTTGATGTTAATGAATAAATTCAAATTCCGAATGGAGATGCAAAAAAAGGAAAACAAATGTTTGAATTTAAATGTAGCGCTTGCCATAATTTTGAAGATGACAAAGAAGGATTAGCTGCACCAACATTGAAGTATCAATTTATATAATCAATTAAGAAAGATTATGGGAAAAAGAATTGGATCAACTTTGTTTCATTATTCTAAATCGATGAAGAATTGTAACGAGATTTGGACTGAAAAAAACATGTTTCTATTCCTCAAAGATCCTAAAACTATTTTTAGGGATACAAAAATGGCCTAAACAAAAATTGCAAATCCTTAAGAAAGAGCAGATATTATAGAATTCTTAAAGAGTTTGTGAATATTTCAATCAACTTATTGATAAAAACCTATTCTGCTTAAACTTTTCATCTAAAGATGTTGGCATTAATCGAGAAATTCTTCTATTGAATGAGCCTGCTCGGGTTTTTAAAAATTATATTTGAGCTTATCCTCGTTGCTTATCCAAATCGGTAAAAAGTCTAAATTAAATAAGTATATACTAATTAGCTTATTAATTGACTAAATTTTAATCAACAGATCTACTAGGTTTCTTTAGAATGTTTAATTTATTCTATTTAAAAGTATTCATAAATTTTAATGATCTTTATGTTAAAGCAAATTAAGGAGGTTTCTGTTAAGGTAATTCTATAATTTAATTATTGGGAGAAGATATATCTAATTAAAATTTCTCATTTGAATATTCATATTATAATGATTTAAATATCTGTATGATATCTGAAAATTCTTTTTCATTCATTCTCTCTATAAAGGGTCTTAATTATTACATTTTTTGATTTATTTTTTAAGAATTTTCAAATAATCTATCATAAACATCCGTCCCAAATTTTTATTTCAATTTCGTTTAATCCATCTAAGTTTGATTAGAATCGAAAAGAGAATCAGTTTAATTTATTTTTTTAGCATAAAATGAATTAGTTTAAGTAAATTTATCATTTTTTATGATTGTTTTATCTTATGATTAGCTTTAATAAACAATATTTTCAGGTATTATATCTTTTTGTTCTGTTTGAGTATATTAACACATAGGAGTAATTTCAACATTAGATGCTATTTTTTTGGCTTAGTATTAAAACAGTAAAAGTTATTACTAAACCTAAAATAAAGCACATAAAAATGGATCTAATTTTGTAATTTATTTTTAAATTTCTGAACCGATTTTAGATTAATCTTTTGACCAATCAAATTTATCTAATTAAGAATAAATCTATGCTTTAGAGTCAATAGTTTAATATAACAATTTAGTATTGTTATAGATCAATTATATTTATTGTGACTGCTATTTAGTTAAATTTTATAATTTATCTATTTCAAATCTCAAGTTTATGTTTTCATTAAATAACTAAACAATTTTTTTGCTTAAAGACTCTATTTGAGAGTGAAGTTATAATATATTCTCATTTGAGATTATTTCAGCTTGAACTTTTAGTTATTAGGAATAATAGAAAGATAGTTCTTAGACTTATGAATTAAGGTTTGCAACTTATTATTTATATTATTATATTTGAATAGCAAATTGTGCACATAATTAAGTTTATGATTCCTACATTTAATTTTTGATTTCATTTAATTTATTTAGATCTTATTTATTACATCTTAATATTTCATTTATTTCCTTATAAGAAATACCGTATTATTTATCTTAATTTGTTAAAACACAAAGAAGAAATCTACTTGATCTTTACTCTTCAATTAGCTTCCAAATCATATAAGGATTTGATTATTTATCCAAAAGTATCTTAATGAGTTCTTTTTCACTTAGGTTTTCAAGAGATTTATTATGTTCATCCTTTTACTTTAATTAAATAGGCTATTCAATTTATTAAGATTTTCTTCTAGACATAAATTATTAGACATATTTTTCATATTGTTATTTAATATTTCTAATTTTTTCATTCATCATTTCATAAATTTCTGGTTCTAAAGTAGAAGTTCTATCAAAATAAACTACTTCTATATATTCGTTGGGTTCTTCATCTTAAGTTTAGATTCTTATCTATTGTTTCAATACTTGAACTTCTTTAAAATGTGCTGTGGTTAATTGATCAATAGATTTTCTTCTTCTAGTTTCCTTTGCTTCATAAGATGATAATTAAGATTTAAGATCATTAATAATGGCATTTAATTTTTGAATTTCAGGGCTAAATTCTTTAAGATGGCCTGTCTTATTAATATAAGTTATACCAATTTAATTTAAAAGCTTTCTTATTCATTATCACTTGAACTCTCACTAAATCCTTCTGGATTTTATATTTCATCTTTAATTTATCTTCTGAGTTTTGTAAATTCTCTTCCTTTAAGAAATTCATGCAAACGAGACAATTTACAAGTAAGTTCTTATTTAATGTTATTTCTTTCATATTAATACTGTATTTAAACTTTATCTGGACCATCTAAAACATAATCCAAAGTAAATTTCATTAAACATAAAACTAAACATTCTACTCTATTTTAGCATTCCTATTTTAATTTATTAATTATTTACAATTATCGACTAAATCATTTAATCTTATTATCTAATTTCTCTCAATGTTCTTATTTACATCATGATTGGATAAACTAATTGATCGAAATTCAATAACTGCATTTAAATTAATTAATATTATTAGATATTAATAATTACTGATCAAAGGTATTCTTGTATTTGATATTGGTAATAATTACTATAAAAATTATTTTAATGTTAAAATTGAAAATCATTAGATTTCTTTTCAACATAAACATTTTTAATAAATAAATAAAATGGGTAACTACTTTAATCAGCCAGCTAATCCTAATTAAGGATTATTACAATATTTAAGATAACTTAATCTACCTGAAATATAAAAAGTAGCTAAATATGTACAACTAAACTATCCTGCAACTAATGTTTTCTCTTTAGGCGAATTTTTTGATGTTTATCATGACATTCTAAAATAACATTGCGGTGAAATGTTTGAGATTATTGAAAATAATCATAGCACAGATGGTTTAACTGATATTTATGAGAGTCAAGCAGTTTTAGTATGAATTTACAATTAGAATTAGATAATTTTTTCTGATTCCGATTTTGCTACTAAAGTTAAATACATAAGTTAAGTATTTGATTTGGATAAGTCTTAAAAACTTGAAAAGATTGAACTAATCATGATATTTTAAACAGCAATAAGAGCACTGTGTAAAATTGTAAATATGAAACCACCTGGATTTACTGATATAGAATACTATGTTGAAGCTATTTTTACAGAAATGGATAAAAATCTAGATAGAACTATTTCTTATGAAGAATTATATTCATGGTTGGATAACAATTATCAACTTTAAGATTTTTTATTGAAATATGCTTAAACACAGACTTTTTAGAATGCCAAAAGAAGAACTCAAGACATTTTCAATTCCAAAAACTTATTCAAGCATAATTAAGATGAATGGATTTAAGAGTATATTCAAAATGCTGAAGAAAGTTACAGTTAACTTATTCAAAGAAAAAAATTGGTTTCTGATAGGGTCAAAGATGAAATTAATTATGCTTGGTCAGCTTTCAAGGCTACTGATATCAATAATGATGGAACAATATCTGTAAGAGAATTACCCTATTTGATTTATGGATTTGAAGGAATCATTATTAAAGATGTCAAAAAAAGATTTGGATAACTAGATAAAGATAAAAGCGGAAGCATTTCATTAAAAGTAATTTAACAAACAATCAATTTAGGAATGGTTTAATTTCTTATAATTAGACTAAGGAGTAGAAATTTGTAAATCTATTGTTAAGAGATATTTTCTTAAAAAAGATACTAATAATGTAGGCAGTCTTAATAATCAATAATCCTGTCAAGTATTAAGAGATACACTTTCAAATGATGGATTTGAATTATATTTTAAGGGTTTTGAAAGTTATATAAATGAACATTCAACATTAGATAAAGTAATCATTATAAATAATCTAAGATGTCAATACAATAATTATAAGATTTTGTAGAAGGTCCAATGAAGAGAATTATTTAAGATAAATAAGAACTTATGGAAAAAGAAAAGGAAAGAAAATAAGCATAAAATGAAAAAATTATATGAGCTAATATTATTACATTCTATCATTATATTTAATATTATTATTAAAATGTTTAATTTTATTTCAGATCAATATTATTTTACATAATAAAATTTTAAATAAGATTATTGTTCCTATTTGCTAAGATGATTTATTCAAAATATTTTTGATTAATTTAGGTCTTAAAAAGAAAAACAATTTTAAGAATTTAATATATTAAAATTTTACTATTAAATTTTAATAGCGGAAGAAAAGCAGTCTTTTTCAGGGTGTCTAAATTCAGAGAATATCATATAAATAACATAATATTAATCTCAAATTCAAACAATTGACTTATTGTTTGTCGATATAGTAATAGAAGTATTAAAATTGAATGAATATCTCAACAATTTTTTAAATTGATTGTACTAAATAAATTTAACAATTATATTTCACATTACAGGTTCTTCTTTAAGAACAGTCTATTATTGAGTTTCTTATTTAATTTCTGGTTATTCTAAACCTAATACAAGATTTCTTAATTCTTCTTCTTTTTATTTTATTCTATTTTTCTCATTCATAATGCAAGTTGTCATTGTTTTGTATTAATCTCGACATCCCTATAAACTATTTAAATGTATTTTACTGTTACTCTATCTTAGATCTACTATTTTCCACTGCCAATTTTTGTAAACTCATACAATATTATAATTCACATGCTGATTATCTGCAAATTAACTCTGCCACAGTATCCATTGTAATATTTGGAGAGCTTTTAATTTATTTTATGTAAGGATTCTCAGTTCTACAATAGGAGTATAATTCAAGATGATGTTTAGGCTTTTCTCTTCTTTTTAGATCTTATTTAACTCTAACCCATAATTCATTTGTATTTAGAGGATCTTTATCATGAGTTTCTTTATATCTTTACCAATATTTTTCAGTCATTTTAAATTAAATTTAATAATGTTCTATAATTCATTAATAAATAATCATCTTCTCTATTTTTCTAGATTTTTATTTTCAGCTTAGATGTCGGTTAAATCTTATCTTAATTTTTCAACATTCTTTTTGTATCCCTTAAGTAAAATGTCTTCCATTTTTAACTCTGTATCATATATTTGAATTCTCTTTTCTCCAATATTACGCATAGCCTCAGCACATTATTTATAAATAATTTTATAATCTTAATATTGCTTTTAGATTTATTTAACAACTGTTTCTGATTTCTTCGGATCTTAATTAATAAGATTCTCTATTTCAATACAATATCTATTTATCATATTGTCTTAAAATTAAAGAGAATCTTCTAATTAAGATAATTCTTTGGCTTATTTTAGATATTCAGCTTTTTATTTTTCTAATTGATTTTTTAGATCAACAATTTTTTTAATATATTGATTTCTTGCAATTTCTTTTGGTTAATTTTGTAGGTCAACTAATAATTTTTCCTTATATTCTAAATTCACTCTCCCTTGGTTTCTAATCATTTAGTTTTCTTCTTATAATCTCCTCATTTTATCTTAGATCTACTCAAGTTTCAATTTTCGATCTTAAACTTGTTGAGCCAATTCATCTGCTTCATTTTATTATATTAATTTTTCTTTTTCCCACTCAACTCTTATATTTTCGATTTCTTATTCAAGTTATTAAATTTCTGGATCATTTCCTTTTTTCTATTCAATTTATTAGAGAATAGAATGAGCACTTTCTAATTCTAATTACTTTTCCTTATTATCAGATTAAATTTATGAATATGTATCTTACTATTTCTAACTGAGATCTTCTAATTTTTATTTCTTTTTCTACAATTTATCATAAATTTTTTGTTATTCAATCAATTTATTCTAAATATCCTCAAGCAATGAAGTTATCTCTGATTTAGCTTCTTAAGTATCTTATATTTCTTATTGAATTTCTTTTACTTCTTCTTAGAATTATATTTCTAGATTAAATAAACCTTAATTTTCTTCTTCTTTTTATTTTCGTGCTTGTTCTTCTTCTTTATCTTCTTCTTTTAATAACTTAATTGCTCTCTTTAATTGTCTATTTCCTTTTTAAATATCTTCCCAATCATTCTTTTCAGCTTCAGCTTAAAATTAGCCTTTAAATTATCCTAAGACAGCTTCAGGATCATCAGATCTTCTCATTTTCTTAATCAATTATAATCTTTCTTAGAGTGGTTAATCTACTTCCTTTTTTTATAAATGATGATCCATGACTTTAACAATTGAGTGATACAAATATTTTCTTACTCCTTTATTAGCTACTTACTTAATTAATGGTTCTTTATTAATAATATTGAGCACATGCAATCTTAAAAATCTTTGTTGAATATCTGGGAAAGCGCATAATGATGGATTTACCCATTCTTAAAAGAAATTCTATATTTAATTTGTCCTATAATTAATTTTTTCTTCTTATAATCTTTCTTCAAATGTTAAATTTTTGGATCCAGTTTCTTTTTTATTTGATTAACTCAATTTAGAAAGAACACTTACAATAATCTTTCTTGATTCCTATGGATTAGGATTGACAATTGATTGAATGTCTATTCTTATACCAATTGGATAAAGCATTTCTTGAATTTTACCTGCTTTTCTAAATGCACTTTTAATTGATTTAATAGAGCTGATTTGAATAGCTTAAGTTCCAGTTAATTGAAAAAATTATAATAAAATAGATATCAAGTCATCACATGTAAACTATAATTAAGAATGATTCTTACTTAAGGGAGGGATGATGCTGATATTTACACTCCTTAAAGTTGTAAGCTCTTCAATAACATTTAATCTTAATCCTCCATTTTATTATTCTTTTAAGAAGAAATAAATAAATAATCTTTTTGAAAATATTGTAATTTATTTCATTTATAATGACGAGGTGTGATCATAAAGTTAACTAATCCTGACTCTTAGTTTTTCTTATACTTTCTAAATGCACTTGGACTTTATCCACCAATTCCAAATTTACTTGATGGTGATTTATAGTCTTTGGGAATTTCATAAGCATCACCAATATTAATCTCTAAATCAGAATCCCCCTGATTATTTTAATGATTATAAATATACTTTTCAGCATTTGCATCTAAAAAAATTAATATATTTAGAATTACTTATTTTTTATTACAATTACTAAGCTAAGTTATCAAGGGTTCTATCCTTACATTAAGAATATTGCTTAGTAATCAAGATTGGAACAAAATTAGATTTACTTAATAAAGCATCATCATTATTTTGTATTCCTTCTTCTAAATATTGATTTGTATGTTTTTAAAAAAATATTTATCTAGGAGTTAAAACATGAAAAGCTGGAGCGAATTAATGATTGTTTGGGCTGTTGGTTCCTTAAAATTCATAAGCAAATTGCTACTAATAATTTGAAGATTATTCCTAATTTATTAAATATAATTAAACTACTTCTTATTCATCTTGTTATTCTACCAATTCATCTCTTAATATTGTATATAATGGTCCCTTTTTGGTCCTTATACAAATATCAATATAATCCTCTTTGTCTATATGCTTTCAAATAAGATATTATTGATACCACTTTCTTTTTAGCATTCAATCTTGAAGATCTCTTTAAAGGAAACTTGTGACTTATAACTTCATATTTATAATCACTTGTATAGTCATCATCATCATCATCATCTTCTATTCTACTCTTTCTCTTTTTATGATTCTTCTTTTTTAATTTCAATCTACTTTCTCTTTATTTAGTATATAAAGCACTATAATCTAAATAATAATATGTACTTGAAGTCCATAATCTTATCAATCAATTATTTAAACTTATCTTCATTAAATTAGTTAATTTAAGATTTTTGCTTAGATTAAGCAAATTCTAAAATAGAATCTTGAAGTCCTTTACAAGCTTAACAAAGCTTTTTCATATGGTCATCTTTTAATTCTGATGGACTCTTCTCTGCCAAAATAAATATTTTGGATAGTACTCCAGGTTTAATATCCTTGATCTGTTAAGTACCCTTTTCTTTACTGTATATAGATTTATATGATTTACTGTTCTTATCTCCTATTAGTTTGTTAATTCTTCTTAAACTCCTTCTTAAGGTTGAATAAAAATGATTTTTAATTGCATTATCAGTTCTTCCTGGTAACAGTTTCGCAATTTCAGCCTAAAAATTATTTTAAGTTTCTTACCCATTTATTTCCATGTTCTTTATGTGCTATGAATATAACTCTTTCTTCATTTTCACTCCATGGCTCTTTGTTTATAGTAGGATCAAGATGATTATGGTAGCGTTCTCTACATTATTTTCCTGATCGACCAAATAAACCATAGAGTTCTTTCATTTTCTCAGCCACTATGGTCCACTTCTTAATTCCATACTACTTTACTAATTATAGGATAGCAGTATCTTCCTAATTATTTATTTTGTTAGCTGTTACTTTTTAATTCCAAGCTTTTCTATCTGTCATTTATTAATTATTAATTAATACAAAATATCACTTCAATCATTATAATTATATTGATAATTCAGAAGAAACGGAATATGTTTGTTTTATTAAAAAGAAAATATAAAATTTCAACCTAATTTGTAATCGATAATAAATATATTTAATCAATGCTTTTTAACATCAACAACAATAACAACTATTAAAATATTTATTTGTAGATTTTTTATGTGTCTAAGTACTTGGTTCACCAGGTGGAACTAACAAAGTTGATTTATTCATTTTTAAAGCTTTTATTTTTATATTTGCTCCTAATTCATAAGCATATTAGAAAGTATCTTAAACTCCTTCCTTTGTCTTGGCAGATGTAAGAAATAATTTTAATTACTATTATGTATTTAATGTCTAAAGAAATTTTTATAGATCTTCCTTATTATAAAAAGTTGGTAGATCCATTTTAGTTCCTACAATAATAATTCCCATATCAGGCTAACAATTAACCTAAAGAAAATCTAACCAACCTTAAATATGTCTAAATGAATCAGGATCACTCAAATCAAAACAAAGAATTGAAACATTAGCATTCTAATTATATTTATTCATTTTTTTATACTTATAAAGACATCCTTGTAATTGATCTAAACTTTTCTTAACCAGCTGTATCCCAAATCGAAATATCAAAAAGTTTCCCATTAATCAATACATTTTTAAAACCTTAAAAGTCAACTGCAATAGTTGATACATTATGACTTATGAACTCTTGTTGTCTATGAGATTACAAGAGACTTGTTTTTCCTGCTCCTATTTAACCTACTAGAACTAGTTTCAATGTTTCATTCATTATTAATTATAATATAAATTAAAACAACAGCAACTTGTGTGATTGTTATTATAACGAATTTAAATTTCTCTTAGAATAGTTGTATTTTGATATAATGGATTCTACTTTTTTATTTTTAGTTATTATCTGTTTAAAAAATTCGGAATTACTTCTTTTAAAACTCTCATTGTTATATCATAATTATTATTAGATAATAAAGCCATATTTTGCTCTGGCTTTTGATTCATAAAGCTATATAAAATGCATCTTAAATTAATTCTTCAATTTTTGAAGATGTTAAATGAATTTTAAATTCATCTAAAAAATTGGCCTTCCGAACAAGAGATATTTAATGAACATGAGATCTTTTTTTATGCCTACAACAAAAATTTATAGATTTAAGGTACCTCAGATTTTAAGAATTAAATCCAAGATGCAACACTATTTAAATACAAACAATCACTTCAATTAAAAAAAAATATTAAAGAAGCATTAGCATTCTATTGATTAAAAAGCATACAAATACTTAAGAAGAAATTTTGAAAATTGATTAAAATCTTTTCTGAATACCAGTATCTCAAATAGCAACATCATACACATTATTATTAATTTTCATATTCTTAACAATTGATATATCTAGTTCTTATAGTAATATCAGTTTATGTAGAGAATTGATTAGTTTTTTTTATTTCAATCAAACTAGTTTTACCAATACTAGAACTTTCACAACTATAATTTTGAGAGTTCCTATTATCTTCCATTTGAATACAAATTTATTTAAATTTTTATTAGAACAAGATTGTGATATTAATTTTTAGTATAACTTAATCTATTAACTCAAAATAATACACACGATGATTACAAATATAATTTAGAAATTGTTATTAGGAATGAATAAGGGTGGTCTCTGGCCTGAAAATGGTGAAAATGTAAATTAAAATTTTAAGCTCAGCAATACATGAAGGAAAAGAGGCAAAAGAATAAATGAATTAAAAGATGCTTAGAATAATTTATTTATAATAAAAATATAAGATTTAATAGGATACTAATCTTGAATTTGAATTATTTAAGTAATTAAGAACTAATGTATAGATGATTATTTTAATTATAATTTTTGAAAAATGGATATAGATCGACATATAGCAACACTTTTGGGAGGTGGATGTTTACCAGAGAGAGATTTGAAATTGATTTGTGATAGAGCAAAGGAAATATTTCTTGAAGAATCAAATGTATAGCCAGTTAGAGCTCCTGTAAATGTATGTGGTGATATTCATGGTATGAATTGAATATGAATTATAGGTCAATTCTATGACTTGTAAGCATTAATGAAAGAAGGAGGAGACATTCCTACATCAAACTATATTTTTATTGGAGATTTTGTTGATAGAGGGTATAATTCAGTTGAAACAATGGAATATCTATTATGTTTAAAAGGTAATGATGAAGATAATTTTCAGTTAAATATCCTGGGAACATTATGTTGCTAAGAGGAAATCATGAATCTCGTTAATGCACTTAGGTGTATGGTTTTTATGAAGAATTACTTCGTAAATACGGTAATTGTAGTCCATGGAGACTATTTATGGATGTTTTTGATTGTTTACCTTTGGGAGCATTGATTGAAGGATAAATATTATGTGTACATGGTGGTTTATCACCTGATATGAGAACAATAGATCAGATAAGGACAATAGATAGAAAAGTATTTATAAATAATTATAATTTCTCCCATTATAGATAGAGATTCCACATGAAGGACCTTTTTGTGATCTAATGTGGTCTGATCCTGAAGAAGTTGAATATTGGGCAGTTAACTCTAGAGGAGCAGGTTATCTATTTGGAGCCAAAGTTACAAAAGAGTTTTGTAGACTTAATGATCTTACTTTAATATGTAGAGCACATCAATTGGTTATGGAAGGATACAAATATTGGTTCCCAGTATTATTTATTTAATATTATTAGGATTAAAATTTAGTTACTGTATGGTCAGCACCAAATTATTGTTATAGATGTGGCAATATTGCTTCAATCTTATGTTTGGATGAAAACTTGAATTAGACATGGAAGACTTTTAAAGAAGTCCCTGAAAGTGCCAAGAGTGTTAATCCAAAAAGTGTATTGCCATACTTCTTATGAAGTATATACATCAAATATATTTTGATACTTCTTATGAAGTATAATATAATATTAATCGAATATCAATTCTTTATATTTTAATATGACCTTCTTTAACCTATATTACTTCTATCGATATTCTCATTATTTTCATAAATTCTTTTAGTAGAAGGACTCTTGTTTTTCAAAGTATTTTAGTTTTGTTTCTCAACAGATCTTCTGATTGGAGCAGGACTTAAATTTTTTACAGAAGAACTAGGTCTATTTAAACTAGATTAACGAATAGGTATATTAATAGGTAATTAATTATTCCTTAATCCAGGGGGTATTAGCTAAATTTAGAATTTAAATAATACTGGTTTTGAGATATCTTTCTTAGGAATTTAAGGTGTTTAAATTGGAGATCCCTTCCTTTCATTTACAGACGCAGATCTTGTAGATTTAGGGGGTTATTTTATTGAGTCATATTCATTTTTATTAGTTTCATATGTTGGCTTTGGCAACTTTGCTTATAACTATTTTAGATTTTTTGGTAATAGAATAGTTTGAAGTAGTTCTGCTTGACTATTTCCTTATTATGTTTAACAATATTATTCAACATATGGCTTTACATTTGGATCAGACAAGATTTAATCACAAGTAGGACGTAAATGAGCAGGTACTTTTAGTAATTAACTTACCATAGCATTCAAAGAATTAGAATATGATTTTGGAATTTTCTCATAAACTCCAGATGAAACCTTTTTGAATAATGCTTAAACATCTTAAGCTCGAAAAGGAGGCTTTAAAGTAGCCATTTCATAAATGACACACCCTAAAGACCAAATATCTGAAGGTGATGAATAAGGTTAATCTCTCCAAACTTCTGGACTTGCATAATCTAATTTATTTATTTTTTTACAAGGTGTTCCTGTCTAAGTTTTTGCTAATGCTCCATGTGAAACTTTACTGACATTTAAATCACCTATCTTATATTATCCATCGATAGATTTAAAAACGTTAGCACTCTTTAAATCTCGATGCAATATACCAGACTTGTGTAACACTCTCAAACCTAAAGTCATATGTGCTAAGGCCTTCCAAATTTCTTTCTCTTCAATCTAACTCTGTTTCTTCATGCACTATCCTATTTATTTTGATATATCTCCTCCTGCTGCAAATTCCATTATTACACATAATTAATTAGACAACTCATCAAAGAATGCCTCTTTATATCCTATTATATGTGCATCATTTATTGAAGCCAATATTCTTATCTCATTCAACGCATTTTCTCTTTCTTTTTACTTTAAATTATTAATTCTAACCTTCTTCATAGCATACTCACACTAATCACTCACTCTTTTAACCTTTTTTATATTTATATAATTTACTCTGAATACTTATCCAAAGGAACCTTCTCCTAATTTCTAAAGAATTGTGAAATCTGCAAGGGTTGTAGATTTTTACATTTTTAATTTGAATTATTTAAACCTGTTAAATTATTAATAATATTAAAAAAATTTAATATCACTCATAAAATTCATTTCTGCTACATTACTAGCTTCATAAGTATCTATATTTCCAACTCTATAATCTTCAATAATTTTATTTTTCAATACATGATCACTTTATCTATTCCTTGTACAAAAAATTTTTTTAGACTCAAAAAATAAATTCTCTATTCTCATTTTTAAATAGACTTTTTACAATCATTAATTTATACATTTTATTTATTATTAAATTCAATGATAGATTTATTATGAAATCTCTACCATCTATAAACATCTGCCAAGTTATGTAAATATTCTATTCAAATAATAACACATATTGAATTTCAATATTTGGATTAAAGATTTAATGTTTATAAATTTTAATAATGAGATTTGAATTTTTACTAGATAATCTTAAAAAAATATTAGGTATTTTTTAAAGAGTTCAATCAAAAATTCTATTAAAAATGTCTTCCCTTTTTACAAAGGTATATAGAGAGCTAATTTAAGATGTTAGGATTTTACATTATTTAAGTTTTTAATCGTAATATGTAAAATGATTTTTATGGATAAAAATTTACTAATTTTAAAAAATCTTGTTCTAAATATAAATTTTATGTTATTCTTATATATATAGGAACAAATTAATATAAAAAGAACTGACAATGGATAATCACAATAAAAAGACATGGAGTTTGATAAGAAGAATTACTTTTCAAAAATAAAATCATGTTTCTTATGAATATATATTGATTTTCATTAGTCAATGAATGAATTGCCATTTCCAAATGATTATTTGATTGCTCCTTCAACAAATAGGAATTCAATTGGTCTACTTCTCATGCATTTATTAGAAACTGTATAAGCAGTTGTTCCATTTTCTTAAATAAGACTCAATGATCCTCCTTCTGGTACATGAATAGATAAAACTTCAAATGGGAATCCAAAAAATGTAACATTATCTTCAGGACATGATCTAGCATGTTCTCCCTTGAAATTGCATTCACTAAAAACATAAATACAACCCTCTTTAAAAGATGAAACTTTTTCGTTGCTATAAACTTATTTTTATGGTTTAGGCTCTTCAAATGAATAATTAGGTTTTTCTGTTGCTCTTACTGCATTTGGATTTGGTTGATCAATTATAAACATAGATTCAACGAATTTAATTGTATGATCAGTCTCTTCAGTTGGTGTTAATAGCAATGCTTCTTCGTAATTCAAAAGTGATGACAATTGCTCTTTAATTGATTCATCTGAGCTTCTACCCAAAAAGGTTGGTAATCCTTTTTTTTTAATTGTATATATTTCAGTTGATAAATCCTTCTATTATTTAACGTGCTTTTGTTTTTCAAGAAAACCTTCTTGGGCTGTTACGATCACCAAAAAGAGTGCTAAAATATATAATTTTTACATATTAATAAAAACGGATTTATAATATATGAATTTTTGAGTAAAGAATTTGTTAGAGATCAATAATTTTGTTATTTTTTGTCACCTCTTAAAGAACCTATCATATTATTCATTCAATTTATAAATTGTAGAAATCATTGACTTATAATTTAAAAGATTATACATAGAGAATATATGACATTAAAATTAAGTGATAATTAGCGAATTAGATTGGATAATAAATAAAACTCTAAAATAAATTATTAAGAAGTTTTAAATTGAGAAGAAAAATATAAAGATAAATAAAAAAAGTATAATGAATTTTAAATTTTCTTAAGTTTTTAATTCATAAAAGAGGGACTAGATTTATAGCCTGATTATTTAATGAATAAATTAGAAAAGAAAAGAGGTTAATTAAGAATGTTAAATTTTGATTTCATTATTAATTTAAGTTTTTTAGAATTCAAACAATATAGCTTTATTAGATCCAAATTAATCTTATTTGCATAGAGATTATAAAATAATAAAAATAATTATTTAATAATTGTTACGTTAAAAAAATGAAAACAAACAGAGAAATTCTAGAGTGGTTGCACAGATGTAAATGTGGAAAATTAGAACTGAAGAAACATTTAAATACTATAGAGTAAATAAAAGTATAAATCATTTAAAATTTGATTAAAAGTTAGATATGATGATGAGTAATCAAAAAGTATAAACTTTGAAATCTATATCGTCTTCCAAGTTGAATCCAGATTGTTAGACTGCTGAATCCGTAGATGAAGATAAAAGATAATATAGTCTCACATAAAAAGGGAATTAATCTGATGATTAAGATTACAGATATTTTATTAGTAAAAATAACTATTACGATACTCATCAAATTTAGAATTAGCGATCTATTAAAAAACCAATATTATATGATTTTTCTGGTAAACAAGATTCTGAATCTGTCGATGATATATTTAAATTATCCTTAACAGATTAATCGATCTCTTAATAATAGTTTTTTTCTAATAATGATTTTTATGAATCAATAAAGTAAAAATAATAATATGGAACAAATAATAACATTGATAAGGTCTGTTACAATACTTAATAAAGTATAAGAAATTTTGAAGATTATTAAGAAATTACTTTAAAAACATCATTATGTTAAATAGATAAAAGAATATAATAAATTTAAAAATAAGAGTTTTAAAAAAGTTGTCAAAATGAAAACAAGACATTTGATTAATATTATTAAGAATATGTAACAGATGAAATATCAAATATATAACATGAAATTTAAGAAATGCAAAAGTATAAATATTAAGCAAATATGTTTACAGATTTTTGAAAAGAATTTAAACAGCAAAAGACAAATTAACTAGTAGCGTTTAAGATTTGAGTTATCAAAATAGTTAAAAATCAATGTAAAAATTGAATTAAGATTTGGACATAATCTAAACTTTAAGAAATAACATGCAAAATTAATTACAAAACAATGTTGATGGTGATAAATTACTTAGATTAAGATTTATGAAACAATAGATATAAGAATGTTTTAATGATATAGAAGAAGAGATAATAAAATTAAGCAAATGATATCCGTTTTACCTTTATAATATATTTTATAAAAAATTTTTAATGAAAATAGTTCTAATAGCATTACTTATTGGCTTAGCATTTTCATAAAATTAAGCATTAAGTGAAATTTAAGAGAATCCAATACCAACATTAGTTTATGAAACAAAAAACGAAGAATCACAATAAATTGAATAACATTAATAATTATAAGGATATATTGATATTGATGGTCATTTTGTATCAAATTAAGTTGGTAATACTTAAAATACAATATCTGAAGATGCTACCTAAGCAAATTAAGAATAAAATAAAAATAACCAAATGAGTTAAAGTGATGATTTGTAAGCTACTACATAAGAAGGATAATAATAATAATAATTAGTTTCAACTGATACTGAATTTGATCCAATGCTTGATATGGAAAATTCAATGCCTTATGAATTCCCTGAAGATTAATAAGTTTAAGAAGAATAGAAAGATTAAGATGATGATAATCATTATTTATCAGCTAGTTTAGAATTGTAATAAGCCATAATTAAAATTTAGACCAATTCGAAATGCAAACTAAGTTTATGATTCATTAGGAAACTAAATTGATTCATATGATGGTATGAAAACATACTTGTAATTAATTTTATAAATTTAGAGCTCTTGATATAGCCGAATAAGATGATAATTAAGCAAACATTAGTGTTTAAGAAAAATAAGAAGATTGTATTGTGATTTATTCAAAATGTGATTTCTAAGGAGAAAGTTTACCTATTTGTGAGTCTTTGAAGGAAGTTGAGTAAAATTTAGCAAAATTTTAGGGATTTTTAATATGATATTAAGTCAATTTATTTACCTGAAGGATATTAAATGACAATATATTCAGAAGAGAATTATTAAGGATAATAAGTTACATATTAAGAGAGTCAAAAATGTTTAACTAAAGCAATTTCACTAGCTTAGCTTAGAGGGAGATAGACATCATAAACTTAAAATCAAGATCCTAATCAAAGTATTTTAACATCAAATCTAAGAAGTAGATAATGATCATTAATTACAAAATAAAATATTTATTAATTATTCATAAATCTTGCATTTATCATCGAAAAGCTATTTAGAATATCAAATAGAAATTCCATTATTTACAACTAAATTTCTTAATACACCATATAAAAGAAGTTTCTTACTTTTTATAAAGTATTTTAAGTTAAAATAGCTTATTATTAGTTTTAAGATCACCACATAGACTTTTCATTTTAGAGTTTTAAAGACCATTTTCAACTATATTAGCTTATAATTAAAAATTAGCTGTTATTCTTTTATTTTAAACTTAGTATTATAACTTAAATTTCAAAAATATTATTTATTGAAATGTCTTAATTCTCGCAAAATTAAAAATTATTGTATTTTATTTAGAATCAAAATGTTTTATAAAAATAGATTTTATTTGTAGTATCAAGACTAATTGTATTTGTTTAATGAGTACGAAAGATGGGCAAACTTTAATGGAAGCTATTAGAAACCTTATTAAAATTAAAAATTAGAGGATTAACCTTGATGGATAAAATTTAAATAGGGTTCAAAAAATTTGAAAGATCATTTATAAAACTTTTCAAGGTAGGTGAAAGAGAAAAAAATATAATTATATCAGATTTCATTTTAATGGAAAAACTATACAAAAGGATATTAATCAGGCTTAGAGAGGTAAAGGAATAAAATTCATAGAGAAGACTTATCATCGAGATTCAAGAATATATGATTATAATAAATTCATGAATTAAAAGAGTGTTGAACTAAAACTACCTAGAAACAATAATGCTGCATGTAAATCATATAATCTAAACTAATTAAATTAGGTATTATTTATAAAATTAGAGAAATTTTAATAATAATTATATTAATAATTAAAGGAACTAGAATGCTTTGATTCATAAAAAATATTAAAAATAAAATAAAAAAATTAGAATCCTTTTATA